CTTCTCCAGTTTCACCCACAGCTGGTTGGCTTGCAGCCTGCTCAACACTTCTCTGACGTCTCTCACATGCTGCTCCTCATTCTCAGAATACACCAACACGTCGTCTAAAAAGGCCACACAATTCTTGTAAAGCAAAGGCCCCAGGACGTGGTTCATAAACGATTGAAATGTTGCGGAGCCTCCTTGTAGGCCGAAGGGCATAACCAAATATTCAAATGCCCCTAAAGGGGTGAACATAGTGGTTTTCCATTCATCCCCCTTCCTTATTCGTACCAGGTTGTACGCCCCCCTTAGGTCCAGCTTTGTAAAAATCTTTCCCTTCCGCACCCTTGTCAAAATGTCGTCAATCCTGGGCATAGGGAAGGCTACTGGTTCTGACACTGCATTTAAGGCCCTGAAGTCACACACCAGCCTCGGCTTGTTCGTGTTTTTCTTATCCACAAAAAACACTGGGCTGCCCCCACCGCCCTGGACTCTCTGATGAACCCTCTCTTCAGGTTCTTGTCAATGAACTCTCTTAACTCCTGCATCTCTCTGTCTGACATGGCGTACAGCTTGCCTACAGGGAGCTGTGCTCCAGGGAGTAAGTTGATTTGACAGTCAAAGGGTCTATGCGGGGGTAGTTGGTCAGCTTCCCTTTCGCTGAAGACGTCACGGAGATCTGCATATTGTCGTGGTACCTTCACGTTCTCTGTTACTTCAGTCCCTGCTAGGGTGGCTTGGACCCCTGCCAAACCCTTTCCCTCTTTGCAGTGTTCTAAGCAATGTGCTGAACCAAAAGAAACCACTCTCTGATGCCAGCCCACCAGCGGATCATGTAACGCTAGCCAGCTCATCCCCAATATAATGGGAGCTCCTCCCAAGGTGGCCACATTAAAAGCTATCAGTTCGGTGTGCCTTGCTACCTTCATTATCATTGGGACGGTCTGCAAGCTGACTTCTCCACCCAACAGCTCCCTGCCATCGATCGTGGTCACCTGCAGGGGGCTGCTTAAAGGATTGTCTGTATCTGGTGTTCAGCTGCAAACTCTTTGCTCATGAAATTGCAGGAGCTGCCTGAGTCCAACAGCGCCTTTATCTTTAGAGGGTGTCCGTTTGGCAGCTCTAGCGTCACTTCTATCACTAGGGCGGGTTTAGGAGGTTCTGGCGTGGGCACTCTCACTGCTCTTTGGCCTGGCTGCTGTGCACTGACAGAGGCAGCCAGGCGGAGGCTTTTACTTGCTCAGGTATATTTTCCTCTCTTCCATCCACAGCCCCTACCATCCCTTGCCATTCTTTCCTCTGAGGGCAGACTCTGGCAAAGTGACCTGGCTGTTGGCAGAGATAGCATTTCCGGGCGCCTTTTCCCTCCTTCTTTGCCCCCTCACTGGGCTTTGAAACTGCGCGCGCGCGCTGTTCCGATTTCCATCGGCTCTGCCGGTGGGAAAGTTGGCTCTGGAATGTCTGGAATGCGGAACTCCTTCCAACGTTCCCCTTTCCCTTCCCGCCTCTCCAATGCTCTCGCCTCCTGGCGCGCTCCTATGGCCAGCGCTGATTTGGTCAGCTGGTCCATAGACTCCGCCCTGGGCGCCCGGGAAAGTTCGTCTTTCACAGCCGAAGAAAGCCCTTCTTCAAAGAGCATTTGAATGGGTTCCGCCGATAAGTCCCACCCCAATCTGTGAACAAGCATGGTGAACTCAGTCCAGTACTCACGGACAGATCGGCTCCCCTGTTTGCAACCCATTAACTGTCTGCGCACCACTCCCTTTTCAATATCGCTGGAAAACATCAGATCCATGGCGCGAAAGAACTTCATCGTGTCTTTTAAGACGTCACTATTCGCTGCCATCAGGGGTCTAACCCAGTCTCTCGCCCCCTTTTCAAGATGCTCAATCACGAAAGCCACTCGTGATTCCTCGTCAGGAATTCATCAAACTGCAGATTGAGGGCATATTGCATTTCTGTCCGAAAACCATGATAGTTTTGGGCTCCCCCCCAAACTTCTGCACCAATCCTGGTACCTTTCTGGCGAACTGGGTGGCTTTCCCCCTTTTGTCTGCATCCTGAGCCCTCCTCTCCTCAAGCCTCGCCGTCTGCATCGCTAGCTGGACCTCCAACATCTGGTACCTTTCTTCCAGGCTTGGACCCGCTCCAGCTCCTGCTTCTCCGGTTCCGGCTGGGTTGCTCATGATACCTTCTCCTGCACAAGCTGCTTTCAAAGACTGTCGGAATGCTGTGATGGGATGATGAGCTGCTTGTGCGTAAAATCGTATCCCCTCAGAGTTTGTTCAAGTCCACAAACCTCTGTCTGTGACAGAGCCCCTCAGACATGGCTACTCTAGTCACTAGCAGATTCCGACAGTGGTTGCTTTCGTAATCGCTTCCAACATAAAAGCTCCTTAACGGAAACACGTCTTCTGGAATCTCTGCGTGACAGTTTCCGGCGAGGAGTGGGTGTTCTTACAGGAGGTCCTGAAACCTCTCCACTGTTTTCGCTGGAAGTGTCTCTGAGCCATCCCTCCAGCTCAGCTCCTCTCCCCCTGCTGGTTCCCTCATCAGCTGCTGCGTCTCTCCCAACCTGTGTGAGCCCTTTCACCTCCCTGTTGGTTTCCTCTTCAGCTGCTGCGTCTCTCCCAACCTGTGTGAGCCCTTTCACCTCCCTTCCGTCCGATGGCAGTTCCCTGACAGGTTGCTTTTTATTTTAAGGTCTCCTATCCATTTACATTTTATTTTTTATAATAATACTGGCTTCTATTCACTTGGGTGGTTGTGCTTTGTTTGAATGCCTCACGAATTCTTTATCTTTGTCTTTCCTTTCAAAAGTACATATATGAACCTTGCTCTAGAGATAACTGCGCAGGACAGATTTTTACTGCTAGATCTCTACATCTTTCCCAGCTCCTCACACCAGATCCTGCTATCGCATTGGGAGTTTGGGTTTCCCAGACTCTGAATAGATCATAACCCCATGTTAGTGTTTCAACCACACCCACTTTTGACAATAGCCCCACCCACCATTGGGAAAGAGCCTGTCCCCACAATAAATTACCCTAAGGAAGGATTTCAATAGGTGCTGAAAAGACAAAAGAGACAGTGTCTATCCAGTATTTAAGGGTAGGGGATTCCAAAGGATAGGTGCCACAAGACTAAATATTCAGTCCCTATTTTGTGTGGAAAAGTCCTCTTGGTAAGATGGTTTCTGCAGGAGGTCCTCACCTGCAGGACAGGTGTGTATAATAGGTAAGGTGATCTTTCAGGTATCCCGTTCCAAAGATGTATAGGGCTTTATACACCCAAACTAGCACCTGGTACCTAAATGGCAGTCAGTGCAATTTTTTTTCAACAGCTGGATATCATGTTGGTACTATCCTACCCCAATGTGCCACCACATTTTGCACAAGTTGCAGCTTCCAGACCAATCTCTATGTGAAATATACTCGGAGTCGAGAGTGGATTTCATGCTCTTTATTCAGCTCATAGTGGTGAGGAGGAATGAAAGTTTCCCCAAAATATCTGCTTTATATACATTATTTACACAATGGGCTGCACGTGATTGGCTAATTCCGGGATTCTCCTGTAGGCCAATCAGGTTGTGGATTCACTTCCACCTGGAGCTGGATTGGGTGGCTCCTGCGGACCAATCATACTGCTGCATTGTTCTAGGACCAATCAGACTGCTGCATTCTGAATCCTATTTTTCTAGGACCAATCAGACTGCTGCATTTTGGATCCTATTCAACTCAGTACATAACACTATGTCAGACTGCATTGCAGCAATCCAGCCTGGAAGTTCCCAGCACAGCAGCAGTCAGGATATCCTGGTTCAGAAACAGCTGTAGCTGTTGAACCAGCTGATGCTGGTAGAAGGCACTCCACTCCTAGTTCCTGAGGTTGCCTGGGCATCTATCAACAAAGATGGATCCCAGATCACCCCCTGCAACTACAAACCTTTGGATGGGTGCATGGGTGCAGACTTGGGAACCATCCACCCACAGTGCCCCATTTGCCGGGACTGAGTTTGTTGACCCTCATCCATCCCATCATGGAGTCCAGGCACTAGCCCAGGGCTTGCGCAACCTCTCCTGGTTCAGACATTACAGAGAAACAGTGCTGGATATATCATCAGTGCACTGATGACACCTCACTACATCTCCTAATGACTACTCCCAGAAACTTCAGATAGCTGTTAAACAGCATTGGGGACAAGATGGAACCCTGAGACACCTCACAGGTTAGCACAGCCAGAGGGCTGAAAGACAAGAGCCCAATGCTATTCTCTGAAACCAACCTTGGAGACAGGCTTAGAGGAACTGTAGAACAGTACCTCCAGTACCCATCCCACTACAGTGGTACCCCGGGTTAAGTACTTAATTCATTCCAGAGGTCCGTTCTTAACCTGAAACTGTTCTTAACCTGAAGCACCACTTTAGCTAATGGGGCCTCCCGCTGCCGCCGCGCCGCCACAGCACAATTTCTGTTCTCATCCTGAAGCAAAGGATAGAACCCGAGGTACTATTTCTGGGTTAGCGGAGTCTGTAACCTGAAGCATATGTAACCCGAGGTACCACTGTAATTTGTGTATATAGATATAATTACATTTTCTGTTTTACAGTTTAAAGTACTCGTTTATACATTCTTAAGATATCAGTGACTTCCCTTCTTTCCATGGTTCATTTTACATATCATAAATCCCTCATACTTTACAGAAACTATACCATTCAGTATCCCATTATTACATCCATCATAACTTGTTTACACTGTTGAATTTATCTTAATGCTGCCAGCATTTTCAGCTGTACACAGTTATTTCCCTTACATTCAATAACCGTTTTCCAATCCACTCTAAACGTACGTTCTTTTTGTTCTCTTATTCTGTATGTTAAACCATCCCACTAATTGGCTCAGAAGGATACCATGGTCATTAAGTGTCCACAGACAGATCAATAAGAATAACAGAATTGCACTTCTACTGACAAAAGCATTTATCATGAACGTACAACCCATTCAGAGGAATGGTGTGCGTGTGTGTGTGTGTGTGTGTGTGTGTGTGTGTGTGTGTGTGTGTACAGTGTGTGTGCATACACACACACACACACACACAAAAAGGACATCTAAAAGGGCCCTGTGTCTCACACTCATTCTCTAACACTCCAGTATTCAAACACACCCACCCTCCACTCTTAGCTTCTCCCTCCCCTGCTCTCCAGTGACTCCATTTCCCTCCCCCAAGTCTCTGATATAACTCACATTTTCCAGAACTTTTGATTTTACTTCTGTGAGGCAGGAAGGAGCCATGCTGTAAGGGGACCCAGCGACACACAAGTAATGTGTTAAAAGCCCCAACAGCTTGTGCATAGCTGTGACTATGAGCGCCCACATACCTATAGCACTGTGTGTAAATCTGCTTATTTCCTGGTTCTCTGCAGACTTCGGAGAAATATCAGCTTGTTTACTTCATACTAGTCCCTGCTATATATTAGGTTTCTATATATGTCTGTGCACACGCACACACACATACATTCCCTGGAAATTATCACTTCCTGAAATGAGATGAGAGAATCACACCAACCATCAACCATAATTATGGAAACCAAATAATTTGTTTCCAGTGCAATTTACCATTTGCATTTGGTATGACTTTGTGTAGAGGCTGGTGCATGCCAGGTACGTTATGTGAGTGCTCTTACTGTCATTATGCGCCTGGGTAATGATTTCCATGAACACAATTACCCAGTAGCTCGCTCAGGAATAGATGTGTTTTTTAAATTTAATGTCATCTTTCCTCTGCTATCTCATATAGGCAATACGTTGTTTAACCAGAAGAATTCAAGGGCAAGAGCGGCACAAAATCTGGTGCCCTCCCAACAAATATTTCTTATTGTCACAATAATTTCTTTTGGTACAGTTGCGTTTTCAATGGCTCTTCCCAGTAAGTACCCAAATAAATATAAGTTTTAAAAAATTATTATTATAATTTTGCGCCCCCTCAGCTTAGCGCCTTGTGTAGGGGAACTGCCTGCAGCACCCTAAATCCAGTGTTGCTGAAGGGCCGACTTACTCCTCAAAACATAAATCTGATTTACGAGTTCTGTGATAATTATTTGGTCTAAATCTTGTAGCCTCACATGCCAATTACAGGAGGTGGTGTTAAAATTTAGTATTGTGTTTATGCTGATACAGGACCCTCTTCACATGCACACCTAGTAAACTTTTCTGTGTGTAAATTGGGAAACTGAGAGGAAGCTTCTTGATCTGCCATTTTTTTATACATTAACACCATTCGTTTAAACAGTGCTTTTTTCTGGGGGTACGCATACCCCTAAACATTTTATGAATCTAATTTTGGCCTCATTGAGGGGCAGTATTTCAGTATGAGTAGGAAAATGAGAGTACCCCTAAACACTGTTTTAGAAGAAAAAAGCACTGTGTTTAAAGCACTACGAAACCAATTTAAATTAGTCATGGCTTCCCCCAAAGAATTCTGGGAGCTGTAGTTTCTTAAGGGCACTGAGAGTTGTTAGGAATTCGCTGTTCCCCTGGCAGAGCTACAATTCCCAGAGTTCCCTGTGAAGGAGAATCAGCTGTTAAACCACTCTGTGAATTGTTAACTCTGTGGTTGTCTGTATAGGAGCATCGCTGTGTGATAATGTACTAAGGCAGTCTGAGAATTCAGGGTGCCCACTGCTAAGCTAACTTACTAATGGGCTTCCTGTTTCCGGTGCGCCAGGAATGGAGCCGCTTCCAACACCACACGAGAGAGACACACACAGAGATAATCAGATAATTGTGCTGGTCCCGAGGGTTAACCGTGTGGTGAGGTCTGAGTCCAGTCCGAGGTCGAGGGTGCAGTATGGAGGCTGTCCGTCAAAGCTGAAGCGGGGTCCAAGGCAGGGAGTCGGCCCTGGTCCACAGGTGACTCGCCTCTCCTGGCCTGGAGGCGAGCACTCCTCCTGCAGGAACTTAGTTCCCTCCGCCTCTCTGCCCTGAGCCTCTGCAGCTCAGGAGAGGCTGGAGGGTTACCGGACCCAGAGGCACCTGCAGGCAATGGGTCCTCCATCACCTCAGGGGCCAGAGCAGTCTCAGCTGGTGTCTGCACCTGAGGATCCAGCACAGGTGAGGACCCTTCAGGTTCAAGCCTCAGCTGGTTCTGGAGGTGGGGACTCCTGTGCAGGCTGGGATTCCTCTGCGTCCGAATCCCAGGCCATCACAATAATGATGGGGGGATTTCATTTTCTGGATTCCTCTTTGGTTGGAAGAGGAACCAGGCTCTCATCTGCAGTTTGCCTGGCGATCTGGCACTCACTTCCCATTGAATGTGAGGTTCAGGCAAAGGCACTGGGTGCATGGAGCAGTCCGGCTGCCACGACCCCTGCCCCAATCCCATTCCTGGAAGCACAGGTTATCCTGTTAATTGTATTTTAACTGGAGTAAACTACAGGTGCGTGCCAGGGATGACGAGGTCAGAAACTGCAAAAACAACCCAGCTACAAGGATGTGAATGGTTTGGACTGAGAGCGGATTTCATTCAGTGAAAGAGATGATGAGGGGAGGGGAGCCCACGGTTTGCTTACTTAAGGTTTTTCTCTATATTTATGAGATGGCAAACCCCCCCCCCCCGAATGTAAGTTTTATTTTAAAATATCTGCACAAGTGAGGATAGAAGAAATTGGAACATAATATAGAATTTAACAAAATTGGAACTTCGTGTTTGAGAGAAAGGAACTGAGAGGGAAGGGGGGGAGAAATGCTTTGCTTTTAAAATATAGAGCAAAATCCTCCCTAACCTCCATTATCCCCAAAGGAATGTGTTTGAGATAAGGATAAATGGCCATAAATCAGTGGCAGGGAGGAAAGGAGTCGACTAGCTGGGAGAATAGAAGTTTTTGGATTAACTATCTGCAGTCTGGATTCAGACTGTTCTTCCTAGGCTGGAAAAATGGCAAAGACGGCTTGTTTACTGGAAGCTGAATCACGCGACAAAGTGATGCTGTGACTTTTGGAAACTGTGAGATAGCAGCTTCTCCTGAGACATGACAGGAACCATCAACAGTCTCAGGAATAAAGGATACACCATATATGGATGGGAAAACACCATGGGGAAAATTGCCACACACAGGAAAAAATAAGGATTACAGCTAAAGTTCATCACTTGAAACTTTATAAATTACCTATTATGCCAACACGAATTGAAATCACAAAATTGTAGCTGTTATATAAGGGACCATTATATCAGAATAGAATGTAATGGAAATTATTAAAATTTTGGAACGCAGAAAAAATGTAGAAGAATGAACTCATCAACTCTAGCATGCAAGGGGGCCAGTTTAATTAAACTGTATAATTTTGACATTTGAATAATTGGCATTAATAATTGTATTAATTGGATAGAATTGGTATTGTTACAATGAGGATGTTATTGGAATATTGGAAAATCAATAAAAAATATATGTATTTTTTAAAAAGTTAACTTACTAATGTATTGGGCCTGAGGGATGCATGAAACCACTTACAAAAATCTGAAAGCACCCTGAGGAGAGCCAGCAGACTTTTAAAAATATATATATATTCTTAAAGATTTCCTGTTTTACAGAAGTATGTGCAATGTCTCTTTTTTCAGTTACATTTTCCACAGATCAGTTTCATTTGTTGAGACATTAGTGTTACATTAGGAAGAAAAGGGGGAAAGAGGTGGAGGGGGGAATGGTGAGTGGGGTGGGGTCGGATAGCAATGCTTCTATTCTTCTGCTTAGTGTATGTGTGGGGTTTTGTGTCAGGGTCACTTGCACGGGTTCTCTTTAATATTCGCTTGCGTTCCTTTGGTGGTAAGAGAGGTTGGGGTTGGCCTAGGGCAGTGATGGCCAAACTTGGCCCTCTAGCTGTTTTGGGACTACAGTTCCCATTATCCCTGACCACTGGTCCTGTTAGCTAGGGATGATGGGAGTTGTAGGGCTGGAGGCCAAGTTCGACCATCACTGCCCTAAGGTGTGGTTGGTTGTCTTTGATTGGCTGTAGTGAAATTTGTTTTCATGTGTGAATGGTGTGTGTGTGTTTGGATCAGGTTAGCCAGATTGATTCAAATGCTGTTGGTGGGTCCTTGTTGTCTTGTTGGGCTACATATTGAATTGAAATACTTTATTGTCACTTGTACAACTTGTATACAGTGAGATTACACAAGCACCCCCCACTCAGCTCTCTTAGTCTTAATTCCCCTCATTTACTGACACACACTCCAAACCCGAAAGTCAGTTGCCCTGTTGTTATCTTTTCATTCAGCAGCCTAACAGCCCCTGGATAAAAGCTGTTCTTTACCCTGTTGGTGCGACTAATCATGCTTCTATATCTTCTGCCCGAGGGCAGGAGATCAAGAAAGTGCCGGCCAGGGTGTGAATCATCCCTGAGAATTTTCCTCACTCTCCTGAGGCAACGTTCTTCCCCATGTCATCCAGCGGATTCACAGGATAGCCCATAATATCTTGTGCTGTATTCACCACCCTCTGTAGGCACTTCCTATCAGTTGATGTCAAACCAGCGTATCACACCGTGATGCAGTATGAAAGGACACTTTCTATTGTGGACCAGTAGAAGGAGATCATCAAATGTTGATTGACGTCGTTCTTTCGCAATACTCTGAGGAGATGGAGTATCTGTTGGGCTTTCTTAAGCACCTGGATTGTATTGATTTTCCAAGTAAGTATGTGATAAAGGGGAACCATACTGGCTGAAGGGCATCTTCTTCTATTTGCCCCCATGTCAGTTTCAGTTTGTTGGTTAGTTTTTCTAATAAAGCTGTTTCCCATACTATTTGATACAATTGGTCTATGCTTACTCCTGACAGGTCTCTCCAGTGTCTGGCTATGATGCTTCTGGCTGCTGAGAGTACATATTCCAAACCCTTCCAATCTGGATTCCCCCAGCCCAACTTCGCAAATGAGCCAGCAGACTTTTAAACAGGAACATTGCCAAGCTGCTATTCTCCCATAGGAAAATTCATCTTTGGGTTTGTTCCTCTAAATGGCTTCAATTTAGTTTGATGTTACCACTTGTCAAGTAATACGCAAGCCCTACCTTCCACAGTTTCCAAAGTTAAAAGCACTTGTTTTGGTTCAGTTACCTCATATGCTAATTCAACTTTCAGCAAAAAAGCCCACAGGAATAAACATTGGCAGTTTGATGCTGCTTCACAGACTTGCTAATGGCGCTTATTTAGAATATCGCTGTTAAGTTTGTTTGGTATGCTGATCCTTTGGGAGACTAAATCGCAAGCAGAGGAAATCATCTGCTAGCAAAACAGCACATTGGAACATCTACTATTATTACAGCCTCTCGGGTAGGTTTGGTCTATGAGAGGGATAGTCATTCCCAGTGATGCCAAATCTGGAAATAACAGATTCTGGTCCCTAGGCAGAGACTTGGATGGGATGCCTATGGTTTATGCGGCAAAGTCAACCCTGAACAGATCTTGCAATGCTTTCAGAGAAGGATTTATTGTGGGGTGGGTGCTCAGACAAGCATTTCATCATTTTTTGGGGAGCATCCACACAGGTTAATGCAGTTTTATCCTTCTGGGGTAGGGTGGTGGTGGGAGGAATCCTGTAAGCTTTTCGTAAAAAAGTAGACTGTTGCCAATGCCCCATTTTGAGATTTGAACGACACCTTACAATATGAAGCTCCCTTAGACAGGAGGCAGAGTCAAGACCTGACATTTTTTGGTCGGTCCAGAGGATGAGTCTATTGTACAAAAAGTCAGTCAAAAGGGATCTAAAATCAGACTTTTGGTTTTTACAGAACAAGCCTGCTCAACTTTCTCTACTCTGCCCCTATTCCAAGTGCACTTTCTGTTTCTTCTTGGTTGCCGTTTCCTCAATCTTTCTTCTTTGTAGGGAACTCCACGTTACATTCAGTGAGGGAACAATCTGAGTACCGGTACCTATGTACACAGCTGAGCAGTACGTACAGTCGTGCCTTGGTTTTCGAACAGCTGAGTTCTCAAACGTTTTGGCTATTCCAGTTTGCAAACTATTTTTGGAAGCCGAATGTCCAATGGGGCTTCCGCTTCTTGCCACCAACCAGAAGCCACACTTTGGTTTCCAAATGTTTTGGAAGTCGAACTCATAGTTATGCACAAGGTCAATGAGTCTACAGTATCCCTATACGCACACACAACAGCTGAGCTACACTAGGGCTGCCAAACGCCCCAGATGTATACAGGATTCGACCCTCGAATTCTCAGCAATTGGCAAAACATCTGGTAAAACCTGGACGAATGGCAACTCATTCCAAAATTGTTGTTTTTGCAGAAAAAGTGCTTTAAAACCCCCCTCCCAAAAAGCTCAACAACTCTTTCACACATTCACAGCCGAATGCAAAATGCAGGTAGATAAAAAGGAGCTAGATTTTGTTCTAAATTCTATTCTTCACTCCAGTGTAACATAGGTGACACCTGGTGGCTGGGAAGGAGGTGCAATAGTTTGAACACTTGCTTGCAGGTAAAGCCTGAACTGCATAGTAGACATACTTCTGAGTAAACATAGATTACTCTGTTGTATAGTGGAGTTTCGTTTGGAAGCCCCTAAAATATCAGGAGCCAACTCCGCAACAACTTAGGAGCAGGGCTTTCCGTGCGGCAGGGCTGGTTCCAGGGGACAGCATCCCTGCTGAGACACAGTAAAAAACGTAAAGGGACCCCTGACCATTAGGTCCAGTCGTGACCGACTCTGGGGTTGCGGCGCTCATCTCACTTTATTGGCCAAGGGAGCCGGCGTACAGCTTCCGGGTCATGTGGCCAGCATGACTAAGCCGCTTCTGGTGAACCAGAGCAGCACACGGAAACGCTGTTTACTTTCCCGCCGGAGCGGTACCTATTTATCTACTTGCACTTTGATGTGCTTTTGAACTGCTAGGTTGGCAGGAGCAGGAACCGAGCAACGGGGTCGCGGGGATTCAAACTGCCAACCTTCTGATCGGCAAGTCCTAGGCTCTGTGGTTTAACCCACAGCGCCACCCACAGTTTGTACTTTTGAGACACAATTGAAGACATATTTGTTTCGACAGGTTTTTCCAGCTGGCCCGAAAGGTGTTCATTCTGTATAGTTTAAAAACCTAGCTTTATTTATCTTTTTGGTACATTGCTTTTTTTACATAAGTCATCTTAGCCTTGAGGGGAAGGTGATTCATACATTTTTATTTATTTAACAAAACATAATAATATAATTTGACCGTAGCAAAACCTTCAGGCAGTTTAAAAGAAATATTAGAATAATCAATTTAAAATCATTTAAAGACAATTAGCAGTAAATTAAAACACGTCTGTATCTACAACTGTTACAACTCCCTCCCCCTTCCCGTGTCCTGCTTTGTCTATTGCCCTCCACTAGTGAGGTCTACATTTTTTTTTTACATTTATACCCCATCTTTCCGCTAAGATGCTCAAGGTGGTGTCCATGCCTCCGCCAGTCTCACTACAGTCTTACACGGTAGGTTAAGGTGAGAGACAGCCACTGGCCCAAGTGAGCCTCATGTCCAAGGTGGGATTCGAACTCTCACCTCCCAGGTCCTGGTCCACCAGCCACTATTCCACACTGGCTCCAACTTCTGCAGGAAGACTTCCTACTTCAGGAGAATGGGCAATGCAAGGCGGTGGTGGAACTTAGCTATATATATGTATTAAGCTATAGATTATACTGTAAGCATGTGCTCAAAAGGAAGCGGCTGGTGAATTTGGGACCTTTTAGTTAGTAAGAAAGGCAAGTAAGAGTGGGCGCACACGGCGTGGAGGAAGAAAATGGATGGAGAAAGGTTGTTCTTCCTCTTTCATAATACCAGAACTTCGGGATCGCCAATGCAGGCACATTTAGGGCAAAAGAAAGCCCTTATTAATGCAATGCATAGTTAAAACTATGGAATACTACAAGAGGTAGTAATGGCCAGCATGCCTTTGAAAAAAGGTTAAGACCAAGGTTTCCCAAACTCGAGTCTCCCACTGTTTGGGGACTACAATTCCCATCATCCCCAACCACTCGTCCTGCTGGCTAGGGATGATGGGAGTTGTAGTCTAAAAAAACAGCTGGAGACCTAAGTTTGGGAAACCCTGATTTATACAAATTCATGGAGGATAAGGTTATTGATCACTGCTAGCCACGATGGCGATGTTCTCCCGCCACTGCTGGAGGCAGTATTAACTACAGCTAACGTTTGGAGGTCCATTTTGAGTTCTTCTCCTTTGTTTTCCTGTATCCGGTGCCATGCCCCCCTTGTTCTGGTTTTCATTTAACAACTGACAACTTATCACAGTAAACACACATCACTGTGAGAAACAGTAGACGCACATGAAGAACTTTATCCACCCAAAGACATGGTGAAATTCTCCTTGCCCCAAGTGGGCATGCAGTAATGCATATGCGATTGAATGTGTTTGTAAAAAGAAAACCTTTTCTACAGTCGACCAAACTCAATGACTTTCAAAATATCCCCTCTGTATAAGCGAACATTTAGTAGGGCATTCAACCTCATAGCTTCATATGGCCAAGGAAAAAACCTCCATAGTATTTTTTTCTTCTTGCAATGTTCCAACAAAAGGAGTAACTAGAAAGTGCTGTGATATCGTTTTATTTGTTCTCTTTCACCAATGCCCCCTTTTTCCCCTCCTGATAAAACAATATTTGTAGTTTCCAGTAGAACTGGGTTCAGAAAGACACTGCATTGTATTTCAAGTTATTGTGTTTGGTTCATCCCAGAAGAGGTAAGGTTTGATTGGTTGTTCCCAATGAATTTGACCAGAGCAAGTTTCTTTGTTAAGATGTTTTAAGTGGTTTCCTGAGACATACGGTAAGAGAGAGAGAGAGAGAGAGAGAGAGAGAGAGAGAGAGAGAGAGAGAGAGTTTTTGTATGGGTTTTAGATTGACCCCTTTTGTATGGGTTTTAGATTGAAATCATTTTCGGAAACATGTTGGACATTAACAACAAACTTGGGTGGGGGCACATGGCCAACTCCAGGGCTGAACTGATACTACCCTTGCTGGTACCTTTCCCGGGAAAACCAGAGGCTCACTATGTCAGGTTCCTAGTGGAAGACTGGACAAATGCTAGAACGTTAGCAGTGGCAAAGTTTTTATCGGTGGTTGCAAGAATAAATGAGCCCTATATTCTAAACAAAATGCTTGTTTAACCTGGAGGTAGGCTGTATGAATTGTGTATTGATTTGTAATGATTTGTTGGGTCTCTGGACCGTAATAAAGATTGAATGATTGATTGACATGGCCAACTTTTCTCTTATGTGCACTTGATAAAATGGTCATTCATATTCTCCACTCCAAGAAATGTCCATCAGTTACCCGTCTATTGTACCGTTGCAGAGATTCCACTAAATGTGTGCATTATGGTCCAGAATTACCTGATTAAAAGCTTGACATTCCAACCTGCATTGGATACTGTCAGCACCATAAACAGCCTAACACAACTAGAATCCAGCAAGCCTGGCATCACCACATGACATCTTTGGGCAGCTGCCAGTCCCGTCCCCCCAGTTACTTTTTAAATAAATAAATCTGGTGATCAGGATTGAGTGCCTACCATCGTAATTCACTAATGCTGACCCAGAGCAATGTTACATTGAAGTCATTGTGGGAAATTTAAATGGCAGTAGCCTGGCACCTCTCAGAGATTTATTACTGGATAAACTTGCCAATGGGGAGGGGCACTAGCATAAGAGGAGTGCCACCACTATGCCAATGCCCCCCCCCAAGATACAATCCCTCCCTTTTCCGTTTTATCCAGTCTGCATTTTAAATAGCAACAGGTTTAGGACAATGTTGGTCCATGTTATGCACAAAAATCTCTTCTCAGCTCATGTCAAATTAAGTAGAAATTGTGCCCGCCTCAAGTCTTGCTTGTAAATAAGGCATTTGTTTTCTTTTTCTTTTAAATCACACTGGCATTTGTAAGCATGCCTGATTTACTGGGCATTTTTACATTCGGTTTGTTCCAGTAGCCACTGAATTCCATCTACCAGTCCATCCAACGTGGAAACTTCAGTATCCTGAACCTGTAAAAGCCAAGAAAGAAGCAAATGTCAGTATCTTACACAAAGCTAAGGTGCTTGAGGTTTCAGCTTGATCGGCATGGAGCTGAAAGAAGAGTTTGGATTTGATATCCCGCTTTATCACTACCCGAAGGAGTTTCAAAGCGGCTAACATTCTCCTTTCCCTTCCTCCCCCACAACAAACACTCTGTGAGGTGAGTGGGGCTGAGAGACTTCAGAGAAGTGTGACTAGCCCAAGGTCACCCAGCAGCTGCATGTGGAGGAGCGGGGAAGTGAACCCGGTTCCCCAGATTACGAGTCCACCGCTCTTAACCACTACACCACACTGGCCTGCTTTCTGTAGGCATTGCCTCTGTGAGCGAACTTCCTGTTTTACACCATTTATCTGGCAGGCATTGACTCCACCAGTCTCCAGCTAAAGCCTGCATTCCCTTCGCAATGCACAACTCGCGATGCACCTTAAGGCTGCCAATCGGCAGCTGCATCTCTGCCTGTCCCACACCTGGTATCACATATGACATGTGGGCAGGTGAGAACAGTGCAGGGAAAATACCCTTGTGGGCTAAATCTGGCCTACAGGCTGCTATAGACATACAGTCGTACCTTGGAAATCGAATCCGTTCCAGAAGACCGTTCGACTTTTAAAACGTTCAAAAAACAAAGCATGGCTTCTGATTGGCTGCAGGAAGCTCCTGCAGCCAAGTAGATGCTGCGGAAGCCCTGTTGGACATTTGGGTTCCAAAAGAACATTTGCAAACCAGAACACTCACTTCCAGGTTTGCGGCGTTCAGGAGCCAAAACGTCCGAGTTCCAGGGTGTTCAGAATCCAAGATACGACTGTACAGTGGTACCTCAGGTTAAGAACTTAATTCGTTCTGGAGGTCCATTCTTAACCTGAGGTACCACTTTAGCTAATGGGGCCTCCTGCTGCCGCTGCGCCGCCACTGCACAATTTCTGTTCTCATCCTGAAGCAAAATTCTTAACCCGAGGTACTATTTCTTGGTTAGCGGAGTCTGTAACCTGAAGCGTATGTAACCTGAAGCATCTGTAACCCAAGGTACCACTGTAATCCTTTGTTTTAAAAAAAAAAAGCCATCCTAGGTACAGGCTAGTTCTGTAACCTACAGTTAAATTCTATACAGATTGTAATGGATTTAGGGGTTGCTCGTGTGTAAGTTGCCGCCACTGCTGGCGAGGTTACCTGGTTAAACCCTTTCTGACTGAACAGCCTCCAGCATCGTGACTGTCTCAGTCACTGGCAGAATCCGTCAGTGGGCGTTTCTTGAACCTTTTCCAGCATAAAAGTTGTTTGACGCCAAGTCTCCTCCTACTCTCCCTGCGCGGAAGTCTTCTGCGCAGGGAGGGTGTGGGCAGCGGAGGACCCGTACTCTCTCTGCTGAGGAGTCTTGGAGCCTCCTCTCCGATCCCCCCATCTGCCCCCCTTCTCCACTGGTGTTACGCTGATTTCCTTCCCCAGCAGATGGGCTGCCTCTCTCCCTACTGGGACCCTCTCCGGCATCCCTCTGGAGCCTTCTCTCCGCCTCTATCTCCGATGGCAGTTCCCTGACACAGATCTACTCAGAAGTCAGTCACATTGGGTTTAACAGGGATTACTCCCATATAACTGAGAATAGATTGGTAGCCTCAATTTACACCAAGTGGAGTAATAGTGCTTCCAGAACCTATTGTCAATCTGTTTCATAATTCCAAAAGTGGAATGCAGGCTGGGGCAGACACTTAAACAAAACAAACAAGAGCAAAATAATAATAATAAATGCTACCATCCATGGCCGCGGGCCAAGCAGGTTCAGCTGCAGCTGATGCGCCATGTAAACACAAGGAATCCTTTCTATCTCAGCACAGGAAACGCAGGACAGGACAAGCAGAGGCCTATCTGTAGGGCCAAGGACTGGGTCAAGCATTGCTGCCAGCCAGTCAAATTCAAGTTGACGGTTGTTTCCTGCAAAAAGAGAATGAGGAAGATAAAGGCTTTGCCACCCTCTGCCAGCTGTACCCTAAAAGCTATGTTGGCATCATTCAGAAGCCCTTACGTTTATTTAGTTTGTAAAGGTTTTCATTGGTATAAAGCATATACACACAACTAACTATACAGAATACAACAGATCCCCCAACAGATTGGGTGGTATAACATAATTATTCCTTTTTGACCCACACAGAGCAAAGCTCCTTACTTTTATCAACCTCGGCATCTGCAGCATAGATGAACCCATCGATTTGTCTGCACATGTTTTTAACGGGCTCGATCAGATTGTAATGCGTTTTCCCATCAATACTGGACTCCGTAGAGAACATCTTGTTGACAGGATCAGTGTCCTCTTCCTTCGCTCTGAGTCTTTCCTTGCTGGAAAGAGAGGAGAGAAACCAGTTTCTTCAGATACTATGCACGAAGGAAGGAAGGGAGGAACTACGCAGAACTGAAGTTACTAAGGACTAGTGCCTTAAGAAAGAACAGTGTAGTCTTTTGTACACATCTAGGCCAGGCAGTTCAAGCAGACAAACAATTCACAGGTCTACTCTGGCTCTTGGGAATCCAAGTTTCCACATTCCTGCTGAGTGAACTGAGCAAATGAGGCCATGTCCCAGATTGTGGCCAAAGGTTTCCTTGGAATAAACTTGCACAGAATAAGCACTTCTTGAAATGGGCTTGCTCTTCTCTTGAGACAATCCAATTAGTGTTTGAAAATTCCTGTGTGAATCTACACTATGATAGAATCTAGAATTTTCTTCTTTTGGGACAATCCTATCCCTGTTGGAATACCGTTGCTTGAGAAGAAAAAAGCAAGCAAGCGAAAAACAGCACCTTGGATAACAACTTACCTAGTTTTTGTATACAATGTCAGAATGGTGAATTTCTGGCCATTCAAACGAAATGTGACCCCTGATCCTATCCCTGTTTGAAACAAAGAAAGAAGAAATGAAAGGCAAAGAATTTGAGAGCTGGTAGGTTTTCAGAAGATCATATATGAATAATAATAATAATAATAATTTTATTATTTGAATCCTGTCCATCTGACTGGGTTGCACTCTGGTCAGGCAGCTTCCAATAAGTATAAAAGCATAATAAAACATCAAACATTAAAAATGGCCCCATACAGGGCTGCCTTCAGATGTATTCTAAAAGTTGTATGGTTATTTCCTTGACATCTGAAGGGAGGGCATTCCACTACCAAGAATGTCCTCTGCCCGGTTCCCTCAGAGACAGCCTAGTGTGTCATTTGAAAGCATGAGCTTTAAATTCCCCAGATATAATAGATTGGCACTGATATTAGGCAAACTGAAGCAGCTGCTGTTTTAAGTGTCACGGACAACAGTGTGGGTTTTTTTGTTTTGTTTTTAAATTCTGCAATAAATTATTTAGGCTCTGCTTCAGAGAGGGACAGAAGGGCTTATGTGAATTTTCCAATTCAGTTGCCGAAATAACTTGACCAAGCTTGGCTTTGGGCATGTGGACAAATGGGCCAACTTGATCCTCTACTGCTTGGTCCTGTCAAATCCAGTTAAGTCCAGTTGTGGCCGGCTCTGGGGTTGCGGCGCTCATCTTGCTTTACTGGCCGAGGGAGCCGGCGTACAGCTTCTGGGTCATGTGGCCAGCATGACTAAGCCGCTTCTGGCGAACCAGAGCAGCGCATGGAAACACCGTTTACCTTCCCGCTGGAGCAGTACCTATTTATCTACTTGCACTTTGACGTGCTTTCGAACTGCTAGGTTGGCAGGAGCAGGGACCGAGCAACAGGAGCTCACCCCGTTGCGGGGATTCAAACTGCCAACCTTCTGATCGGCAAGTCCTAGACTCTGTGGTTTAACCCACAGCGCCACCCGCATCCCCTTGTCAAATCTTAGTCCTCCATTAATTCACAGAACCACCAACCTGGCCAGCATGCTTTAGGAGAGACAATGGGTCAGTGGCAAGGCACAATACTTGGCACCTTCTGTCAGACCCGCCCAAGACATGATGCTCCCTGAGACAGCAAGACAACCCACTGGGCCATCAGCTGAATCTTACTTCTTCAAAGGGTAGCTTGGGGCCTACAGGGGGCAGGCTGCATAACACACACACAAACATCCAATCACTACCTCCCCACCAGCATTTGCCACCTGAAGCCTCTGCCTCTCTCTGCCTAACGGGTAGGGCTGGTCTCACTCTGCCTCCAGCTGAACCACGTTCTGTAGCAGGGTCAGAAAACATCCCACACAGTATAAGAAGGCTTCAAATGTTCACCATGGCCATTTTCGTTTGCTTGTTTAAAAGAAAAGAAAATGCCGTTACCGTGCATTTGTCTAGAAGGTCTACCGGCCAGTGGCAAAATATGTGGGCTCGCCATCATTCTGTGCACCAAAGATTCGTCCAGGTTTTCCAAGCCCGGCCCAAACATTGCAAAGCGAGGCTCTGCCTGCGTGATCAGCGACTGCAGAAAGGAACTGACGGATCCGTAATAGGGCCGGCTGGCTTTCGGACATCTTTTACGCCTGGAGTAACACTTCTTGTACCTGTGTAAAAATTAAAAAGCAACAACCCACCCCATAATAATGAAAACTGAGTGCCAAATCTTAGGAGGAGTAAGGCAAGACTCAGCATGAGTTGAAGGGCCCCACACAAGAAACACAAGAATATGCTCAGTGCTGAGAACTCAGAGAGCCCAACAGATTTTAATGATATACGAATGGGCAAGTATATAATTGATGCCAAGAGTTAAAGAATGTTTACAAAAAGAGGAGTAATTTTAGAATCAGGCTTTAGCATGAAATTGTACCTTTAAATTACTTATTACTGAAGAGTAGTCCATTAACTTATGCTATCATAAATCCTTTTCCTTTTTTTGTTTATATATATTTGTGTGTGTGTGTGTGTGTGTGTGTATATATAAAATAATATATATATAAAATATGGAGGCATTCAGCACAATCCTTCATATGCCTATAAAGATGTACATTACCTATATGGAATTTTAGAGGATACTTACGCAGCCATGTAGTCACATGAGGCACTATTATGAAGTTCAAAAATGGATTTATTAAATATGTTTGCATCAGGGACTGACTCCCAATCAATAGAATGACAGGAAGGAAGATCGCGGATGAGAAAATAACGCCATAGCAAGGGATCCTGGATTGTTAGACTCCAGTAGTGGTTGGTGCTTCCCAAATTACTCAGATCTTTGGGTGTGAGGAAGGACATAATGTATAACTTCACATCTATCTGGAAAATAAAATTTAAATATTTATTCATAAATCATTTAGGAAACATAAAAACTTAACAGTAGTCCCTGACAAAATTTCCTCTTCACGTATATAAGAATGCATATATTTCTAAAAAAGATTTACTACAAAATATATGCTAACGGTATCGGAACCAGGCAGATCTACACCATGCATATAGAAGCCACGAATTCCCTGAAAGAATCTTGGGAATGGTAGTTTTCCCCTTTTGTTGTTGTTTAGTCGTGTCCGACTCTTCGTGACCCCATGGACCAGAGCACGCCAGGCACTCCTGTCTTCCACTGCCTCCCGCAGTTTGGTCAGACTCATGTTTGTGGCTTTGAGAACACTGTCCAACCATCTCGTCCTCTGTCGTCCCCTTCTCCTTGTGCCCTCCATCTTTCCCAACATCAGGGTCTTTTCCAGGGAGTCTTCTCTTCTCATGAGGTGGCCAAAGTACTGGAGCCTCAGCTTCAGGATCTGTCCTTTCAGTGACCACTCAGGGCTGATTTCTTTAAGAATGGATGCATTTGATCTTCTTGCAGTCCATGGGACTCTCAAGAGTCTCCTCCAGCACCATAATTCAAAAGCATCAATTCTTCGGCGATCAGCCTTCTTTATGGTCCAGCTCTCACTTCCATACATCACTACTGGGAAAACCATGGCTTTAACTATACGGACCTTTGTTGGCAAGGTGATGTCTCTGCTTTTTAAGATGCTGTCTAGCTTTGCCATCGCCTTTCTCCCAAGGAGCAGGCGTCTTTTAATTTCGTGACTGCTGTCACCATCTGCAGTGATCATGGAGCCCAAGAAAGTAAAATCTCTCACTGCCTCCATTTCTTCCCCTTCTATTTGCCAGGAGGTAATGGGCCCAGTGGCCATGATCTCTCCTCTTTCACCCTCATTAAAAGGTTCTTTAATTCCTCTTCACTTTCTGCCATTTTCCCCTTACAGAGCTATAACTCCCAGCACCCTGAACAAACCAGAGTTCCCAGGATTCTTTGGGGGAAGTCATATGCTTTAAATTTATGGTGTGAATATGCCCAGCAATGGACCTCCAAATAATAATAATAATGGCATAATAATATATACAAATAATCCCCTGATCTACCTAATACAGTGGTACCTCAGGTTACATACGCTTCAGGTTACAGAATCCGCTAACCCAGAAATAGTGCTTCAGGTTAAGAACTTTGCTTCAGGATGAGAACAGAAATCGTGCTCCAGCGGCGCGGCGACAGCAGGAGGCCCCATTAGCTAAAGTGATGCTTCAGTTTAAGAACAGTTTCAGGTTAAGAACGGACCTCCGGAACGAATTAAGTACTTAACCCGAGGTACCACTGTAATGTCTCATAACACCCAGACATTTTTAATCACTGGATCCAGCAAGTATTAGAATTTAAGCAAGGCTAGGGGTGCTAAACAGGGTGCCAGACATTTAATCCTTGGGTCCAGCAAGCGTGAAAAACACATCAAGCCAAGTAATCGCCTGCGTGATGGACCATTAAGAGAGCAAAGGAGAGGGGTCTCTATGCAAGATGCCAAATGGGTGGGGCCCCTCCTCCAGCTCTCAGAAAAGAACAAAATCCTGAGTTTGAGAGCTCCTTTCGCTGTGATTCGACCTAGAGGAAAAAGCTGCAGTCTGGAAAGGCAGAAGAAAACCCACAGAAGATTTTTGCTGCAATCCAAGCCTGTGGTTATGGGGAAAACAAGACCCTTTTGTTCTGTGAACCCCGCCATCGTAGGCTCAGGTTGTATATATGTGTAAATAAACCAGATATCATAAGGCCACCGCAATCTCAGCTGTGCCTCATTCCCAAAAGGAAATTCCCTGGTTGAAAAGGCACTGGGACCCCCGGAGTCTCACCGCCCTCAAAAACTGGAATGGCACACAGCAAAATATTGTTACAAAAGTTGGGTGCCATTCCCACTCTCTGCATGATTCCAGGGGGTTCCAGGCACTCACCCAGGGTCTGTGTTCCCTTGGAGAATTGAAGTCATGGCCAAGATTGTCGTAGCTTTGAAAAATATGGTTTATTTACCTGTTTACACCTGCAAGTGCGCATGGAAGGAGTCCAGATCTTACAGCAAGGTCATTTCAAGAGGGGCTTGTTCCCCAAGCCATGGAGTCCAAGGCATTTATCCTAATTCTGCTGTTCCTAACAACTAAGCTTCCTTTATTCAGTTGCATTCTAATGGCCAGCTCTTTTGGTGCTTTGAAGTACTAACCGTTAATCTCTCTCCCGCCAGGTGTCACCTAACAAAGGGGTTCCCCTTACTTCATCAGCACCTGTAGATTGACTGGGATTAAAGACTGGTACACACTTAGGACATTTACCCAGGTTTACTCTGGGTACGCGGGTGGTGCTGTGGGTTAAACCACAGAGCCTAAGACTTGCCGATCAGAAGGTTGGCGGTTCGAATCCCCACAATGGGGTGAGCTCTCGTTGCTCGGTCCCTGCTCCTGCCAACCTAGCAGTTCGAAAGCACGTCAAAGTGCAAGTAGATAAATAGGTACCACTCCGGCGGGAAGGTAAATGGCGTTTCCATGAGGTGCTCTGGTTCACCAGAAGTGGCTTAGTCATGCTGGCCACATGACCCAGAAGCTGTACGCTGACTCCCTCGGCCAATAAAGTGAGATGAGGGTCGCAACCCCAGAGTCGGTCACGACTGGACCGGGTCAGGGGTCCCTTTACCTCTTCACATGTTAATTGCTGATGCTCATAAGTCCACAGATTCCAATACTCTTGGATCTTGATGACATTCTCAAGATCCAGTCTTTACACATAAACACCTCAACCTCCTTGCATAACTCCCTTTCTAATACATAGAGATTGTCTTATAACATATCCCAGTTATAACACAGAAATTTTACTTAAATCCTAATATTCACTAAACCTAAACATTTTGCACCACAGATCTTTATAATATTAAAATAAAATAAAAATTGGAAAGTGCAAGTCCCTGACGTCAAAGGGGCGGGGCCGTGAAGGGACCAATGGGAAGCCGAGCGAACAGGAAGCTCCAACGGGGAACTTTTGGCAACACTGCTGGAAGCGGCGGCCGTTCGCCTTGCTGGGATGCGCCAGGCAACCTTGGGGGTGGCGGCGCGCTTACCGGCAGGGCCTCCAAGGTGCTGGGCGTCGTCGTCTCCTCCTCTTCCCCAGCGCGATCGTCGCTCTTCGGGAGCCTCTCCGGCTGCTGCTGCCCCCACTTGCCGCGCAGGACGCGCAGGCTGCTTCGCAGGAGCGTCTCCAAGCTCTGCCACTCCCCGCCGCCCTGCGCCATCGCTCCGGGGCGCACCGGCAACCCTCCCCGTCTCTTACTTAGCTGCTTCTTACTTAGCTGCGATTCAGCATCCCCGGCACTGCAGCAGCTGGAATCCTGCGCTCCTTGGCGTCGGAGCCCGGATCCCACCAGGTCTCAGGGGGAGGAAAGCGGCGTCCGCGCAAAGGCGAAGCGCGCGGTGGCTCCCTGCGGCCGCTGCTTGCGCGCAAGTAAAGTCTGGCGAAGAAGAAGCCGCGCCCCCCACCGGGATTCCGCCTCCGGTTTGTTCCGGAGGCGTGGGAGGCACTCGGGCCACCTCCCCTCCAGTCCTGCTGGCAACTGCGCGCTGCTGCTCCGGATTCGTGGCCAGCGCCACATAGTCCTGGGTTAGCGCGCGAGCATCGCAAGAAGCCAAACCCCCACGATTAAGCATTCGCAGCCGCGTGGAAGTTCCAGAAGTCGTGGTGCAATAAAAATACGCTCCAAAGTACGCATGAATAGTGGTCAAGGGTGATGGGAGTTGTAGTCAGTAACATCCACTGGTTGGCTACAGTGGACATGGAGCAAGCTTGTTTTCTGCTGTTCTAAAGGGTAGGACACGAACCAATGGCTTAAAGTTGCAAGAAAGGAGTTAAGGTAGCTCAGTCGGCAGAGCATGAGACTCAGGCTCGGGAATGTGGTTTCAAGCTCCACGTTGGGCAGAAAATTCATTGCAGGGGGTTGGACTGGTTCACCCTTGTCCTCCCTTCAAACTCTACAGTATTCTATGACATGGCAGGAGTCACCAACACTTCCACAAATCCATTCCATTCATTATCTCCCATCTGTTTCAAACACATTAACCCATCCCATCCTCCCAGCTTTTTCCCCTTCCATTTTTTGCCTCCCCCCATCATCTCTGTTCCTCAGCCCCACCACCCTATGCAGCTCTCCATCTTAAAAAAGAACCAGCAGACTTGGCTTTGAACATTGTTTCAAAATGATACAGAAGTGGTATCTGACCTAATTACGACTACAAAAATTACAATTGCAAAAAAAACCAAAAAAAAAAAAACCTGGAAAAAGAGCTTGCCTCCTATTGTTTTTTAATGGCTCAAAAAGGTCTTGTCTGTTGTGACAATGGCTAAATTAACCTACTATAGGAGAATGCAAACTGACCCACTAAAATTATGGAGAAAAGAGTGTTCCTGATATACTGGAATAATACGGTAAGTGCAATGACAATGTACAACCTTACGTTGTTTTCAATTTATTGAAATGTTATTAGTTGGGTTTTCTTTTGCAATGATACATTTTTATTTATACAAACTTAAAAAATAAATAAAAAGAAGCTTCCATTGCACACCAACTTTTTAAAAAAGCCTAAATGTTGCAAGTGGAGGACAGTGATTTTCAAGGAGGAGCTGTCCGCCCTGCTGTCATCCCAAATAGTCCCTCCCATGCCAATTAGGCCCTTTAAAAACCTGATGTAGGATGCAAGCATATATTTATTGTTAGCCCTGCCCTGCAGCATGCAACAGTTCCAAGGTGGGAATTAAACCATGCTAATGAATAAGCATTAAATGGGAAGGTTATTCTGTTCTCTTCCACCTAATCCACATAGAAGAGGGAAGTATGAACAGGCAGCAAAATGCAAAAAGGGTTGTCAAAGCACAAAACATTGCCAGAGCAGCCCAGCAAGGACTGAGCGCATTCGGTGGCCGCATGGTGCTGAGTGGCTGGGAGAATGAAATATTGTAGAAAAGGCAGACACCCAGAAACAGAGCACTTTACTGAGACATCGCTTCTCTGCTGGGGAGCAGAAATTCAGCAACATCAAAGTAACTCCAGACGTGGTAGCAACCCAAGATCTCCTGCAAACATGGAAATGACATCTAATTTTTATTTTGCATCCTTGCGTGCTGCTTATCTCTGTGCATCGGGCTGGTGCCAAACTGGGTTTCCTCCAAAGTTTTAGGTATCTTCAATGGGTAAAATAATTATTATTAATAACAACAGCAATCATAATATATAATGTAACTGCAGCTACTTGGTAATCATTTTTAGTTATTTCTACGCAATTTCGCATGTGTTTTATGTACCAAGCAAAGCTAAGTTATATGGATTTTAACCAGAACATCTTTCTTTGGTGCTGCTAACACAGCAGTTTGACTTCACTCCCCGCCCCAGCACACTCCATTGTCTCTAGATGGATGCCAACAACTTAGGTTTACCTGAAACTCTAACCTGGAGACCTATTCTGTGTCGGCAACTGGAGTAGCTTCTGAAGGATTACTGTAAAGTAACCTGTAAGGCAGTTTCGCAAACTGTACAGAAATTAAGTCAAGATATGCTCTGAAATGTTGTGTATTTGTTGAAAGGCACAAATTAGACCTTCAGGTTCGCAAGGAGCTATACAAGGTTGCCCCAGTTTTCTGGGAAGGCACACCATCTGCTTAAATCAGGGACAAGGAACTGCTAGCGTCTCTGCCAACCCCAGCCCACAGCACCTTTCTACCTGGCATCGGGTGCCTCCACCTAGGCCCCAACACCCTCCTCTGCAACTCCCCCCATCTGCTCTGCTGCAAGCCAGCCCCCTGCTTCCCAGTCCCTCCCTCATTCCGCTCAGCAAAAGCGGTGGCTGCTGGGAGAAGGAGAGTTGGGAAGCTCTAGTTGCCATTCTTTGTGGTCAGTCCTCCAAGCTCCCTCGTGTTTTCTTGACTCAATTCTCTCCAGCAAAAGTGGAAGCTGCTGCAAGGAGAATGAGTCAGACAAGACACTGGGAATAGGTAGGGGAAGCATCCTTGGCACCTAACCCAATAAACATTCCTGTCGCTTCAGAACTTCCAAGGCCAACCGTGGTTAAGTGAAGATTTGGAGGAAGGGGGAAAAGTAATTTGTGGGGAGATAAAAAAAAAGCAGTGCTCTAATCACCCGTGTCATGTGGTCCCCAATGGATTATTTGCAAGGGAATGTAGCCTCTAAAAGGAAAAATAATGTGTCCCCCCCATTTCTCAGTGGCCTTAAGTCAATTAGGCAGAAAACTGCTTAAAATAGTCCAGTATGAGCTTTGCATTTTTGGTATCCCAGTCATGCAGTCTCAATGGTCCTTCGCACACAGTTATGTATTTCAGGAGCACTTTCTCTCCCGTCTCTCGATGGTCCAGAACTTCGCTCTGTGAGCTTCCGGGTTGCTCCCTGCTCGATCCTGCCTCTACGCTTCGACTTCGTTCCTTAACTTCTCTGCAGTACTTCAGTCCCCAGTGGCACATTTCTCCGCAGTACATCATAGCCAGCAGGTGGGTGTCGCTAAATATGCCTGCCAAAGGTAGGGGAGAGAAGCAGCTGAAGGCGAGCAGGGTTTCTGAATAGGCACAACTTCTATCTAATAGCTACATTTTGCAAATGACAAGGTTGCAATTTGTGAGCGACAAACATACAAGAGAAATCCCTAAAATTGTACCTGTTCCTCTTCACAAATTCTGTAAGGTAAAGGGACCCCTGACCATTAGGTCCAGTCACGGACGACTCTGGGGTTGCGTGCTCATCTCGCTTTATTGGCCGAGGGAGCCGGCGTACAGCTTCCGGGTCATGTGGCCAGCATGACTAAGCCGCTTCTGGCGAACCAGAGCAGCGCATGGAAACGCCGTTTACCTTCCCGCTGGAGCGGTACCTATTTATCTACTTGCACTTTGACGTGCTTTCGAACTGCTAGGTTGGCAGGAGCTGGGACCGAGCAATGGGACCTCACCCCATTGCGGGGATTCAAACAGCCAACCTTCTGATCGGCAAGCCCTAGGCTCTGTGGTTTAACCCACAGCGCCACCTGCGTCCCTACAAGTTCTGTAGTGTGCAGCATAAAGTTCCCAAGATACTGGTCACAGGTGGTTTATTCCAATTGGGATACCAATGTAGTTCTTGTGGAAAGGGGAGTGTGCAAGCCAGTGGCCCATGCATGGAACAGTAAACCATAGTTTAGCATTGTGCCTGACCTGGGCTCAAGTGTGGGTGTAAGAGGTCCATTGACAAAAATCTCACAATTTACTCAAGGGTGATACTTTTTTAGACTGTGATAATAAAAACAACAATAAGATTATTGTCGCATCAACTGTGTTCTTTTACTTTGCTGTTAGGATCATTTAATGTAGAAGATAAGGCAGCTAGTAATGTATGTCCTTTACTTGTTCCTGTTTGGTTTCTCAATCAGTTGAGAATGCTTTCTTCCTACTTAACCAACCACCTCCTAAGGTAGGCAAAAAATAATCAAAATTATAGATGGGGCCTCTGGAGGGAAAGATAGTGGGTGGCTTAAAATAGCTTATATCCAAGATTATCTTTGATTTGTGGTTCTTTTAAACAACTCCTCTACAAGAAAAGTAGACCAAAAAAGCACCATATGGAATATTTACCTTCATGTATTAATCTAGCCGTGTCTGTGTCTTGAAACACGAAGTCTTCAATGGGGTGATCAGAACATCTGAACTCAAGCATCTTCACCAAGTACTGGATTCCTTCATTAAGAAACTGAAGGAGAAAATATAAGCACTGCATTTTATGTATTTAGTCTTAAACTTCATTTCCTCCTTCTGAAAGAATGTTCCCCCTCTTCTAGTCACAAAGCTGAAAAAACAGTACTACCGTATTTTTCGCTCTATAACACGCACCTGACCATAACACGCACATCGTTTTTAGAGGAGGAAAACAAGGGGAAAAAATTCTGAATGAAACAGTGGATGTATCATTTTTGTGCCTCATGCTGTGGCCACAGACATGTGATCTGATGGTGAGTTTGGGGTAGCCCAATGCAAAAATTCTGAGAATCCCTGTGGATCTGTGCTTTGTAACCACATTTTTGCACCATTGTGGCCCCAGGCAACAGTGGGTGCGTGATTTTTTTGGTGCAGGCTGTAGCCATGGACATGCTATGTGATCTGATGGTGAATTTGGGGTGACCCAATGCAAAGATCCTGAGGATCCATGTGGATCTGTGCTTTGTAACCACATTTTAAGTGGGGAGGGAAGGAAAAACACAGAAGGGACAAGGAGCACAAGAGGGGTGTGCAGAGAAGCAGCTGGCTAAGAATGCAGGAGATGGGTTTAACGGGAGGGAGGAAAGGAAGGCAAAAGTTTCCCCCCACACACCCACCCAAGCCAGCCCTCTCTCTCTCTCTCTCCCCCACCTGCATGTTTTCCGGCTGCCTGCGAGTCCCTAAAATGCTTCCCTGGACGCAGCAGCACCGGAGCACGGAGAGGAATTAGAAGGAAGGACGCGATTCTTTCCTTTCCCCTCTGCTTGCCTGGAGGGGAGGGGATTTGCCTGCTCTTTGTTCCGTTTGAGCAAACAGGAACCGAAACAGAACAGGGTGGGCAGTAAGACCCTGAGGCAGAATGCAGGAAAGCAACAGCTTCCTCTCTCACGGAGCTCCCTCCTCCCTGACGCGCGCGATTGGATTTTTGCTGGATTTTTGCCCCTGCGCTCCGGCCAGTCGGCTCCAGGGACCACACATTCGCTCAATAACACGCAGAGACATTTCCCCTTACTTTTAAGGAGAAAAAATATGCGTGTTATAGAGAGAAAAGTATGGTAAATATGACAAACAGGACTCAGTCATGGCATGAGAGCAGTCGGGTGCAAAAGAACCGCTTAATTTACACAACTCCTAAAGAAGGCAAACACAAGCTGTTGCTTTAATACTGAGCCAGGCGATTGGACTTTACAGCTCAGTATTATCTACACTGATTGGCAGTAGCTGTCTGGTGTCTCAGGGCTGGGCAAGACTCCTGTCAATGGCAAAGATTGAACCTGGACCTTCTGAATGCAAAATACGGGGTCTACCACTGTGGTACAGTCCTTTACCTACAGTCAGGTAACCTTTCAAACCTCTCTCGTATACTAAGGAAAAGAGACAAACATTAAATTGTAAATTAAATCTGGACGAAGATTGGCAGGATCTATGCAATCCTAAACATGCTGGGCTTTATTTACCAAGTTTGCATGACGTCAGCTAACAGAGCAATCCTAACCCTTGCTGGGCAGCAACAAAGCATGATGGAGTGTTGTAGCCACGGCTGTATCTGCAGTCCTGCTGCTCTGCTGGGCAGGACTGAAGGCAAAACCTTGATTTCTCCGCCATTGTCTCAAAACAGATGGGTGCCAACAACAACTTTTTAAGCAGAAAGAGATTTACCTTTTTGAACAAATCGGTCTTACTCATCAACCTCTCCTTCCTTCCTTTCACCGTGTGGCAAAACATGTAGAGTAAGGCTCCTCTCCTCCAGTAAAGACATTCCAGCAGTTCTACACCAAGCACTGCGAGTGGCTGGAAATGAATAAATAAATCAGATATCCACACTGATTAAGATGCCTAAACCTTGAATAAAAAGGGCAAACATAGCATATTTGGAAATGAGTTGGTGGAATGAGTTTTGAGGTTTTTTTAAAAATAGTGTTTCATATCTTTTAATGTGAATGTCTCCCAACGGCATGAAACAAATCAGATTTGTACGCTGTAGCCACACTCTGAGGGATTCAGATTCACAAGACACAGGAAACCCAACTGTTTGTAGAACTACATATATTGAACAGAGCTGACTGGGTGCACAACTAAAACTTCCACACGCAAAGCCTGTCTCAATTTATTTCCCCTCTGGGCTTCCCTCATTGTATTATCTCCATTATATTCAATTATAGTGTTAACTTGGGTTACAAACACCTCGGGTTACAAACACTTTGGGTTACAGACTCTGCTAACCCGGAAGTAGTACCTTGGGTTAAGAACTTTACCTCAAGATAAGAACAGAAATCGCACGGCGGCAGTGGGAGACTCCATTAGCTAAAGTGCCTAAGGTTAAGAACGGTTTCAGGTTACAAACAGACCTCCGGAACAAATTAAGTTCCTAACCAGAGGTACCACTGTACTGCCTTAAAAGGAGCTGTGCACATTTCACTGATGCTATTGGAAACAGGTAACACACCAAACTATTTTTTTTAAAAAATTGTTCTTTTTGCAAAGTATAACAGTCATTCCCTGACTTAACCACAAATAATAGTTTCATAAATAACATTTAAAGAGAAGCAGTTGCTTGAGATTACACCCTTTCCACTAATATTCAGGTATTACTTTTGCATCGGCCTTCCTGCATCAGTTTCCCTAGGTCAAGGATGAGAAATCTGTGCCTGTCCAGATGCAGCAGAACTACAGCTCCCATTATCTCTACCCATTGGCCACACCAGCTAGGGCTGAAGGGAATTATAATCAAACCACATCTGGAGGAATACCAGTTCCCCATCCCTTCAACTCCTGCTGCCACCCTATTCAGCAGATGGGAGGTTATGCCAGAACTCAAGGGCATATCAGTGCGAAGTGACATCTGTCTCCACGGATATTTGATACCCAGCTCCTGAATTTAGTTTTCATTTAAAGAGAGAAAAGGTCATTCGCCTTTTATTGTGGTGAAATAAAACAAAACAGGCAGGCAGGGTCCTATCAGAATGGGTGCAATCCAATGTATCCTTGAGCAAATCTTACTAACTACAGTGAAACTTACTTTTGCATGAAATATGCGTAAGATTTGTGTCACACTGCATTCCAGTAATCTAGCTAATGAGTAGAAATGCACTGAGGTAAAATTACAGTGGTGCCTCGCAAGACGAAATTAATCCGTTCCGCGAGAGTCTTCGTCTAGCGGTTTTTTCGTCTTGCGAAGCAACCCTATTAGCGGCTTAACGGATTAGCGCTATTAGCGGTTTAGCGGCTATTAAAGGCTTAAAGGCTTAGCGGATTAGCTGCTAAAAGGCTATTAAAGGCTATTAAAGGCTTAGCAGATTAGATAAAGGGGGGGGAAAGCGGGGGAAAAAATCTCTAGACTCGCAAGACATTTTCGTCTTGCGAAGCAAGCCCGTAGGGAAATTCGTCCTGTGAAGCAACTCAAAAACGGAAAACCCTTTCGTCTAGCGGGTTTTCCGTCTTGCGAGGCATTCGTCTTGCGGGGCACCACTGTATAAGCAACAGGTGATTATTTTAAATAATTAATTTCATTTCCTTTTATTAAAATTCAATCTTAAGGCAACTCAATGGGTGGTATTTAACTATGTTTTACTCAGAGTAGAGCCACTGAAATTCATGAACATAACCAGGTGAGTCTCATTAATTTCAGCAGGAAATTACTCAGAATAAAACTTAGCTAAATAGCACCTAAAAACTTTAAATTAGGTTATGTTGCCTTTATTTAGATGCAAGCCACTGTATTGCATTATCCTCTCAAATCTTAGGGAACCCACCACCAACACAAAAATTATGACTTGAGGCTTGACAACAGTGAATTTCCCTAAATAAAAGTTCAATATAACCATCGGGTGGCAAGTCAGTACTTATCGCTGATAATACCACTGAATGCTATGGGCTGAAAAATTCAAAACAAAGAAAATGAGCAGAGACACTGAAGGCAACAGGGCTTAGAGGTTGTTTTTGTGTGTTACATGAAATTTAAAGAAATACAGGCGAATGAGACTTAACACTTAGTTAACACTCACTTCTTGAGATGTACCGCTTTCATTGATCAAGATCTCTGGCTCTGAAAGTGTGTTGATTAGTTCCTCAACTTTCTGCAAAGAGGACTCCTCTGGAAAGTCTTCATCGACAAGCTGGTTCTCCTCAAAATATGTGATATCCAGGACGGCCTTTAAAAAGGTGGAAAAATATCAGCACCACAATCTGCAACCTGTTTCGTCCTCCCTAGTTGACAGTCCACCTTGTCCAAGTAAGCTCTGAGTAGTGCTATGTTACTAGTAGGTCACGAAGAGTCGGACACGACTAAATGACTAAACAAAGTACTATGTTAAGGCAACTTTCTAAGAAGGGGATTGAAAGCAAGTTCCTTCTACATTTCCCGCTCTCCCCTGACCAGGCTGTAAGGATTTCTAAACCATAAGTTTACAAACCACAGTGCAAAGGATGGATTTGCTAATACCAGCGTTGGGCTGGATTTAACCTGTACAAGTATTTTCACTGCTGTATCCTGGAATCCCTTTCCGAAGATCAGGATAGCATGTTAGAATATACAAATGGGGGGGGGGGTGGACACGCATCACTGATCATTGCAAGACCACATTTACCTTCAACACTTCCAGGTCACCAATACCTTCTCTGTAACCTCAGAATTTGAAAATTAAGCATCCTGTGGTGGATATTAGCATAATAGGTCTGCTAGTCTCTGCCTTGACAAATATACTGATGCAATGAATCAGCTCAGCACCTCAGTTTTAAGGCTGTTCTGGAAGGGGTCGACTTCAGTGGTATAAGACATGTTTTACAAGCAGAAGGTTCCAGCTTCAGACATTTCCAGTTAAAAAGGGATTAGGTTCCAGGTGGTAAGAAAGACCTTGTAATCTTGCTGCCAATCGGAGTGGGCAAAGCTTGACTTTTATCAATAAAAGCCTGATAAGGCAGTTTCCTATGTGCCTGCTCTACACTGGCAAGAATTTGTGCTAGCAAGTATTGCTGTGTTTATCAACCACTGTCTTAAGTCATCTCACTTATATCTGGGGCAAGCAGTCTGAGCAAATCTAAGAACAGTGAAGGTCAGAAGCTATCATGTTATGGCTATATAGCCGTATCCAGTGCTTTTTTTTTTCTTTAAAATTTTTTCTAGGGGTACTAAAACTCTCTTTTAGCTCAAGAAAATCACCGTTTTATAGTTCAAATCGGGAAAAATAAATACAGTAAATAGACAAAAGTACAAAGATTCACAAACTGTTTAGGGGTATGCGTCCCCCCCCCCCCGGAAAAAAGCAGTGACCGTATCAAGCCCTCCTAATTTCTTTAAAATAAAATTAAAAAATGAAACAGAAACTAGAATACATAACTACTCTACATTTTAAGCCACAGAAAGATCAAGGCAGAAAACTGCATTTAAGCCAATTTAGTAAGTCAATGGAATCACAAACGTAAGCTTATCTTAATCACCATTAAGCTAGTTTTTTATTTGTGTCACTGAAATTTGACAACAGCACCTCAGTTTATACATACAAAATAGGGTAAATAAATCAATAAAAATAATATTTATACCACACCCATAAACTAGTTCATGGACTGCCCTGTCTGTTCCTTTAAACATACAACTCTAAGATGTATTCACAGTGCTATTAATCTTAACCCCATTCCAGTTTAACCACAAACAAAGCATTTATTTCATATTGACTTTCACTGGGAAATTCTCTTATTCGCCAGTACGAACCATATTACAGTTCACATACAGTGGTGCCTCGCAAGACGAAATTAATTCGTTCCGCGAGTTTTTTCGTCTTGCGATTTTTTTCGTCTTGCGAAGCACGGTGTCGGGAAAGTTTTGGGAAAGCTTCAAAAATAACCAAAGTCTTCAAAAACCTCAAAGAAGGGGGGTGCTTGGGAGGGAGGGAGAGGCGGGCGCAGGGCTTGGGGGGAGGCGGGGCGGAGGTTGCTGCCTGAGCCCCCGGGATCGGTTCGGCTCGCCTTGCTCCGACCCTTTGCACTACAGTCGGTGCCGTCTTGCTGCTGCTGCTGCTGTCGCCGCGGTAGTCAAAACTCCTACCGGCCTAAAAGTTGTCTGGTGCAAAATCCCTTCTGCAGCAGCAGCCCAAAAGAAAGCGAGAGCGCCAGCCAGCCAGCCGCCCGCCGCGGGCAGGAGGGAGGGAGGGAGCGTCGGCGACGGTGGATGCCTATTGCCCCTGTTGCTGCTGCAGCTGGCCAGCCAGCCAGAAGCGTGCGAGCGGAGAGGGGTGCATCCAGCCCGTTGGAGAGGAGCACGGGGGCGCGTCCCCGGTGGCTCCCGAGCTGACCTTGCCTGGCCCGGCGCCTTCCGCGCTGCCAAAGGGCGACTCACCTGCTGCCTGCGCTGCATCGGGACTAAGTCGAGCGGGGCGAGGAGAACACACACTCGCGCGCACACACACCGAGAGGCAAACTTGCCGCAGCCGTCGACGTCGCGGGGTTGGAAAGCGCGGAGATGCAGGTAGGGGGCGCCCCTCGCAGGGCGAGCGCCGGAGGGCCCGGGCAGGCGCTCTTGTCGCCGCCGGGGCGCTGGGGGGGGGGGAGAAGGAAGGAGCCCCGTCCGAAGAGCCCCGGAGCCTGGCCTCCCTAACTGGGAGTTGTGGGGAGGGAAGTGTGCGCGCCTTGCTATTTTTCGCCGAAACAAAGCTCCCTCTCCCTCAGAACCCGCCTTCACGCGTTCTTGCCCCCACGGAGACGCACACTGCGTGCTATGAGTTGCTCCTCGAAGTCAAGTCGCAACTGTATTAACGGTTTTAAGAAAAAGGAAACAAACTTGCAAGACGTTTCCGTCTTGCGAAGCAAGCCCATAGAGAAAAGCGTCTTGCGAAGCAACTCAAAAACGGAAAACCCTTTCGTCTTGCGAGTTTTCCATCTTGCGAGGCATTCGTCTTGCGAGGTACCACTGTATTATGAATCCTATTGTCCAAGCGTGCTTAAAATTGCAGCCTAAAAAGCTGAAAATTCATCACTGCACAGTACCTGTGTATAAAGTTGCAGGAGTTTGGAAAGTGTGCCATTTTCTCCAGGCTGGTTACAAAGGTCCGTCAAGTTTTCCAGTGTAGCAGAAGCTTGCATTAAGAAGGGATCTGTTGATGAAAAGAGACAAAGACCTCATCAAAAACACAATCCATATAAGACAGTATTTCCCCCACAAACATCATTGAGATATTACAGTATTCAGAACCTGTAAAACATTAGCGCCTCATGCAAAAGCTTCTGCACTACCCAATCCTGCACCACAGGGGTGCAAAAGTTTCCATGCAACCCAGAGACCCCAATGTGGGGTTCGAAGCAACAGTCTCATACTGAGCTACAAAGGTGCCACAAAAAACTTGCCTGACTAGTACAACAATCCATTAGATTTTTCAACCCTTTCTGGATCCATGACCCCCAAGAAATTAGAAGGGGCTCAAGTGTGATACAGAACCCCACCCCACCCCCCAAAACCCTTACAACATAGATAATGAATGAGAAACCCTTTACAAATCCAGGAGAAGGCAGCTGCTCTCAGCGGCAGAGCACCTCCTTTGCATGCCAAGGCCTCAGGTTCATCCAGGTAGTGCTGGCAAGGTGCCTTCGACTGAATCCATCAGAGAGTTGCTACCAGCCAGTGTTGGCAACAACAAACCATATGCACCCATGGTGTGGATCAGGCAGTTTCCTACGTCCTTAGGTTTGCAATCCTATGCAGACCTAGACATCTAAGCTGGGGAGAAGGCCTTGCTTCTGGTTGCACATCCATGGACATATACAGGGCTGGATTTAGGTTTGATAAGGCCGTAAGCTACCGAAGGTAGCGGGGCCCTTTATATGTCCAGCTGTCCTTTGTCAAAAACAGATTGGCGCCGTTTTTTGTGTTGAATATATACTATATGGTAATTTATGGATCTAATAGGTATCTAAAGCCATTTGCACGTTGCCATGCAACAAGTCCAACAAAGGTCCGAATAGTAAAACCTATGGTTTTCCCAGTAGTGATGTATGGAAGTGAGAGCTGGACCATAAAAAAGGCTGATCGCCAAAGAATGGATGCTTTTGAATTATGGTGCTGGAGGAGACTCTTGAGAGTCCCACGGACCGCAAGTAGATCAAACCTATCCATTCTGAAGGAAATCAGCCCTGAGTGCTCACTGGAAGGCCAGATCCTGAAGCTGAGGCTCCAATACTTTGGCCACCTCATGAGAAGAGAAGACTCCCTGGAAAAGACCCTGATGTTGAGAAAGATGGAGGGCACAAGGAGAAGGGGACGACAGAGGACGAGGTGGTTGGATAGTGTTCTCGAAGCTACCAGCATGAGTTTGACCGAACTGTGGGAGGCAGTGGAAGACAGAAGGGCCTGGCGTGCTCTGGTCCATGGGGTCAAGAAGAGTCAGACACAACTAAACGACTAAACAACAACAATGGAACCAGTCCATGCAGAATGTAAGGCACCCTATATATAGAAATGAGCAAACCAGTGATATTTTAGGGAGCAGGCTAGCAGGTGGCGCCCATTACTTACATCACAGGAGCCTGCCTACACAACACAAAACATTGTTGCTGTATGTAGGTTTTATTTTATTTGTGTGTTTTTTCTTATATTTTGGAAATGTACATCCATTTCCCCCCCTTTATTTGCAGGCCCCCAAGAAAGTGGGGCCCTAAGCTATAGCTTGTTTAGCTTATACGTAAATCCGGCACTGGGCACATACCCCACAAATGCTCCCGGCGGCGAAAAAACCCAAGAAATGGGAGGTTTTTAATTAAGAAAAAACATACCCTAAAACCAAGGACCGCCCAATTAAGCTTAAAGGAGAGAATGGGAGGTTCAATGCAAACAGGAAGCGCTTCTCCCCGCAGCGGGTTTCGCAGTTTTAACCACCCCGCTCTTACCATCGGAGGCTTCTTCGCTTTGGCTCGAGCGCTGCAGCCTTCCTTTGAGCGCCGCAAGCCGCAGCCGCAGCTCGGCAGCGAAACCTGCCCCGGCCATCTGGAACGCGCGGAGCTCGCCTCCCGGGTCCAGACTGGCAGCTGCTACGCAGACCACGCCTCTTTCTTTCTTTTCCTCGTCACGTGATATGCTCCAGCCCAGAGGAGGGGAGGATCGCGCCGCGGAGGCTTTGTAGCCACGAGAGATAGGAAAAGTATAGAGGGGGGCAACTTGCCTGGATTCCTAGGTTTTAAAACCGCTGAGGCCACTTCCGGGTTTTGGGACACGCACATCCCCAGCCATCGATACTGCAGATCTTGGTTCAGATTTAATTCACAGTGGAGCATTTGTCTCTTTTTCTTTACAAAATCGGTTTGAAAGGTGACCTGACTGTAGGTCTAAAGGACTATAACCGCCTTTTTTTGGGGTGGGTGGGGGGAATTGTTGTAAAGTCAGCAGCTCATTTGCACCCATCAGCTCTGGCGCCAGGACAGGGTCCTGTTTGTTTTTTGAGCTTTGAGTTTGGAAGTAAAAACAAACAAACTTGAACGCTCTTTCAAAACGGGGGAATGACGTTCACAGCCTAAATATATAAAATGAGCAGCACTTTATTCCCGCCCACCCCCTTCGGTTTCTTGAAGATGCTTGAGTTCAGTCAGATGTACTCACCACCCCATTGAGGACTTCTTGTTACAGACACAGACAAGGCTAGATTAATGATGGTGATAAATATTTCATTTTCTTTCAGAGGAGTTGTTTAGAAGAACCATAAACCAAAGCTATCTTGGATATAAACTAGCTTAAACCACCCATTATCTATGCCTCCAAAGGCCCCATCTATAATTTCGATTTATTATTTTTTGCCTACCTTATGCGGTGGTGGTTAAGTAGTAAGGAAGCATTCTCGACTGATTAAGAAACCGAATAGGAACAAGTAAAGGACGGGTATTTCTACCTGTGTCTTACCATCTTCCAGATTAAATGACCATCACAGGAAAGCAAGAGTTGATAGGGCAATAATCATCAAAAGTAAAAACATAACCGTTAAAATTTCTAGGGGATTTTATTTGTATTTTGCAATTGGGGGTGGGAACCGTATTTTTATTACACCACGACTTCTCGAACTTCCACGCGGCCGCAATTGCATCGCCCATCGTGTGGATTCTGCAATGCGCGCGTTAACCACGAATCTAGAGGCGGAGTCACGGGGGAGGCGGGGCGCGCTCCGCCATTGCGCAGTATGTCCCAAGGGAGCCACCGTCAGGGCAAGGGAAGAGCAGCCCCGCCCCTCCCGCCGCTTTGAATTGACTTTGAATTCAAAGCCGCGCACGGAACGCTGCCCCTCCCTTCGCTCAGCAACCGTCACTTTCCTGTCGTTAGCGGGCGGGGTTTACCCTCGTCGCCCTTTCGGCCGCCCTCTGCCCCGCTCGCCACGTCCTGTCAGGGCGAGGGAATGGAGGCCCGGCGGGGCCTGTCCCAGGCCAGCCCCGACGCTGAGGGAGACAAAGCTAGGGCGAGCGGGCAAGAGATGTCGCCGCCGCCACCACAGCAGCAGCAGCTACCCCGCCGGCTCCCGCTGCCTCTGCTCTCCTCCTGCTCCGGGTGTCTGATCTGATCTGTGCCGGCGGCAGAACATTATATTTGCCGGAGGGGACATTCGCGCCGGCTGCAAGGTGACTGGCGTCCCCATAAACTGCAAGGCTGCCGACGGAGGAGATGGGAGGCCCATGGCATTGCCAGCTTTGTCGTCGCCCTGGGTTACAATACCCTAAAGAAACCCACTGCCTTCACCCGCGTTTCGGGTTTCGAGGCCTATATCCTGGAAAGCAGATGGCTAACTCTCCACGATGACCTGACCTGCCTTTTGCGGGACCCCCTCCTTCTTTTCCCTGTTCAGGGAAGTTTTTAATGTGTGACATTTTAATGTATTTTTAATCTTTGTTAGAAGCCGCCCAGAGTGACTGGGGAAACCCAGCCAGATGGGCGGGGTACAAATAATAAATTATTATTATTATTATTATTTGCTAGGATCCCTCTTAGTCCCAGAATAAAGCAGCTGAGAAAGAAGAAGAAATGGCGCTACCCCAAGCTGCAGCAGCGATGCCCTGCGTGCCCAAGTCTTGTGAGAGTTCGTTGCCGACAGCAGCCATACAAAACCAAACCAAACAACTGGATGCTTTGCCGAATTCTAAAAATCCGCCTGGACACCATTTTTAACACTGAAAAAGAGGATGTGACCTTGGGGGCCAGTCACTGTCTCTCAGCCTTACCTACCTCACAGGGTTGTTGTGGGGATACGATGGGGGAGAGGAGAAGTAGATTTGCTGTCTTAACTCTTTGGAGGAAGTGATGAAGATAAATGGGGTGGATGGGTAGGTAGGTGGGTAGGAAGACAGGTAGATTCGCCTTTCAAATAACTCAGTGACACTCTCAGGATACAGTCATGGCGGCTCATGGGACCCTCAGAATCAGCCAGCTCAGCAGCGTATTGTACTAAGTCCCAAAGTGCACTTGGAGCAGCCATGAACTCAGCTAGGTGGCAGTTGACTCCAAAGCCAACTGAAGGCATTCTGGAATTTCCCTGTCCATGCATGGCCCCCATTGTGAGTTCACCAGCCCAAGGTTCTCCAGAACTCCCATTGGCTGATCTTCTGGAGTAGACGAAGATCTCCTGGGCCCCTAGTGGCTGGCATCTGCCTGCCACCTCCCCCTCAGCTGGCCTCCAGCAGAAGGGTGCCTGGGAGGGATGCAGCAGCTCAGGTGCCCTGCAGGCCCTGCGCTGGCTGCAAAAGCAGCGTGGGGGGCAGCGCCCGAGCCACTGTCCCTCCCAGGCGCCCTCCAACTCACAACGGGGCAGGGTGCCTTGATGTACCACCACCCCACCCCCCAAGAAAAAAATGCCCAGGGCAATGCCCCCCCCCCATTCTAGGCCCCTGGGTAGGTAGGAAGACAAGTAGGTTCTTTTTACCTTCTAAAGAATTTCATGTTTCCGCCTTCCAGCCCCTGGCTGCACCAGTCCTTCATTTCATTCAGGTAATGGAGGGCAAAAAACCCCCAAAAGGCAGGTGGCACAGATGCTACTTAGCACAGCCATTATGATGGAGAAAGGTGCCACCCTGATGCCTTCCTCAGAGACACTGCGTGGTTCACAGACCTCAGGATTGTGTGCTGCTGGAGCTGTGTCCCTCCCATGTTGCCTGCAAAGAAGCGTGGGGCTTGCGCCCAAGCTGCTGCATCCCTCCCAGGCACCCTCCACCCAGAGGGCAGCTGAGGGGGAGGCGGCAGGCGGATGCCAGCCTCACACTGCTTTTTCAGGCAGCGCAGGGCCTGCAAGGCACCCAAGCCACCTGCAGGGCACAGCTAGCCTCAGTGACACTCTGGATGGGGCATGCTGGCGAGTCTGGGAATATCCCCCCACCCAGTTTAGGATATTCCACCATTCTTTAGCAGAGTTTCTTTTAGCAATGTTTCTTTTCTTTTAGGAATTTGTTCAATACAAGTACTGTATATGTCAAACAAAGCTTTAATAATAAAGAAAATTGTAACATAACATACTGTCTGAGAGAAACTAAAACAGCATCATGAGGCAAGAATGACAGTTGGCCTGTCCATTTGAACTTAACCGAACACCCGAAAGGAGGGGCCGATTCCAGAGCACAACACATAAGCCCTGCCCACCTGATGCCAGACATCCTAATAAATGTCACAAATGTTACAATCTCTTCACTGTGCCTAATTTGAATTAATAAAATTTAGTTTAGCACATAACTTCTCATAACTTTCATTTCAACAAAGGCTTTGCTAAAATATCACCTGTCATTTCCATTGTTGGACGATACTGCATTTCAATAAACCCATTCTGGCTCAAATCTCTTATTGTATAACATTTTAGGTCTATGTGCTTAGTACGTGTATTTACCTTCTCTGACCGCACCAATTTCGGACAACCCTGATTGTCTTCCATAACCTTAATGAGCTTTGAATCTGGCATTCTGAGATCCTCTAAATTAAAAAATGGGTAGGCAAACTAAGGCCTGGGAATCGGATCCGGCCCGCGGACGGTCCGGGAATCAGCATGTTTTTACATGAGTAGAATATGTCCTTTTATTTAAAATGCATCTCTGGGTTATTTGTGGGGCAAAATAATTCATTCATTTTCCTCCCAAAAATATAGTCCGGCCCCCCACAGGCTCTGAAGGACAATGGATCGGTCCCTGCTCTAAGCCATTGTGCTTCTTCACACGTTTCTGAAGCAGAAAAATACTCTGCTGTCATATGACTTCCACACAAACAAATGGGAACAAATGCACAGTAAAACAGTCTAACCTTTGCATAACCTTGGGCCAGCAAATTTGGATGAATGCTCAATAAACAGCTCATCTAGAGGCGACCTTTGTTGCTTTTTCATTCTGCACTGGATTACTTATGCATGAATGTAGCACATGAAATGCAGACTATGTGAGGTGGCTTGAAAGTAACTGCCAAATAAGGTGTTCTGTATACCTGAACGGATACTCAAAGTTATAAGAAACTTAGATGAATGCTATCTTGTGGCACACGTGCAATTTTGATATAATGAAGTGTTTCAGAAGTGAGTTTTAAGTAGATCTTGCAGCAGGTTGAATAGCATCTGCTAATCAGAAAAAGCTCAACACAGAGATGCAGCAAACGTGAATAAATGTAACCAGTCTCAATCACAGAGTTGATTAAAATGTTGACATTTGCTGTACCAAAAGATTATATTACATTTTTTAAAGGATTCCACGTCCCACAATGTGCCTACAAAGCCATACTTTTTACTCCAGATTTACTACATGCATGATGTTAGTCCACAGTGTAATCCAATTCTTTAAAAAGCACACAGGAAGTTGCCTTATAAGCAGCTCAGGCTATTTGTCTACTTAGCCTACCACAATCTGCCCAGTGTTACCGGTATCTGCTTAGCCTTCCCCAATCTAGGTTCCTCCAGATGCTAGCACACAGATGTGCTGTCTGAGGCTGATGGGAGTTGTAGTCCCAGGCTGGCCTTCACTTGGGTCCATAAGAAGTTTCACTTTATAGCCCCTCTTTCAAAAGTCTGTTGGTTTGCTTTTGGGATTAGAGGTAGACATGCTATTAATTTGAGCTGACCCCCTGACCCCATTTTACAACCAGTGCTAGTAACATTCACATTGCAGAATGGGACATTCTGGTATATCTGCTCTTGCAAATTAAATGAATGAGAATGAATTTCAGCCAGTAAACACAAATCTGACAAACTGAAAGCTGATGCCACAATTTATTGACTAATAGTATTTAAGGTGTTTGGTTGTTTTTTTTATTGAGGCTGAAGTTTTAAACGTATTACTAGAGAGTAAGGCCATTTGAACATACAAGGGACTTGCATCTAAGTAAACCTTAGGAGGCGCATACTTTATGAGATGTTTGTTAAGTAGGAAGGAAGCATTCTCAACTGATTAAGAAACCATAGAGGAACAGGTAAAAGGACGCGTATGTCTAGCTGGGTCTTATCATCTTAAACGTTATATGATCCTAACAGAAAAGCAAAGGAATATAGTTGATATGACAATAATCATTAAAAATTAGAAATATAATAATTAAAATTTCTAGAAGGTTTTATGTGTACTGTATTTTGGAGCGGGATGTGGGGACCCTATTTTTATTGCATCACGACTTCTGGAACTTCCACGCGGCCGCGAATGCTTAATCAATCGCGGGGGTTTGGCTTTTGCGATGCTCGCGCTCTAACCCAGGACTAGAATCCGGAGCAGCAGCGCGCAGTTGCCAGCGGGACTGCGGGGGAGGCGTCCCGAATGCCTCCCACGCCTCCGGAACAAACCGGAGGCGGAATCCCGGTGGGGCGCGCGGCTTCTTCTTGGCCAGACTGCCCCTTCTTACTTGCGCGCAAGCAGCTTCGCCGTTGCGCGGACGCCGCTTTCCTCCTACTGAGTGAGACCCACCTCCTGGTGGGATCCAGGCTCCGACGCCAAGAGGCGGAGGATTGCAGCTGCTGCAGTGCCGGGGGTGTTGAATCGCAGCTAAGTAAGAAGCAGCTAAGTAAGAGACGGGGAAGGTTGCCGGTGCGCCCCGGAGCGATGGCGCATGGCGGTGGGGAGTGGCAGCGCTTGGAGACGCTCCTGCGAAGCAGCCTGCGCGTCATGTGTGAGCAGCAGCAGCAGCCGGGGAAGCTCCCGGAGGGCGACGATCGCGCTGGGGAAGAGGAGGAGACGACGACGCCCAGCACCTTGGAGGCCCTGCCGGTAAGCGCGCCGCCGCCCCCAAGGTCGCCTGGCGCATCCCAGCAAGGCGAACGGCCGCCGCTTCCAGCAGTGTTGCCAAAAGTTCCCCGTTGGAGCTTCCTGTTCGCTCGGCTTCCCATTGGTCCCTTCACGGCCCCGCCCCTTTGACGCCAGACAGTTGCACTCTTTATTTTATTTTATTTTAATATATTGCTGTGCGCCACCCCCATTCCAGGGGTTCCAGGCACTTACCCAGGGTCCGTGTTTCCTTTTGGCAATGAGGCACAGTTGAAACTCTGGTGTCTTTATGACATATAATTTATTAACTCATATATACAACCTGAGCATATGATGGAAGGGTTCACAGCATTAACACCCCAAAAGGGTCTTGTTTCTCCCATAGCTGCAGCCTTGGATTCCAGCAGAAATCAGGCATACCGTATTTTTCACTCTATAAGACGCACCAGACCACAAGACGCACCTAGTTTTTGGAGGAGGAAAGCAAGGAAAAAAATATGCTGAATCTCAGAAGCCAGAACAGCAAGAGGGATCACTGCGCAGTGAAAGCAGCAATCCCTCTTGCTGTTCTGGCTTCTGTGATAGTTGTGCAGCCTGCATTCGCTCCATAAGACGCACACACATTTCCACTTACTTTTTAGGAGGGAAAAAGTGAGTCTTATAGAGCAAAAAGTACGGTACTTCTTTTCTGCCTTTTCATTTGACAGCTGTTCCCTCTGGGTCACATCACAGCAGAAGGTGCTCTAAGACTCAGACTTTTGTCCTTCTAACTATCTGAGAGCTGAAGGAGGGGCACAGAGCCCTCTCTCCTTTCTCCTTTTTCCTTCTTAATGGCCCATCACCCAGGCGATTTCCTGGTTTGATGAGCTTTTAACCCTTGCTGGATTCAGGGATTAGAAGTCTGGCATACAGTTTTAACACCGCAAGCCTTGATTAAATTCTAGCACTTGCTGGATCCAGAGATTGAAGAGGTCTAGCACCCACAAACTCATAACACTAAGTTTATTAATTTTTAAAAATATCAACTGAAAAAAGTCAAGAAGATGCACAAATTGATTGCATGAAAACAAATATATATATGTGACTCCTTCAGGCTGTTTGGGACAAGGCTCCAGGCCATTTCTGGAGCATTTCATAGAAGCATAGAATGGTAAATTTGGAAGGGACTCCCTGAGGTCATTCTCATATATATATATATATATATATATATGAATGATAGGGGCTGTTGTTATGTTTTTATGCTTCCTAAATGATTCATTTATAAATATTTAAACTTTCCCCCCCAGATAGATTTGAAGTTATACATTATGTCCTTCCTCACACCCAAAGATCTGAGTAATTTGGGAAGCACCAATCGCTACTGGAGTCTAACAATCCAGGATCCCTTACTATGGCGTTATTTTCTCATCCGCGATCTTCCTTCCTGTCGTTCTATTGATTGGGAGTCAGTCCCTGATGCAAACATATTTAATAAATCCTTTTCTGAGCTTCATAATAGTGCCTCATGTGACTACATGGCTGCGTAAGTATCCTCTAAAATTCCATATAGGCAACGTACATCTTTATAGACATATAAAGTTTTGTGCTGTATGTCTCCTAATCTCCTTTTTAAACAAAAACATAGCAGGATTTAAAATAGCATAAATTGATGAACAGCTATAAACATTCAGTAATACTAAAACCTGATTCTACAATTACTCTTTTTGTAAACATTATATAACATTTGGCATCAATAATACACTTGGCACTAATATATCATTAAATTTTATGCCATCCCAGATTTACTTTGTGTGTTAGCAGATTGCCTTCGACAGTTAGTGTATGCTATCATAGAATCATATTACAGTGGTACCTCGGGTTACAGATGCTTCAGGTTACAGACTCTGCTATCCCAGAAATAGTACCTCGGGTTAAGAACTTTACTTCAGGATGAGAACAGAAATCGGGTGGCAGCAGCGCGGCGGGAGGCCCCATTAGCTAAAGTGGTACTTCAGGTTAAGAACAGTTTCAGGTTAAGAACAGACCTCCAGAACAAATTAAGTTCTTAACCCGAGGTACCACTGTACCTCCGTTGTTTACAATACAGCTTTTGCTTAAGGGTTCTTTGTTGGTTCCCTCTTGACCATAGATGGCGATGTTTTGATGGAATAAGGATCCACACTCAGAGAACTGAGTTTGCTATTAGCATATATTCAGAGTGTTGTTTTTAGGCAGTGCTTTTTTTTCTAGGAAAAATAGGTGCTGGTACTCACCATGAAGTTGTTAACAGTAAGTGTCACAGTAAGTTTGAGTACTTTCAAAACTCACAAATGTGCACCTCACTCTTCCTTGGAAAGCTCTGAGCAGCTTCCTTTGGGCTTAACAGTGCTGAGCATTTTTTTTGTTATTTGTGGGCCCTTTCAGCTCATGCTGAAAAACTTGTCTTACTCCTTTTAAAGTAATCAGTTTTCATTATTATGGTGTGTGTGTTTTCTCTCTCTGTGTGTATACACACACACACACACACACACACACACATTCTATATACACACAGGTACAAAAAGTGTTGCTCCTGGCGTAAAAGATGTCCAAAACCCAGCCAACCCACTTCCGGATCTGTCACTTCCATGTTACAGTCGCTGATCACACAGACAGAGCCTCGCTTTGCAATGTTTGGGCCTCTGTTGGAAGAGCTGAATGACTCTTTGCTGTACAGAATGGCGGTGTGTCCGGAGATTTGGCCGCTGGCTGGTTTTCCTTCTGGACAATTGAATGGTAACATGATTTCTTTATCTTAAGCAAGCAAACAGAAAGGGCAATGGTGAACATTTGAAGCCTCCTTATTCTGAGTGGGATATTTTCTAACCCAGCTACAGAACGTAGTTTAACTGGAGGCAGAGTGGGGCCAGCCCTACCATTAGACAGAAAGAGAAGAAACAACTTTTCAAAAATATATAGTACTTATCTAGTAGTACTATATTGTTTATGAGGGACAATGAGTCAGTGGCAGAACAGAGGCTCTGTGTATTCCAATAATAATAATAATAATAATAATAATAATAATAATTGTTTATTTCTACCCTGCCCATCTGGCTAGGTTTCCCCAGCCACTCTGGGCGGCTTTCAACAGAACATTAAAAACAGAATAAAATTTCAAACATTAAAAACTTCCCTAAACTTCCCTTCAGATGTCTTCTAAAAGTCAGATAGTTGTTTATTTCCTTGACATCTGGTGGGAGGGCATTCCACAGGGCGGGCGCCACTACCAAGAAGGCCCTGTAATCTCACTTCTCACAGTAAGGGAACTGCCAGAAGGCCCCGGCACTGGACCTCAGTGTCTGGGCTGAACAATGGGGGTGGAGACGTTCCTTCAGGTATACTGGGCTGACGTCGTTTAGGGCTTTAAAGGTCAGCACCAACACTTTGAATTGTGCTTGGAAATGTACTGGGAGCCAATGTAGGTCTTTCAGGACTGGTGTTATATGGTCTCGGTGGCCACTCCCAGTCTAGCAGCCACATTCTGGATTAGTTGCAGTTTCCGGGTCACCTTCAAAGGTGGCCCCACGTAGAGCGCGTTGCAGTAGTCCACGCGGGAGATAACCAGAGCATGCACCACTCTGGCAAGACAGTCCGCAGGCAGGTAGGGTCTCAGCCTGCATACCAGATGGAGCTGGTAGACAGCTGCCCTGGACACAGAATTGACCTGCACCTCCATGGACAGCTGTGAGTCCAAAATGACTCCCAGGCTGTGCACCTGCTCCTTCAGGGGCACAGTTGCCCCATTCAGGACCAGGGAGTCCCCCCCACCTGCCCGCCCCCTGTCCCCCCAAAACAGTATTTCTTTCTTGTCAGGATTCAACCTCAATCTGTTAGCTGCCATTTATAATCTTCTAGGAACTTAGAAGGATGTGGGACACAGGTGGCGCTGTGGTCTAAACCACTGAGCCTAGGGCTTGCCGATCGGAAGGTCAGTGGTTCGAATCCCCGTGACGGGGTGAGCTCCTGTTGCTCGGTCCCAGCTCCTGCCAACCTAGCAGTTCGAAAGCATGTCAAAGTGCAAGTAGATAAATAGGTACCGCTCCGGCCGGAAGGTAAACAGTGTTTCTGTGCACTGCTCTGGTTTCGCCAGAAGTGGCTTAGTCATGCTGGCCACATGACCCGGAAAAACGTTGGCTCCCTCGGCCAGTAAAGTGAGATGAGCGCCGCAACTCCAGAGTCGTTCGCAACTGGACTTAACTGTCAGGGGTCCTTTACCTTTTTAAGAACTTGTCAGTTTTAAACATTACCTTTTTAAGAACTTGTCAGTTTTAAACAGGCCTCAAATTCTTCACATTTCTTTTCTTCTTCCTGTGTCTCAAACAGGGATAGAATTAGGAGTCACATATCATTTGAATGGCCAGAAATTCAATATTACACTGTGTACAGAAAGCATGTAAGTGTTATCTGAGGTGTTGTTTTTTGCTTGCTTGCTTCCCCACCCCTTCAAGTAACAGTATTCCAACAGTGATAAGATTGTCCCAAAATAAGAAAATTCTAGATCTCCATCATCATGCCGATGCATATGGGAATTTTCTAATAGTAATAGGATTGTCTGAAGAGGAGAGCAAGCCCGTTTCAAGAAGTGCTCATTCTGTGCACGTTTCTTTCAAGGAAACGTTTGGCCACAGTCTGGGACATGGCCTCATTTGCTCAGTTCACTCAGGAATTGGGGGACCTAGATTACTAGGAGCCAGAGTAGACTTGTGAATTGTTTCTTTGCTTTAACTGCCTGGCCTAGATGTGTACAAAAGACCACACTGTTCTTTCTTAAGGCACTAGTCCTCAACACCTTCAGTTCTGCATAGTTTCTCCCTTCCTTACTGCACAGTATCTGGAAAAAAAACAAACTGGTTTCTCTCCTCCCTTTCCAGAGCAAAGGAAGAGAACACCAGTCCCGTCAACAAGGTGTTCTCTGCAGAGTCCAGTGTTGATGGGAAAATGCATTGCAGTCTGAACAAACATTTAAAAAACGTGTGCAGACTAATGGATGGGTTCATCTATCTTGCATATGCTGACACTCATGAAAGTAAGGACCTTTGCGCCATATGGGTCAAAAAGGAATAATTATGTGGCTACACAACCCAGTAGGGTCTAAGAATGGGGGATCTGTTGTATTTTCTATTGTTTGCTGTGTGCATGTGCTTTATACCAACAAAAACCGTTTAAAACTTAAGATAAATAAATGTAAGGGCTTCCGAATGATGCCAACATAGCTTTTAGCGTACAGCTGGCAGAGGGTGGCAGAGCCTTTATCTCCCTCACTCTCTTTTTGCAGGACACAACCGTCAACTTGAATTTGACTGGCTGGCAGCAATGCTTGACCCAGTCCTTGGCCCTACAGATAGGCCTCTTCTTGTCCTGTCCGGTGTTTCCTGTGCTGAGATCAAAAGAATTCCTTGTGTTTATATGGCACATCAGCTGCAGCTGAACCTGCTTGGCACGCGGCCATGGATGGTAGCATTTCACCCCCTTTCATTTGTTTAAGTATCTGGGATCATGAAACTGATTGACAACAGGCTCTAGAAGCACCATTCCACATCATGCAATTGAGGCTGCCATCCTATTCTCAGTTATATGGGAGTAATGCCTGTTAAACCAATGGGACTGCCTTCTGAGTATATATGCATAGAATTTCACTGTAGGTTACAGAACTGGCCTATACCTTTGATGCCTTATTCTTTTTTTAAAGGTTGGTCAAATTCATTGAGATTATGTCTATAGCAGCCCACAGGCCAGATTTGGCCCACAAGGCCATTTTCCCTACACCGGGCTCACCTGCCCACACCTGACTCCATCAGGAACAGGTAGAGATGCAGCTACCAGCACACAATTGGGAGCCGTAAGGTGCACCACCATTGCCAAGAGAAAGCAGGCTTCCAACACTTGCTGAATCAGCAGTGTGAACCTGTTCACCCCACAGGAAATTCGCTCATAGAGGCAATGCCTGCAGAAAACAGGCCTTCATCTCTTTGCCAATCAAGCCGAAGCCTCAAGCGCTTTTGTTTTGTGAAAGATACTAACATTTGCTTATTCCTGCATTTCACAGGTTCAGAACACCGAAACTTCCACCTTGGATGGACTGGTAGATGGAATTCAGTGGCTACTGGAACAAACCAAATGTAAAAATGCCCAGTAACCAGGCTTGTTTACATTCATTCACATATACATTACTGCATGCCCACTTGTGGTGAGGAGAATGTCACTCTGTCCTTGGGTATGAATGGGTGGATAAATTTCTCCCTGGCACATGTGTGTCCGCAGTTTCTCCCACTGATGTTTGTCTACTCTGATAAGTTACCACTTGGTAAATGAATACTCAGACCTAATACTCAGGCATAAGAGTCCCCCACTACAAAAACTCTATCGAATTGGGATTCAACTTCACCCCATACAGTCCACCATAGCTTCCAGGTCCAATACCTTCACAGGCGGAAAAGCACACCCAGTTCAGATGGAATGGGAAAACAGAGCCGTGTGTCATCAACATACTGATAATATACTAATAATATTTTTTATAACAGGCGGCCCTGTTTAGGGAAGTTTTTAATGTCTGACGCTGTATTGTTTTTAATATTTGGTTGGAAGCCGCCCAGAGTGGCTGGGGAAACCCAACCAGATGGGCGGGGTATAAATAATAAATTATTATTATTATTATTATTATTATTATTATTATTATTATTATTATATTATGCTGTTTCAAAATTCATAAACAGAAGACATATAATATGTGCATGGAGTCACAAACGAATAAGAATCAAATAAATGTTCCATGAACACGAATGGTAGGAGTGGTAAGTCACTGTCAAAGATTACTGAATTGGAGGCACAGTGCCTTTCCACAGTCAATATCCTACAAACATGAGATGATGGGTGCTCCAAACGTCGCAATAGGGTGCTCCAAGCACAGCAGCAGACAGTACAGTTCTTCCAGGATAATGAACCATTTCAGTGATACAGTGGTACCTCTGGTTGCGAACGGAATCCATTTTGGAGGCCTGTTCGCAACATGAAAAGAGCACAACCCGCAGCGGCGCACATGCGGGTTGCGATTCGCCACTTCTGCGCATGCGCGAGCTGCGAAACCCGGAAGTAACCCTTTCAGGTACTTCTGGGTTGCCGCGGGATGCAACCTGAAAGAACGTAAAATGAAACGGACGTAACATGAGGTATGACTGGAACAGCTAACAATAATATGAAATGAAAAGCATTACATTCAAATACAGTCCAGTGAAAGAAATGACAGGCCTGCATGTTAACCAACCAATAATAAATACATACCAAATTAATAGTCCCCAAAGGTACATCAGATGGCGATGGAGCAGCTATCACTAAAAAGTGTAGCAAGCTGATAATGCAACAGACTGAAGAGAGTCTTGATCACCTGCTTTCTCCAGGGGCACCTACAAGTCAGCTCTGAACTCTCCTGCCTGTGTCTAGTTGAGGTCTGTGTTTAGCCCTAGTCTTTATGACAAGCCCTCTAGATATACCTCGATTCAACCAGCTTAATCATTCACATATAGCAGCTCCTTTGCCAGTCGAGCTCTTGATTGATGTCACGTGAACAAGGCTGGGAACATATCTTTTGAAGGCTTTAGAACTGGCGAAAGGTTTTGTGACTGCAGTTATAGTACAGCAATGTGTTCAGCAAATCTAGAGTTTGTTGCAGAGATTGCTGTATTGAGCAGGGCAGGACTGGATCAAGGCGTTTTTCCACCTGAAGCACTTTCCTGCCTTTTCCTGAGAATCCTTAAGGACAATATCACCATGCAGCTTATATATAGAATGTAACACGTACAGTGTGTTACATGAACAGAGTAGAAATAATCCTTTGAATATTGTATTACAGTCCAGAAAATCCTGTTCTTGAAGGTTTTATCAGACATGAATTGGCATGTTGGTTGTCAGCTGCTAAGAGGATTCTGGTTCTAACAGTGCTACTGTCTTAGCTTCAATCTTATCATCTTGTTATGCACTCTTCATGTAGAAATTTCCCGTTAATAGTAAAGAAACCAGGGATGATCGGATATGGCTGTTGTCACAGATCATCTGTGACTACCACTGCAAGAAGCAGAGTGCAGCGGTACCTTGGTTTAAGAACAGCTTAGTTTATGAACAACTTGGATTGAGAACGCTGCAAACTCGGAAGTAGGTGTTTTGGTTTGCGAACTTTGCCTTGGAAGAAGAACATGTTTCGCTTCCTGTTGAGTGTGTTCCATTTGTAAATTGAGTCCCCTGCTGCTATGCGAAAGCACGCCTTGGTTAAAGAACGCTTTGGTTTAAGAACGGACTTCCGGAACGGATTAAGTTCGTAAACCAAGGTACCACTGTAGTTATATTTATATCCTGGCTGTCGTCCAAGGAGCATAAGGCTGTACACATGGTTATCTCCCCTTTCCTTTATCTTCACAACAACCTTGTGAGGTAGGTTGTGCTGAGAGATGGTGTCTGACCCATGATCACCCAATTAAGATCACAGCTAAATGGAGTTGTGAATGTGAATCTCCCGTAACCCAGCACTAACTAAATGAAAGGCTGTCCTGGACAATGCAATACAAAATATATGCAACACGACAGAGACACATTCATGCAACTGGACACAAAAACATCTTCCATTGTTTTCAGAAAGTGCAGCTAGTAGGGTAGCATATATAATGAATTTAATTTGTTATTTCCCCCATTCTATTGACTTTTGTGCGTATTCTTTGGTTGGAAGGCTGCGTCACAAAACTGGGATCAATAAGAGTTTCAAAGGATAGCTGTGTTTCGGTTCAAGAAGTGCAGATCAGGTAGCTTCTTATTAAAAAAACAAACAAAATCAATTTACTCCTCTTACTCTACTTGGAATCCCTTTTGAGCCATGATTCTCCATGGGTGACCTTGTGTAACTAATGATTTCTTTGCCTAAGCAACTGAATTGGGTGGTGGTAGTTCAAATAAAATGAATTGAACATACACTGCAATTCATCCTTGCAACATGGCAGGAAAAGAAAAGTAGGAATAAAAATAAAATGTGTACTCCATCCGAGGAGATGAATTCGGGAAAGTTCTCATGACTATTCATTCCTTTAACACCGTGTTTTTCTTGGATCATTTCCAATACTGCTATGACCAAGTTAGTGTTCTAGTGGTTTTGATTAAGGTTTAAGAAAATTAAGACTAGTGTCTGTAATGATTAACTTCTAACAGGTTTAACTTAGTTCCTTCCATCACATTAACTCTGGCAAATTATCCCTGTTCAGCATAAGACGTTCCAAACTCCAGCTACTGTTCCCTGCAAAATGTATGATTTTTGGTTTGTTTTTGCTGGCCAGTGTTACAATAAAACTCAAAATGGTAGTGGAAAATCCATGTCAAACATACTGTACATTCTGGAATGGCAAGGATGGGAGTATGCGTGTTCAGTACAGTTTGTACTTAATTTTTAAAAGGCAAGTATGATATCTACATCTAATTTAATTTGCAGCTATATGTAGAAAAAGATAACTAGAAAAATTGATTAATTTGATTTTTTAAAGTAAAAAAATCAGTTCATCATATATATCCCAATTCTTTTTACAACCTTATATATTCATTCTCCATCTCTTTAATTCCTATTTTTCTTCCAATGTATTGCATCACTGAATCTCTACTGCCAGCAAACATTAAGAACATAGATGGGTAGATAGGGTTAAAAACAATATCAGTCTACAAAAGCTGGTCAGACTGCTGAGCAGCACAGAATCAGACATGTGAGTGGATAACTATGTAGTCAACTATAAGGAAGATTTTAAATTCATCACCAGGTCCACTGTGTAACAGGCTCAAGGTTCTTATCCTACATTAGCTGGTTGTAATCACAGACTCATAGGACTGGAAGGGACCCTGAGGATCATGCAGTCCAACCCGCTGCAATGCAGGAATATGCAGCTATCCCTTATGGGCATCAAACCTGCAACCTTGGTGTTACCAGCACCACGCTCTAACCAAGTGAGCTATCCCCAGCTTAGGTAAGTCAATATTCATTTTCCCCGTGTTTCAGAGTTACAGTATCCATAGTGCCCACCTCCAATCAGCGGCGGAGCAAACTGATCGGGCGACTGGGGTTGTGGGCATGCCCTGCACCCAGGGGCGGGGCCAGCCAGGGCAGGATGCTCCGTGGGGCCTCCAAGGAGTCTAGCTGTCTCCTCCCACTCAGCCACCCTGCAGCTGGGGGAGGAAGCGGGCGAATTTTTGGGCAGCAGGGAGCCTGTGCGTGCCCAAGCCACCGCGTCACTCCCAGGAGAGACGCATGGGTCGGGCGTGCTGCCCCGTGGTGATTGTAACTTAGAAATCAGCCCTGAGTGCTCACTGGAAGGACAGATCCTGAAGTTGAGGCTCCAATACTTTGGCCACCTCATGAGAAGAGAAGACTCCCTGGAAAAGACCCTGATGGAGGGCACAAGAAGGGGACGACAGAGGACGAGATGGTTGGACGGTGTTCTTGAGGCTACCAACATGAGTTTGACCAAGCTGTGGGAGGCGGTGGAGGACAGGGGTGCCTGGCGTGCTCTGGTCCATGGGGTCACGAAGAGTCGGACACGACTAAACAACAACAACAATATGCATTGGCAGCTAAGAAGATCCGGAGAAAAGAACTAGATAAAATAGCAGTCAATTGCAAAGGTGATTCGGACATTTAACCTGGCACATTCTACCTGAGAACCCCTTGCTGTTCTATCGTATGCAACAAATAATTCTTAGGAGACGTGATCGTGGTTTATTGCTTCTGCAGTGCCTGATGTCTTTATGGTTATTGTTGCTTTTCTTTTTGTTCCCTTTGTGAATGATGCCATGGCCTTTGGCTAGTGCAATAAAGTTGATGATGATGATGAGTGCCGCCTGGCATTTTGTCACCCCCCTCGGTAGTGACACCCGGGGCGACCCGCCCCCACCGCACTCCCCTTCCTCTGCCCAAGCCTCCCAATAGCCATACTGAAGCTGCAAAAGAGGGGCTTGCTACGGAAATTCATGCCAGAGGCTGAATTCAAACCAGGGACTTCCTGATTCATAACTCTTAGCTGCTAAACACTGATCTGACTTAAAAACTGAAAGGTGCCACAACTACAGCATGTCTGATATTTGGGAAACAGTTTTATCAGCCACTGTAGATGCTCGCTCTCATGTTTCATTTGTGAGTATTGTTGTTTAGCCATAAAAAGTACCATTAGAAGGAGCCATGCAATGACTATGCATAACGTGCATTAAAATCAATTGCTTCATTGCACTGGCATATTTAAACCATGAAACCCAAACCCTAATATTCATTTGACTCCTGCTTTTCCTGAAAAATGATACCATGACATATGACTGCAGAGTTCAAATGCTAACTTCAGGCTGTCAGATGTCTGTTGCTTACTTAGAAGCTGACTGCTCTAATCCGGGGACGGACACATCTTTTATTTTTGGGCCCTGCTCTGTTCTGCAGACAGTAGCCTGAGTGACAGAAAGGTATTGTGCTGCAAAGCTGATCGGACTCCGTGATAAAATATGTGCTCCGCAGCTCTAGGGGTGCTTCATAGTGATTGAACACATTTATTTGGATGTAGCAGGGACATTAAACACAGAGAAATCCAATGTAAAACTGCACAAAAGAGGTCTTTTGCACATACAACTTCTGGCAGGCCAGACTTCAAGAGATTTTCAGAGGACAGACTATCACTAGGTTACTTTAATCAAGGGGTGAAACACCTACCCCAAAAGGGAGATTAGCCCCTTGAAACCCCCCAAACATCAACAAGCTAAGGCAGGGATTGTTGCACTACTCTGAAAAGTGTAGCTCTGTGAGGCTCTAATTCTGAACAAACTACAGTTCCCAGAATTCTGGGGAGCAGAGACTCTTAAAGTGGTACCATAGTGCTTTCAATGTATGGTGCAAAAGGAAACCTGTTCTTATTTCACAACCTCACTAGGAAGCATATTCCAGGGCAGAATAGTTACATAAAGGTCTGATTTCTTTGTTGTTTTAATGCAATCTGCAGGAACAAATGGAAGTTACGATTTCTGAGAGCAGATTTTGCTGAGTTTGCATGACAAAGCGGAACAAAGCCAATTGTTCAGGAAAAGCCAAAAACTTCACTGCTTTTAGCTGAGGTTTGATATGCAGAAATCAGGAGTAAAAAATTTCATAGGATGCAGGTAAAATGAAATCCTGCTAATCTCTGCAGAAATAAAAGTGCTGCTACAGGGAGCAGCTACAGGGGCCAGTTCACAAGCAGGCAACCTAAAAAAAACCAAACCACAAGGATCCATTAAAATCCACTCCTTAATTTTATTTTGTCTTTGGAAGTTCGCCCTATCACTTTACAACCAATTTACTCAGAAATTAGCGCCACTGATTTCATTGGATCTTACATCCCAGTCATTGCAGTGTGTACTCGGAAGTCTTACTGAGCCCAATATGACTTACTCCCAAGTAAACTATGTCTAACCTTTTGCATCCTTAGTCGTCCTTAGCCTGCTTTATTGAGTGAAAGCTCCATTCGTTTTTACTCTGTAGTACAGTATTTAAGCCTATATTAAGTTTTTTCTTTGTATCACTGAATTCATTCTGTGTTTGCTAAATGGATGATTTTCGTTATTTCTAATTTACTGACATGATCTGCATTCTGTATGATCCGTTGTGCCGTTCCGAAAGTTTGCTGCGAGCTGCTCTGGACGCAGCTCCTTGTGCAAAAGCGGCAGATAAGTCAAATCCACTAAGCAACCAAAACATTCGGCTTGGTCGGGGGCATCATTGGTACAATTGTATATTTATTAAATTTGTATGCCATCCTTCGTCCGAAGATCTCAGAATAAAACCACAAAGTACATAACGAAAACAAGAGGAAAACCAAACCAAACACGCCCCCTCCATCCTAGAAACACGTTTAAAAGGACACAGTCTGCTAATCTGTAAGGGCGCCGTTCCTGGGAGCAAGCGCCACGGAACGCAGAGCGCGCCCTGTTGCATCTCCAACACCCAGGCCAAGAGGCGCCTCTGCGCCTCCTCCAAGGAGTCGGTGCATTTCTCCAGCCTCCCGCCTGGTCTCACAAGGGGTTAAAGACGACGTCAGACGCCGAGCCCCCTAACCCTCCCCCGGCTTCGCATCCCATTTGACAGGCGCGCCCTGCTCTCTCTTTTTTTTCCGGCAGCCTCGCGCCGAGGGGGTTGGGCATCAGCCACCGCCACCGCCTCCTCTTCTTCTCCTTCTCCAAGGCCGCTGCTCGCCCCGGCTCCTTCCTGCTCGCCTTGCACGCCGCGAAGCGCACGAAGATGGCGGCTCAGAGCCTCCTGGCCCACTTTGCTCGCTGCCTCCCCGGCTCCGGCACGGCGCAGCTCCTCCGTCGAGTCCCGGCCAAGGTAAGCAAGCGCGCGGCGATGGTTGCAGAGGACCCTTCTGCGGCGGCTTGGTGCGCGCTTACTCGCAAGGAAGCCCTGCAGCCTGGATCTTTGCAGCCTCCGCAACTTGGACCGGCTCGCCGGCGCAGCTTGAGCCTTAGCAGGAGATCAGGTTTCGCTCCATGTGATGCAAAAATCCTCCCCTACGAAGGCGCAAGAGCAGGCCAGGCTGCTTCTCTCCGCCACCTGCCCCACTTTTCTTTTCTTTTTTCTCCTGGCCATTGGGCAACCTTTCGCCCCTTCACCCCCCCCAACAGCAACGCGTCCCACTGACATTTCCATGCCCTCTTGCTCTCTAATCCGCTCGCCGGCCTCCTGGCTACCTTCCCTTTGGCCCCTGGCCGGCTCTGAACCGTGGATGAACCGCCTGCTCGCCTTTCCCTTCAAGGCTCGTTGCGCGCAAAGGTTTCCTTGCAAAGGCGGAAAGATTCCCCCGCGACGCGCGGCAGAAGGAGCGGCGCGCCTCTCTCCTTGCGCCACTGGGCTAACCAGGCCGGAGGGGATCCCTACCTGCTGAGCGCGCGTCCTTCAGCGGAACAGAGGCGCCTGTTTGTTTAGCTGACCTTGAGGAAGAAGGAAGGGAGCGAGCTTTGCTTGCAGGCCCGCTCTCTGTCCCTTTCTGTCCCCATCCCCAGGGGCCTGGCTGGCTAAGTGACTTAGGATAGGAGCAGGCTGGCTGGCGGTAAGACAGGCCTAGCCAGAGGTCTTCTTGCACCTTACATTAAGGCGTTCCCTTACGCCTCTTGGAAGATGTGGAAACACAGAAACAGGTACATTCCAAATAGAACTGGTATAGTCAGGTGGGGCCAGGGGCGCAGCCAGGATTTATGTTGGGGGGCGGAGTGGGGGGCGGCAGGACACCCACCTGTCATCAGCCTTTGTCTAACTGCCTAGCCGATTGGGAATAAAATGTTTTAAAATACTTTCTTTTGACCCCAAGTGCTCAGGGGGGAAAAACACCTGTCAAAATCTTTCTACAATTTCTGCTTTTAGTTAAGTATTTTTGTTTATTTATTTTATTTCCCTGGCTATGCCCATGAGTGCGGTTGCACAGTGTGATTGTTTCTCCCCTCCCTTCTACGCCCTTCAAGGAAAGTCCCCCTAAATAAACTGGGAAAAAACTGAATTAAAAAAGTTTTAAGGAGCCAAATAGCATTCAGAAAGCAGTGAAATTCTAAAGTTGTTGTTGTTGTTTTTTGAATGGTTGCTCCCCGGGGCTGATGGGAATTGAAGTCCTAAACATTTGTTTATTTGTTGCATTTATATACTGCCTTTTCTGCAAGGAGCTCAAGGTGGTGTATATGGTACTCTCTCCTCATTTAACCCCCCAAAGGGAATCTGGAGAGGGGGCCTGGTTGGCAAAGGCTGGTCTAGGCTGACTGGCCATGTTTCTGGTCTGGAGTGTGCCAGCCCTACCAAGAGACTAAATCTGGTACTTTTTGCATGCAAAACATGCAAATAAGAACATAAATGAATAAGAACATAAGACAAGCCTGCCCATTCAGTCCAGCATCCTCTTCTCACTGACCGGATGCCAGTGGGACATGAGCGGAACAAGTGGTATTCAGAGGCCCGATTCCTCTCGCAGCAGAGGCAGAACAAAAGATAGCCTTGACTTGTCTAACCAGTGCCAGAATTAGTGGGATGCAGGTAGTTCCCCTGCCCAGGGTGCCAAGCTGAGGGGGCGCAAAACAACAACAACAACCCTATATTTATACGGGTACCTACTGGGAAGATCCATAAGAAAGCAACTGTACTAAAGACATTACAGTGGTACCTCGGGCTACATACACTTCAGGTTACAGACTCCGCTAACCCAGAAATATTACCTCGGGTTAAGAACTTTGCTTCAGGATGAGAACAGAAATCGTGTGGCGGTAGCAGGAGGCCCCATTAGCTAAAGTGGTGCTTCAGGTTAAGAACAGTTTCAGGTTAAGAACAGACCTCCAGAATGAATTAAGTTCTTAACCCAAGGTACCATTGTATTGTGCAACTAAGCAATGCTTTTTTGGGGTGGCGGCGGCAAATTTTGTCCTTGCTCAGGGCACCATATTTATTACCAAAGTCCGCCCCTGGTCTAATCCTCTTCTAAAGCCATCCAAGTTGGTGGCTGCCATTGCCTCTTATGGGAGCAAGTTCCATGGCTCTGCTTCTAGTCTCCTGCTTTGGGAAGGAAGACAGGGTGTGTCACTGGGGAGGGAAGCAATAGCATAGGCTTAGCTCTGTTGTGCCATAGACTCAGGCCCTTTGGGCTCTTCTGCTCTTGTCTAGAAGTGCCACAACTTTGAGCTGTCTGCGCTGGAGGTTGGGCATTCTTGTTCTGCAAGTGAGCATGTAATCCTGTGCTGGTACCTAGCAATCTCTTGTTTATTGGGACGCTGCTTCAGGTGCTGTGCCCTGTTCTAGATTTCCTGACAAGGCAATGGAAACCTTGTATGCCAGATTTAATGTCACACCAATAGATGCCACAGAATTCCTCTCCCTCCCTCCTCATTCTGCTCTTGGAGGATTCCCCAGAGGAAGGTTAAGTAGAAGTCCTTCATTGGATGCCACAATTCAGTGTCACCCAGTGTTTTTAACATGCTAGACACAACTTTTCTCAATGTGCATAATAATATTGGCTCACAAAGTTTCCATATGCAGAAATTTGAACTGCTGCACTGCAGTATAAATTGGAGGCTGGCTGTAGCTCTGTGTCAAAGGAGAAATGACTTTGACCTAGTCGGCACACTTTGACTGGCTGAGAGATGTGTCCTTGTTGGAGAAAGGGGATGAACTGGTTGCTTGGGGTTTCTGTTGTGCCAGTGTTGATGAAACATAGCATGTGACTTTCCATGCCGGGGAGAATTGTTGGCTGGTTCTTCTTAAAGTATCTTGTGCAGAAGGCTGCCAGAAGCTTCTGGTCAAGAAATCCTGAGTGCTCCATTGCTCATTATTTCTGGGCTTTAATAGTAAGAAAAATGAGTTCCTCCCCCCTCCTGTTTCCTGTTGTATATCTGCTTAATAATCTGATTACAAATATGACATAATTTTACATATTTGGTCAGGCCAGGAGACATCTCAGATTTTTGTGAATAGGTAAAGAGTAGTGCAGATGTCATAGGATTACATGGAGGATGTGTTGTTGTTGTTAACCAAATTTACTCCTAGGTATGTGTACGCTACAAAACAGGATTGAAGCCTCTGGGCCAACCATTTCTTGCAGGGAAGTAAAACGTACAAGCTGGATTGAAGTCCTGCCAAACAGTTGATATCACATGCCCATTGGGTGATGTCACTTGATTGACAAGTGACCATGGTTTTAGAAAAATGGCCTCAGAACCCAAAATGGAATCCCTGATGGGCCAAACTGGTCCATGGATTGGAAGTTCCCCACCTTGCTGTATCAGAATGCAGCCTAAGACTACATTTCTAAGATCATTTATTAGGGAGTAATGTATGTTTCAAGGGACGCGGGTGGCGCTGTGGGTTAAACCACAGAGCCTAGGACTTGCTGATCAGAAGGTCGGCGGTTTGAATCCCTGCGACGGGGTGAGCTCCCGTTGCTCGGTCCCTGCTCCTGCCAACCTAGCAGTTCGAAAGCACATCAAAGTGCAAGTAGATAAATAGGTACCGCTCCGGTGGGAAGGTAAACGGCGTTTCTGTGCGCTTCTCCGGTTCGCCAGATGACCCGGAAGCTGTACGCCGGCTCCCTCGGCCAGTAAACCGAGATGAGTACCGCAACCCCAGAGTCGGTCACGACTGGACCTAATGGTCAGGGGTCCCTTTACTTTTACCTTACTGTATGTTTCATAGAATTCAGTAGAACTTGCTGCTGACTAAATATACTTGCACTGCCAGGAATCTGGTTTATTAAGAGGTTTACCTGGCGTTGCCATTTAGAAACACCCACAAGGTGACTGACACGTAGTTGAAATTCCAATAGAAAGGGTTGTAACTGCAATAGAATCAACATTTTACTGTGTTGTCCTAGCTATGTCTACTCAGAAGTACTGTAAGTCCTGTTGAATTGAATGGAGCTTACTTCTGGGTAAGTAGGGTTATGATTGCAGCCTTAGAACCTTTGATAACTTAAGACTTTGTGTTGTTTACTAAGATGGCAAAACATTTTCAAAAATAATAAAGAATTGTAAATAAATTTTAAATAGGAATATAACTCAATTGTATGTCATTTTACAATACAGTATATGTTAGTATGACTAGACAGATCCTTGTTTATTTAAAAAATATTTATATATTGTTCTTTTTAAGATATACCACATTAGTTTTACTATTTAAAATAAAACACTCAGCCTTGAAGTTTACTGGGTCACCTTGGGCCAGTCACTAACCTACCCCCCCCGGGTTGTTATTCTACGAGGATAAAATGGGTAGGGGGAGAACAAAGTATGACACCTTGAGCTCCTTGGAAGAAAGATAGAATATGAATCGAATTTATAAAATAAAATAATAAAATAAAATAAAATCCATAAGTATCCATGTCTGCAGAATCAAAATGAAATTTAATGGCTTCAATGGAATTTACTTCCTACAGGATTTTAGCCTGTGATCTGTGGCAATTGCTTCTAAGTTAGTCTTTTTAGGATTGGAGCGTAAAGTTTCTTAACTCTGATTCTGCAAGCTTGTGAAGCTCAGGCATTTTGTTGAAATCTGAAATATACTCCCCCTTGCCCTAGTTGCGTGTCTAGAGAAAAGATATTTCCTAGGAGTTGCTTAAGATAGTAGTACAGTCTGTTCAGACACTGTTTTCTTTAATTAAAAATGTGGCCAGACATATAGAGGACAGACCCCTAAATGTGGTTTTGGAAATTCAAGTTTACAATATGTTTATTGCTTAAGAGTATTGGTATCTGTAATAATACGCTTACTTCCAAGCTGCAAAGAATAATTAAAGGATTTAAATTTTCCCCCTACTGTCCTTCACCTAAATACAGTATTTGCTAAAGTGATTCAGAGCTCATATTATGCAGAGCATGGCTGGAACTGCAGTTCCTTCTGATGTTTCAGGGTGCATTGCCTGAAAACTTTCAAGCACGGTGGCTAGAAATTTGCTCTTTTAAAAAGGAAGGAAAGCAAGCAAGCAGAGATTATTGGGAAATTCAGCATCACATTTATTTTATTATTTCTGGTTGTATAAAATGGCAGCATACAGTGGTACCTCAGGTTAAATACTTAATTCGTTCCAGAGGTCCGTTCTTAACCTGAAACTGTTCTTAACCTGAAGCACCATTTTAGCTAGTGGGGCCTCCTACTGCTGCCGTGCCGTCAGAGCATGATTTCTGTTCTCATCCTGAAGCAAAGTTCTTAACCTGAAGCACTATTTCTGGGTTAGCGGAGTCTGTAACCTGAAGTGTATGTAACCTGAAGCATATGTAACCTGAGGTACCACTATACATGTCGTTTTGACCATAGTGATGTATACCCTTCAAATCTAGTGTTACCCACGAGCCTCTAGCATGCATTCTTTGCACTTTCTGATCAGCACAAATTCCTTGTGCATGTCTTTCTAAAAACTGCTGGTGGGATACCCTTTGTTACTGCGAATGAACACCTAAGGTTGTACCTTGACGCTGTCTCCCCTTTGTTTCTTCTACTCTTTCTAGAGCTGTGGCTGCTATTTTTCAACAAGCAGCCGCCACAACACCCAGTTTTATAATGATCCGGTGGAAGCAGTAAAAGACATACCCAATGGGGCCACTCTCCTCGTTGGTGGTAAGTACTTGGGAATCTTCTTGCTCGTCGCCAAATGAATTACTTGCTGAGTTTTATAAATTGGAAACATTTCTGCCATCCATGAACATAAACGATAGGCTTTAGGTTTTCAGTACTTCAGACAAAACATAATACAGTGGTACCTTGGTTCCCAAACTCAATCCATTCTGGAAGTCCGTTTGACTGCCAAAACGTTTGCAAACCAAGGCGTGGCTTCTGATTGGCACCAGAAACAATGCCGACACCCAAAACGGACATTTGGCTTCCAAAAAACGTTCGCAAACTGGAACACTTACTTTTGGGTTTGCGATGGTCTGGAGCCGATTTGTTTGGGAACCAAGCCGTTTGGGACCCAAGGTACCATTGTAAAGGATTTCTAGGCAGTTGGTAAAATGGGGGAAAGGCTGTAGGTCAGTGGTAGAACAGCTGGTTTGCATGCAGAAATCCAAGGTTCAAACCCTGGAGAGCCTCTGCCAGTCAGTGCTGGTAATCCCATACAGCTTCCTATGTTCCTGTGTAATCGGATTTAGCCTGACTCCTTTTCCCTTGCATTCTTCTATAGAAGCCTTCTCCAAACTTGGGTCCCCACAAATTGTTGGACCGCAACCCTCATCATCCCTAGCCAGATTGGCCAAGGATGATTGGAGGCCAACAACTATCTGGGCACTTAAGGTTGGACAAGGCTGTTCTACAGGTTTGTTCACACTTCTCTGCATGCAGGGAGCGAGGAGTAGAGCTGGGCTTCCCAGCCCCATTCCCAACCTTTGGGTACCTGGGTTCTGCCCCATATGCATTTGGTCAAAGGTCTGGAAGGAACCTCTGCGTACATGGGTTCTCTGCACAACTTGGAATCCAGATTAAACCGGGTTCTGACCTCGTGGAGCAGCTACATGCCTACACCTGTATGTCAACAGAGGCCCTTTTCAGACCTTCTGCCAATTGTGTGAAGATCATGGGGTAGAGACACTGGGTGTGGAACTGCTTCCCCTCAATATGCATGTGATTTAGAAGATGAGAAAAAGGGCTTCCACTTGGATTGGACCAGGAAGTTGGGCTTCTGCCTCTGAACAGGAGCTGCTACCATCATTGGCTTCAAGAAACCAACCTAGGAGACACACCTAGTGCTTTAGAGCTGCAAAAACAGCTGCGCCTACTCAGACTTATTGTCTTCAGTGGGTTTGTGTATCTATGGGCTTTTCAGGGATGGTGTTAAAATGTTGGGAAAGCAAGCATAAAACACTTTTTACGAGTAACGTTTCTAGGGCAGGGTGAGGGCTTCAGAATGCAGAGTTCTCACGTCAGGGCATTAAAAATACTTAAAGCTGAGAGCTCTTAAGACTATAAAGGGCTGTGATTTGGTCTCTGCTGACTTCAGAACTATACCTTTATCACAAAGAGAATTGCTCTAGAAGTTGAACAGCCCAGGGCAATAGAAAGATAAGTAAAGGAAGCATTGTGTACATTGTTTTATTGTTGTGGAGGGAGAGTCGTTATATAGGCCAGTAATTTCACAAAGGGGAGACCAGTGCAGAGTTCAGTTAAGAAGGAAGCTGTGTTGGTCCTGTCCACCTGTCAAAGTTAGCCCTCTGAGGTGAGGGAGAATTGAACTGCTGCTTTCTGCAGGTTTGAGTGTTTCCACTGCTAATTGGGTTTTTTTTGCCACGTGGCAAACCACATCATTTGATCACAACACTTAGATTTAATAGGATCCGTGTGTTTTGGGTCGGCTTACTAGTGGGCTGAAATTTGTGGTCTCCATTGGCCCTTCCCATTCCCCATATCTTCGGGGTATGCAAACGAAAATGGGGGTTGTGTTGGCTTTGAAGACCAGCATAATATGGGAGAGACCCCTTCTTCTGGGTTGGAAGGCAGGGTCCATCATGCGCTGCTGAAGAAGGTCCCTGCTTGAGGTGAACGAATGGTTGATGGTGGGTCGTTTTTGCAATGGAGATGTTCACTGCTGAATAATTTGTGTTGCATAGGTTTTGGGCTCTGTGGCATCCCTGAGAACCTCATAGGAGCACTGTTGAAGACTGGTGTAAAAGGGATAACCGCTGTCAGTAACAATGCAGGGTACGTGTGCCATCTGTTCTTGGAATAGATTTTGTACAAAATCTAATTGGAATTCTCTTTTTGCAACTGGTGATGGACCCCAGCCTGTGTATATGTGAGGAAGCACCCTGGTTTCCCTCTGGAGGAACCCACATTTCAAAATAGAAGACTGTTTTTGGCATAAAGCGATATATACATTTATACAGTGGTGCCTTGGTTCTCAAACTTAATCCGTTCTGGAAGTCCGTTCCAAAACCAAAGCGTTCCAAAACCAAGGCACGCTTGGATTAATCCGTTCCAGACTTTTAAAAACAACCCCTAAAACATGAATTTAACATGGATTTTACTATCTAATGAGACCACTGATCCATAAAATAAAAGCAATAAACAATGTACTGCAGTCACACAATCAATCAGTAAGTAGCTGAACTGGGTTCCACACAGTCACAAAAACAAAACAAAAAGGGCCACAAAATAAATAGCAAAAACAGACGGACCTCAGCGTAACACTCAAAACGGAAGTGTGGCACTCAAAATGGAAGCGTAACACTTGAAACAGAGCACGTTCAATCTTCCGAAAAAAGTTCGCAAACCGGAACACTTACTTCCAGGTTTGCAGTGTTTGGGTTCCAAGTTGTTTGAGTACCAAAGCATTTGACAACCAAGGTATTGCTGTAATTAATAATAACTTGAAATGATGAGGCTGGTACTACGCTAAATGCATTATATACAAGTGCAATGAGGGCTGAGCTGCCAGTGGCCGCCGTGCCTGGTTACATTCACATAAGCAGAGCACCGAGACCCGCATTTTCATTTAAATTAACTTTGTCCCATGTTATCAGTGTTAGCGAGTGTTTACAAAACACCAGAGGGATTTGGATGCTTGGTGTAAAAGACCTGAATCTGGTTAAACATTAATTAATAAATAAGGTTTTCCCTGATACTGCTATTTACAGTATAGCTAAATGATAAGATCATGCTGATATCCTCTATAATCAAAACACTTTTAGTCTTTCTTCATTACCCAATTTGAATGTCATTGATGGAAACTTGACACAGTACTTGGAATACATGAAATGCACAAGCTTTTCATGTGATGCTGAAGAATATATATACACAAGATATACATATATCTATAGCTATGCATACTGTCCAGATAACTTTTTGTTATGGGACGTCATGCAAATTGTGGAAACAAAGAAAATAATGTTTGTTGCACCCAGTGTTAATCTTCTGCAATCCTTTACATATTCCCCCAGTTGTGTGTCAGATCTTTTACTTTTCTTTTGACTTCAGTCATATATTTTCTTAATGCATGTCAAAAAGGGACAAAGGGTATATGGGGTCACGACGAGTAATATTGGCTAAGTTCATGGGCAACCTATTTTAAATTCTGCATCCCTTGATGCTGGCACCAGTTTCAGCATTCCTGAGTGCCTGGCTCAACCAGTTGCTCTGCTGCCCTACACTATACCTGTGAAGCAGCTCACTGAGGCATTTTCCCAGGGCTTGGGGTCCTGCTTTTTGTATGGGGGTTCTTGTTGTTGTTAATTAAATTTGTATACTGGTTGGCAACTTCTTTGGGCTTGTGGGCACATTTGCAAATGAGCGAAATCAGAAAGCACAGATGCTACAACCACACACACAATCTCTTCTTTCTTTCTTTCTCTCTCTCTCTCTCTCTCTCTCTCTCTCTCCCTCCCTCCCTCCCTCCCTCCCTCTTTCTTCTTCTTCTTCTTCTTCTTCTTCTTCTTTCCCCCCACCTCCAAAAAATAAGGCTGCATGTTGGTTTGCAGCCTCTTTCTATGCAACACTGGATTGCCTATGGATTTGTTTGCTTTCATTTCACCTCACAACGGCACCCAATTCTCACCTTGAAATAAATGGAAATACATATTGGGACCAGCCCAACTGGTCCTAAATTATTTTAGCATATTTCACCAGATGTTAACTGTGTTTATTTTTGAACTGACAGTGTCAACCCTACACACTTCAGAACAGCACTTTCTTTTTATAGGGGGAAGGTTACTTCAGCATTTTGGCAGGTCAGACAGTCCCGGTAATAATTCCTAACATACGGAGGCTCTGAATAGTCACACAGTGTCAACAGGGTTGTTTGCTATTCAGGCGACAAACGAGGAATGGAAACATGGAAGGTTTTCCAACCCTGAAGTCAGCCACTGCATTAGAACAGTCTGTCATGCAGGAGAGACACAAAGATTAACCTTGGCTTGCAGCCCCTATTAGATGTCTTTATTTATTTATTTGGTTCTTCGAATTACAGTTTTACAATCACATATCCAACATGCAACATAAAAACAAGATTCCAAAGAATCTCCTGGACTTCCCTCCTCCCTTTTGTGGGTCCTATTGTTAGCCATTTCTTCCTGAATCCTTTATAGTAATCCATCTCCATTAAATCCAAAATTCACCATTAAACTACAAGTGTTATTCCAATCCTACTAACAATTTTAACTGTTTACAATGGCTTTTAGATAAATTATAAATTTCTTCCATTCTTTATTAAAATGTTAGTCTTCCTGATTTCTAATTCTTCCAGTCATTTTTGCCATTTTGGCATAATCCATCAACTTATTCTGCCATTCTTCTCTGGTTGGGACTTTATCTTCTTCCCAGGCCCTATTAGTTGTCATTTGCTAGGCTTGTGTTGTGAGTACTGTGACTGACTTCATGATATCCATAATGTATAACATGAAGGAGGGGACCCCTAAAAGCTTGAGGTTTCCTTGTCTGTTGTGCTTCTATTTCCTTCACCCTCAGAGTGACCAAGAAACAGAAGCTGCTCTAGGAAAAAGAGAGCACACAAATGAACTGAACCAAGCTGGGGTGGAGAACCTTTGGCCATTCAGTTGTGGTTGGCCTTCAACTCCCAAGAGAGCCCCAGCCAGCATGGTGGTAGCGAGGGATGATGGGAGCTGTAGTCCAGCAACATTTGGAAAGCCACAGGGTCCCCATCCTTGGCCCAGAGCAGGGCTTTCCAAACTTGGGTAGTGACAATTGGTTGGACCACAACTCCCATCATCCCTAGCTAGCAGCCAGTGGTCTGGGATGATGGGAACTGTAGTCCAAAAAAACAGCTGGAGACCCAAGTTTGGGAAACCCTGGCCTAGAGCACTGGTCTTCAACTGGTGGCTTGGGACCCACTACTGGTCCCATTTGGGTCTCAAGAGGAGCACTGCCAGCATGCAAGTACAGTGGTACCTCTGGTTATGAACTAAATTCGTTCTGGAGGTCCATTCTTAACCTGAAACTGTTCTTAACCTGAGGTACCACTTTAGCTAATGGGGCCTCCCACTGCCGCCATGCTGCCGGTGCGCGATTTCTGTTCTCATCCTGAGGTAAAGTTCTTAACCCGAGGTACTACTTCCGGGTTAGTGAGTCTGTAACCCAGAGTGTTCGTAACCCAAGGTGTTTGTAACCCAAGGTACCACTGTATTATAAGGCTAGGGCCAGGCGACCTGGAGGCTAAATGCGCCCTCTGCCAGACTTTTCCACCTGGCCCTCGGGATTCTCTCCAGGCTGCACCTCTCACCAGCCTGCTCTGCATCCGCTTTTGAGCGCCCTTTGCCTGTCAGGAATGTGTCCTTGAACTGTGGCGATGCTTCTTGCTTCCCTGTATGGAGATATAGGTCTTAAAATACCAACAACACCTCTTCCTCTGCGTGGCTGGAGCGCATGAAAGGTTAGAGCCGCATTTGTTGCTCCGCCCATTTTTGCCTTGGGCCCCACCTACTCTTGACACGCCCCCCAGAAGGTTGTGTGCAAGGGAACATGGCCCTCGGCTAATACTGAAGAAAACATGTATTTGTGACCCTACAGCAGCATTGCAGGGAGTTTTACCACCCCTGCAATGTGCAGATGCCGAAGTTACAGCTGCATTGTGTGCTGCAGTAGAATCCACTATAATCAGTGGCGTAGCGTGGGGGGTGCAGGGGGGGACCGGCCGCACCGGGCGCAACATCCGGGGGGGCGCGCTCGCACTCGCAGCTCTCTGCCCCTACCTGGCTCACTCACTCTCTCTCACTGCAGTGCTGGCTGTGCGAATCCGATCCGAGCCGCTGGGTCGCTGCCCACTGTGGAGGGGGTGGGTGCCAGGCGTGCGGTGCGGAGAGAGAGCGAGGGACTATCTGGGGGAGGGACAGTGCAGCGGCCGCCCAGCGCAGCGCTGAGCGCGGGAGAGAACCACACCAGACCAGCCCAGGCAGCAGCAAGAAGAAGCTGGCAGCGGCGGCAGGTTAGGGGTTAGGGGGCGCAAATTACTTGCCTTGCCCCGGGTTAGGGGGCGCAAATTACTTGCCTTGCCCCGGGTGCTGACAACCCACACTACGCCGCTGCTGTTTGCTGCTATTTCCATATGTATACAGTGGTATCTCAGGTTACATACGCTTCAGGTTACACACTCCGCTAACCCAGAAATAGTGCTTCAGGTTAAGAACTTTGCTTCAGGGTGAGAACAGAAATCGTGCTCCAGCGGCGCGGCGGCAGCAGGAGGCCTCATTAGCTAAAGTGGTGCTTCAGGTTAAGAATAGTTTCAAGTTAAGAACGGACCTCCTGAACGAATTACCGTATTTTTTGCTCTATAAGACTCACTTTTTCCCTCCTAAAAAGTAAGGGGAAATGTGTGTGCGTCTTATGGAGTGAATGCAGGCTGCGCAGCTATCCCAGAAGCCAGAACAGCAAGAGGGATTGCTGCTTTCACTGCGCAGCGATCCCTCTTGCTGTTCTGGCTTCTGAGATTCAGAATATTTTTTTTCTTGTTTTCCTCCTCCAAAAACTAGGTGCGTCTTGTGGTCTGGTGCGTCTTATAGAGCGAAAAATACGGTAAGTACTTAACCCGAGGTACCACTGTATTTCCATATGTATACAGTGGTACTTCGGGTTACATACGCTTCAGGTTACAGACTCCGCTAACCCAGAAATAGTGTTTCAGGTTAAGAACTTTGCTTTAGGATGAGAACCCGAGGTACCACTGTATCTGAATTAGTGATGCTGAGATCAAAGTAGGTAATGCAGGTTGTTCGCTCTTGCTCCCTGCCTGTGAGTTAAAGTGGTTCATCTCTCTCTGTGTGTGTTTCTGTGGATGGAGGCATGGCTTTGCTTAGGGGCACCGACAACTCTTTAGGAACATGATTCTGTGATCTTATCGCCTTCCATAAGCTCAGCTTTGCAGCGTTGTCTAATGACCCCATCCAGCCCCGTTTCCTATCTGATAATTACTGGATGATAATTTCTGTGTAGTTCACATCCGGCAGTTTAAAAGCCTTGGGGCAGCATTAAATCTTGCCTATCCTACCCACTCCTGTTCCTGACTTCATTCGCCAAGTCCTTTTCACGATGGATAGAGGACAGCTGTCCCAGTTGGCCATAAAGCAAGTGGCTTATGGGGACTTTTATGACTTTATGGCTTGGAAGCAGCAGGAGTTAGGCAAGGAGCCAGCCTTGCAGGATATTTTGCCAGATGGGCCAGTCCTATAACCTAGGAAGAGCAAGCGAGCAAACTGAAAAATTCCATATAATTATTGAATTCTGAATTACAGTGTGTCCTCTATCCAAACTGTTGTCCTAACACTGAAGAATATAATACACTCAAATTTTCTATTCCTGGCACCCCCAGATTTAGGTGGGGGAAATAATGTCAGTTGGTGTAGACCAATGTTTCCCAAACTTGGGTCTCCAGCTATTTTTTTTTAACTACAATTCCCATCATCCTTGACCACTGGTTCTGCTAGCTAGGGATGATGGGAGTTGTAGTCCAAAAATGGTTGGAGACCCAAGTTTGGGAAACACTGGTACAGTGGTACCTCGGGTTACATACGCTTCAGGTTACAGACGCTTCAGGTTACAGACTCCGCTAACCCAGAAATATTACCTCAGGTTAAGAACGTTGCTTCAGGATGAGAACAGAAATCATGCTCCGGCGGTGCGGCGGCAGCTGAAGGCCCCATTAGCTAAAGTGGTGCTTCAGGTTAAGAACAGTTTCAGGTTAAGAACAGACCTCCGGAACAAATTAAGTGCTTAACCCGAGGTACCACTGTATAGACCAAAAGTAAGGAGCCTCAGGACTAGGGTGGGACGGTGGAGAATGTGACCTTCCAGCCCTCCTTACCTGGACCTCAGGACTCTCACCAGGGCACACCTTCTCTTGCAACTTGACACCAATTATTGTCTTTGCTTCATCCCCTCCTTGATTTTCTTTGCCTTGAACTCTGATAATTAACTCTTGGTCTCCTGGGTGGAGGATAGAGAGGGGAGAAACTAGCTTAATGAAAGTGATATTTACGTTCATTCTCCACCTGCTGTTGACCCTGGTGCTGCCCATCTCTGGCATGTGGCCCTTGGAAGGTTGTCAGAAGGGGAGGAGGCAAAAAATGGTCCCCCACTCCTAGTACAGTCATACCTTGGTTTTCGAACAGCTTTAGTTCTCAAACGTTTTGGCTCCCGAACACTGCAAACCTGGAAGTGAGTGTTCCGGTTTGCGAACTATTTTTGGAAGCCGAACATCTGATGGGGCTTCTGTGGCTTCCGATTGGCTGTAGGAGTTTCCTGCAGCCAATCAGAAGCCACGCTTTGGTTTGCGAACGTTTTAGAAGTTGAACCGACTTCTGGAAGGGATTCTGTTCGACTTCTGAGGTACAACAGTATAGACAAATGAATTAGGTGCATGAATGGTTTGCCAGCTTCCTTTTGTTACTGACAAGATGTAAGCACAAACTGATTGCCTCATGGCCGGTCCAGCTGTGCGATACAATTAGTGCCACTTAGTGATGGGCCTTTGCAATTCTGGCACAGAGGCACTTGTGCAGGTTATTACATGCAAAACTCAAAGGGTGATGCCAAGTATGGCATATCTGTCTTATTCTCACTTTTGGAAGGCGTGTGCCCCAGTGTGGAATTTTCATGATATTCTGTGGCATTTGTTTTGTTGTAACCGTCGCCCAACAACTTTTTCTGTGCAGGGTAGACAATTTTGGGCTGGGACTCTTACTCCAAACGAAGCAAATCAAGCGCATGGTGTCGTCCTACGTTGGGGAGAACGCAGAGTTTGAGCGGCAGTATTTATCTGGAGAGCTGGAGGTTGAGCTTACGCCACAGGTACAACACCTTTCTTAAGGGGCTAAATATTTTTTTAAGAAAATGTGTTTCATTATTTAGCTAATGAATTTATAGATACGCATGCAACACACACACACACACACACACACACACAAACAAAAATGGAATACTAAAACAAGATACTGAGCAGTGCCATCTAACAATTAGCAAAAGGAAATGAACAAATAAATACATTTTTAACAGGCCTGTAGATCACATCACAGCTGACTCCTCTTGGATTTGGCAGGAGAAGGTGTTCCAGAGAATCGCTGCTTTGGAAAGAGACTGCTTCTGCTTTGTCACCAGACGTCAGCCTGCTAGCTGTGGGGTTTTAAAACAGTTATACCTAATAGAGTGAACCTTGGCTTCTTGGCCTGTTCTGGGTGGGGTTAGACTCCCCTGGAAGTCTGTAGCAAGGTTTATCCTGGATCCAACATTTTCACCAGAGGCTCAGAACGTCTGTTTTCAGATCCTGTTGGTTCACCAGCTAAGGCCCCTTTTGGACAGAGATGAGTTGGCCACTGTACTACTCCAGACTAGATGATTCAATGTGTTTCATGTGGGGCTGCCCTTGAAGAAAACTTGGAACTTCCACCTGGTCCAACACGTGGCTTCCAAGGAACTTAAGGGAGCTCCTCTTGGAACTTGCATAGCCCCTGTTCCAAAATAGCTGTGTAGGTTTCCAGTTCATTTCCAGGCCCAACATCAGTGTTTGAAGCCCTGAATGACTTAGGCTTGTGAAACATGGACCACTTATAAAGACCATCTCCAACTCATTGAAAGATTCCATCAAAGGTGTCTCTGAAAAATTTTACACATCACTTGGGAAGACAGGCGAACTAATGCCAGTGTACTGGAAGAAGCAAAGATCACCAGTGGTGAAGCAATGATTCTTAAACATCAGCTTCATTGGACTGGTCATGTTGTGCCAATGTCTGATTATCGTCTTCCAAAGCAACTATTCTATTCCAAACTTAAAAATGGAAAGTGTAATGCCGGTGGTCAACAAAAGAGGTTTAAAGACTCTCTCAAGGCAAATAAAAAAAAATGTAGTATAAACACCTACAACTGGGAAACACTGGCCTGCAAGCGCTCCAGTTGGAGAACAGCCTTTACCAAAGGTGTCATGGGCTTTGAAGACACTTGAACTCAGGACGCAAGGGAGAAACGTGCTAGGAGGAAGGCACGCTTGGCAAACCCTCACCAAGATCAATTCCACTGGGAAACCAATGTCCCCACTGTGGAAGGACGTGTAGATCCAGAATTGGCCTCCATAGTCACTTACGGACTCACTGTTAAAACCGTGTTTATGTAAGACAATCTTACTCGGCTACAAGTTATCGCCAAAGAAGGCGGCTTAGGCCATCATATCTGAAAGACCACCTCCTTCCCCACAGACCCTCGTAGGAGTTGAGGTTGACAGAAGGGGCCCCTCTTGGTGTTCCACCACCCTTGGAGGCTCAGAGGACATTCTCCACAGCAGTCCCTTAGCTGTGAAATTCCCTCCCCATAGAGGTGTATTTGGCACTTCCATTATGTACCTAAGAATTGCAGCATCACAGAAGTGTAGGGATGTCTTTACCCTGGTCTTTGACACCTGAGACACCCCATTCTCTTAACTAATTTGGTTTAAACCGTTCTTCATATTTTATTTTGAAACCTTCTGGCGAAGGGCGGCTAAGAAATCATAAGCTGGGGTAGCTCAGTTAGCAGAGCCCCACATTGGGCTTGAGCCCCACATTGGGCAAAAGATTCCCGCATTGCAGGGGGTTGGACTGGATGACCCTCGTGGTCACCTCCAATTCTGCGAGTCTAAGCCCAAACCTGGAGGCTTTTCCCCAGCTCAATCTTATTTGTGGGAGTTCTTAGGGCTGACAGTTCTAACTGGCTGGACAGAAACGTTACTGCCACTTGCGGGTGTTTTTGGAAGAGTCAAATGTTCAAAACTAATCATGAGGAAAGTTACAGTAAATAGAGAGCAGATAGTTCATAAGGCACACTTTTACCAATAGGTATTGGTATCTTACAAAGCAGAGACATCACCTTGCCAACAAAGGTCCGTATAGTTAAAGCTATGGTTTTCCCAGTAGTGATGTATGGAAGTGAGAGCTGGACCATAAAGAAGGCTGATCGCCGAAGAATTGATGCTTTTGAATTATGGTGCTGGAGGAGACTCTTGAGAGTCCCATGGACTGCAAGAAGATCAAACCTATCCATTCTTAAGGGAATCAGCCCTGAGCGCTCACTGGAAGGACAGATCCTGAAGCTGAGACTCCAATACTTTGGCCACCTCATGAGAAGAGAAGGCTCCCTGGAAAAGACCCTGGTGCTGGGAAAGATGGAGGGCACAAGGAGAAGGGGATGACAGAGGACGAGATGGTTGGACAGTGTTCTCGAAGCTACAAACATGAGTTTCAGCAAACTGCGGGAGGCAGTGGAAGACAGGAGTGCCTGGCGTGCTCTGGTCCATGGGGTCACAAAGAGTCGGACACAACTAAACAGCAACAACAAATTGGGTGGGTAGATAAGAATTGTCAGAGACAGGTTTTTAAAGTACAGATGCTGCCATCTTGTGGATCAAACTTAAGTATGGAATGAATTTATTCAGGCCTTTCTGAGATCAAGCAATTTTTTTTGGTAAGGTTTGCAGGTTTGCTGGCATGTTGAATTTCCTAGCAACAAAAAGTACTGTATCCTATCCATAAAACAGGCACCCTTGCAAAGGTGGAATAAAGCAGGTTCTAGCCAGATTAGCAGTTGTCTGTTGCTCTGGCAGGATGTTCTCCCATAAAATACTTTCATGGACCTTTCTGCCTCTCTCTGTTGTCTTTGGGTGATCAGCTTTCATGTCACCATGGGATAGGCAGGAGTGGTTCTCTCTCTCTCTCTCTTTTTTAAATGATATTTATTGAGAATTTTAAGATTACAAAGAAACAAAGAAAAAAGAAGGAAAAAACAAGTAACAATTAAAGAATACAAATCAATAAAAATCAAAGTCAAAAAGCAAAAGCAAAACACATAATACATCAAAATCAAAAAGCAAAAATAAACAGAAAATTTAAAAACAGATCCAATATTCCCAAATCCTTAACTGTCATTACCTTATTTCATCGACCTCCTCGCACCTCCCCTTTTTGTATTCTAGTTGTTAATTATCTCAGCAAATCCTTTCCGTCTTTCATAATATTCTGTCATTAAATTACCTTAATCTATTTTAACCTTATCTTACCATAAAGAACCCTAAAACTTAAAACTTAAATCTTATTTATACCAATTTCTCATAACCATAACATATTCTTACATAATTCTTTTTAACATTTCTGCTAAAGCCAAATAATTTCGTTACAACATTTTTCTAATACTCATTAATTTTACAAAACTTTCCTAATTTTTTTTTTTTAAACTTTCTTCCAATCTTCATCCAACGTCTCTTCCTCCTGGTCTCAGGTTTTGTCAGTCCTTTCTATCCCATCCATCTAGTTCATCAACCTGGTAACCTTATGTCCGAGGCTCTTAAATCTCTTCCATGTCCCTTCCGCAGGTCTTCTTCATATTTATACCTGTACTTTACTTTGTCTTCTGCTCCTTTCACTCGTGGAGACTCCAGCTTGACAATATTTTTGTCCCTTCTCGACAGATCAGCCCCTTTTCCATAGTCAACACTGAACTCCATGTGGTATTTAAAAGCGTGTTTCAAGGTCCCTCCAAAGTTAAGGGCCCCCACAACTCTGAACTCCTCCCGGCCCAAAGCCAGACTTGAAAGGTCAAAACATCCCTGCATAGGGGGGTCTATCCAGCCCCCCATCTCCAAGCCAAACAAGACTCTATCTCTCCAAATCTGGCTTTTTCCAGGTTCATTCGTCAAATCCAACAACTCATGTTCCTGCTGGGCCACAGTTCCTTCCGTCTCTGCCTCTCGAGGTCCAGCAACAACCTTCTCCCTCATCTGATCTGTCAGAGCACACTCCTGGATTAATTCCTGAGTGGGTTCTATATAGGTACCCACTGCCTGTCCAAAATTTCCGATCGCAACAGTCATCAAATCCGTCTTCTCATGTAACTGTTCCAATAAAGCACTTGTCTTGCAGAAGGCAAGCACCAGAGCCTCCGACTACATTCTTGTACAAGGTCAGAGTCTGGTCCCACGATCTTAATCTATTGCAGCTGCAAAGCTCCCCAGTTCAGATTTAATAACAGTTCGCAAGCTCCCTCTAGGGGAGAAAGCTTCTATTTGTATCCATCTCTCTCTCTCTTTTTTTTAAAGCAGATCTAACAACAAAGTTTCCTTTTTCAGATATTTTGTCAATATTTTGTTCCTTTTAGATGCGAAGGGGAACAATGGAATCAATATGTTTCTCTTCTTTTAACTATCTGTCAAAAACGTTTGTCTATAGTCAATGAACTTCCCGAGGATGTCTGTCCTGACACCCCGCTCCCAGGTTCAAGACGGTGGAAAATTGCTTTTCTTTACTCTCTCTTCTGCAGGTTTAAACGGTCCAGAAAAAGTTTCCCCCTTTTCTCCTGCTTCCAAGGGGGGTTCAGTAATTTTGAATGATGAAAATTGATCCTTTACAGACAACTTTCTAAACTCTAGCTTGCCGTGTCTTTGCTTTAATCTATCTACAAAAGCGGAAGGCGGACTTCCTGTTTAGACCTTCCCGCTTCAGTGCCAAATCAAAAGAAATTTCTTAATCCAATTTTCCGTTCTACTCACGGGCAGTTATTTAAAATCCAATTGTCCACAGGAAAAAGTCAGTGCTCTCCGGCAACAGCAATGCGGCTTCACTCCGTGAAAGAAGCAGTTGATTCAAAGCACCGCGCCACTCACCCCACGTCGCTCCGGATCCCCGAAACCGGGGTTCCCCGCGAGTAGGGGGGGCGCAAAGGTGCCAGCCGAATCCCACGTCCACAGGCTTCTCCCGCCTGTGGTTTTTGATGGGTCTCCGCCTCGCCGTGGCGGTTCAGACCCTTTTTTCCACGGAGCGGATTCCTCCCGATCGGAGGAAATCCGCCATTGCCAGAGGCGCCAACCCGGAAGTCTAGGCAGGAGTGGTTCTCCAGGCCAGGCAGCAGAGTGCTAAGAGAGCCTGTGACATCAGAGCAGGCCAGCCAATGAAATTCGAAGCCCTAAGACCCATGTGTACCTTCTGTGAAACCAAATCCCTTAATAAGTGCTGTTCTGCATACTTTTGCATTCAGATGGCAGTACATGCCGTTTGAGGGAAAATGGAGCTGTTTGGTGGAAAGAAGGCAGAAGACGTCAAAGGGGAGAAAGCAGGAGAAGTAGGGAATTTGGGAACAGGATGCTGGACTAGAAGGGCCATTGGCCTGATCCTGCTGGCTCTACTTATGTCCTGAACAACCCGGGAATCTCTCTTGTTATCGGTCTCTGTACTTAACAGTTTCTTTCCTTCTAGGGCACGCTGGCTGAGCGCATTCGAGCAGGAGGAGCAGGTATCCCAGCATTCTTCACCAGCACAGGGTACGGGACTTTAGTGCAAGAAGGAGGGGCTCCAATCAAATACAACACAGATGGTACTGTTGCCCTTGCCAGCGAGCCCAGAGAGGTAAAAGATCATGCTTGTGTGTTTTAATGGTGGAACTAGGGCAGCGGTAGGGGACCATCATTCTTGGGAAGAGAGAGTCCATAACAGACAGACAGAGGGCCTTCTCGGTGGTGGCGCCCGGCCAGTGGAACGCCCTCCCATCAGATGTCAAGGAAATAAGCAGCTATCTTATTTTTAAAAGACATCTGAAGGCGGCCCTGTTTAGGGACGTTTTTAATATTTAATGCTGTATTGTTTTTAACACTCGATTGGGAGCCGCCCAGAGTGGCTGGAGAAACTCAGCCAGATGGGCGGGGTATAAATAATAAAATATTATTATTATTATTATTATTAGTAGTAGTAGTAGTAGTAGTAGTATTAGTATTTTATTAGTATTAAAGCCATGTGAGGCTTTTGACCAGTTAGCATCCCTATTGCTTGGCATTCTGCAAAGGAATAATTTAAAATGCCAACATGGGAAGGAACAGTTTTCAAGATGAATAACTTTTCAAATATTTCCTCCCGCTCCTGACTTCTCACAGGTGAGAGAGTTTGATGGGCGACACTATATTATGGAAAAGTCGATAACGGGGGATTTTGCGCTAGTGAAGGCGTGGAAATCTGATCGCGCCGGGAACATTATCTTCAGGTACAGTATTGCACACAGAGCAAATGTGCTTTTCTCCAAAGCAGCAGTTTTCAGAGGGTTCGCCAGGAAATCTTGGACTTCCTTTGGAAGCTCACCAGAGTATCCTGAACGAGAAGATCAGTCATGTTGGACAAAGCTGACCCGTCAGTGTGCAAATGTTCTTCCCCTGTAATACGCAGCTCCAAGGGGCTCCCCCCCCTCTTGTGTTGGGATACACCTGCAGCTCACATGGGGCTCATTATGCTCACTTGACTTGTATAATAATTTAAATTTAATTTAAAAGTTGTTTAGCCCACTCTTCAGGGTTGGGTTTTTTTGGTTATGTTTAGGTTTTGAGTGTGTTAGTGCAGACAGTTTTCACCCACAGGGACCAATGGTCTGACTCTGTTTCTTATAACCTGTGAAAAGTGGAGATTTAGGAAATATAAGCATTGAATAGATGGAGAATGAATTTATAATGCTATAATCTGAATTTTTTAAAAAAGAAATCTGCATTTCTTGTATCTATTCTTGCTCGGTGCAACTCGGTCTGACCCTTATGTTTCCCTCCCCTTATGGTCTTGATTTATTGGCTACTTTAAAATGAGGCTGCATTTTAAATTGCACTTTAACCTGTATTTTAAATTGCCCCCCCCCTCTATTTCCCCCCTATTATGTTTTTACTGTGATTTTATTGGTGTTAGCCACCCTGAGCCCGGCTCTGGCCAGGGAGGGCGGGGTATGTATAAACAAACAAACAAACAAACAAACAAACAAATAAATAAAATAATTATTCTTCACCCAAATTTGGTGAGCGCAGGGACTCGTTTAGCATTTAATAAAGCAAAGGTGTCCAGGAGGGGGCAGTAGAAGCCCAAACATTTTTTATGTTGTATGATAAGCTCAAGATAGAGAGAAATATCTAGAAAATAGGATCCTTTGATTCAGTTTTGAGGCTGCTCTACCAAGGCTTAGAGTCTGTGCCTTAGACCATCATTTGAGACACATTATCAGAAAAACTTGACACCTCCTGTATAACGGTGGGATTGACCCCCTGTTTGCTCTGGTCACCAACCCCCCCCCCCAATTCCCTTCCCCCTCTTCCCCCAATGTACAACACATGCAAACAAAGAAAGCTCATTTCCAGGAATGGAGAGTTGCTCTTGCACTCAGATCCTCCTTTCTGGTTTCCCATAGCATCTGGTCGGCCACTGTGAGAACAGAATGCTGGACTAGATAGGCCATTGGCCTGATCCTGCAGGCTCTTCTTACGTTTTTATATTCTTAAGCATATGTCAGATTTTTATATAACACCCCCCCCCCCCAAAAAAACCCCCCAACCAATATTGTGTTTGCCATGGACCTTGGTTTGCTAGTGGGAATCTTCTGGGTAGAAGGCAATGAAGTATTTCTGCAGTCAAGTCTTGCTCTTCCCCCATTCAATGGTCAAATAGGTGTCACAAATGATGTGCAACTTGGATTATCTCCTTTCTCCCCTCCACATTTCAAAATGTGCCCTGATGTGCATCCTGTTGCCCAGTTTATTTAGCTGGGAGTAAACACTGCTGAACTCGGTGGAACCTACTTCCCAGTTGACACTTAGAAGGAGCGCATTGCAAAGTCCCCCACCCCTTCTTTTAAACAGTAGCACACATGCACACAAACACACACACACTGCATGGTAAACAAGCCTGCAATTTTAAATGTGTTCTTAAACATATCCTAGATATGCAAAGGTCTGTATGTTACCACCTTACTGCTATCTTCTCCTTCCTTCCTAATTCCTTTAAATTTAGGTTGACCCAGTGCTTCCCCTGATATTAAAGTAATATAACAGCCTGAATGTGAGCAGAAAATACTCTCCTATCTTTTGCTTTCAGTTAACTTTAGCTTCCCCTTTTCTCTGCCTCAAATAGGAAAACGGCAAGAAACTTTAACCAGCCCATGTGTAAAGCTGCCAGAACAACTGTAGTAGAGGTAAGGTCAAACAATTTTTACTTGTACTTCAAAGCTTGCAAGTACTCCTTACAGATCTTTGCGAATTGCTCAGATGAAGTTGACAGATGCTGTATACATGCATAACTGAAACCAGGCGTGATGTTCTGCTCCAGTTGAAGATGATATGCCTTTACCTGCAGCAGGGATAGAAGAGGGAAGGATTTTAGAGAAGCCCAAATGATGACAAGCTGTGGTATCATATGCGTGAACGTAAAACCTGAACACCTGTTTCTGGTAAACAACTACGAAAGGCCTAGTGCTCACCTGAGGCCTGCAGGCTGAAGGTGGAGACCCCCAAGATTTAATGTTCCTCAACCAACTAAACTAAACCTAAACCTAAACCTAAACCTAAACCTAAACCTAAACCTAAACCTAAACCTAAACTAAACTTCCATTGCATAGAAAGCGATATCAGCAGGGACGATCGCAGTCCTCAGAGTGGTTTAACAGTCTGTCCCTCTTCCCAGGGAACTATGGGAACTGTAGCTCTGTGAGGGGGAATAGGGGTCTCCTCACAACTCTCAGTACCCTCAGCAGACTACATTTCCCAGGATTATTTGGGGGAAGCTATGGCTGTTTTAAAACAGCATCGTGCCACTTTCAGGTATAGTGCAGATGAGATCTTCAGCAGCTGTATGCTGGCATACCAGTCTTCCCGTGCTTGTGCTTATGTAGCCAAAACCTCACTGACGCTCAAGGGAAGAAGTACCCAGCAGACATGAAGTAATAATTATACGCAGGCAGAAAAGCAAATCTGTAGCTAAAATGTATCCTAGAGGGTGGGGAAGCAGCCACACAAAAATTAAATGTTGTAGAATACTGACAGACTGAAAAATGGGGAAAATGAGAATTAGGTAGCGTAAGGGAATAGAATAGACTGGGCAGAACAGGCTTATGCGAATATATAGATTATATAGAGAGCTATATAACCATCTTGTTTTCTGGATGTCAGTTCCTGGTTCACACTGAGAAGCTATTTTTGGACTCCCCCAGACAGCCTGTTTATTGAGCTTTCACTCCGATCTGCTTGTCCAAAACTTACTCAGAGGTTATTTTATAAATAAAATTTGTTTCTCACCCTTTCTCCCAAATGAGCCCAGGGTGGTATATGTCCAATTTTTCACTTGAGCTTTCAATCAGATTTGTTTGCAGGGAAGATTTATGACTGTCAGCATTCATCCCGATCTTCTGGTTACTCTCCTAGCCCCAAAAGATTCTGTGGTAGTGGTGGTTTTTTAAAACAGATTTGTTGAGCCAGGGCAAACAGAGCAACTTTGAGGCACTTTTAATTTCACAAACCTGAGTTTCCAGTGTGCGCTTGTTAACCCTTCTGCAAAACAACGGGTGTTCTGAAGGCCGTAATTATTTGATTGTCCCCAGGGATGGAAGAGAAAGGTGCCCTTATGCATGTAGAGAGAAGTTGAAGAATTTTGTGTAGCTAGGATTGGGCACAAGTATACCCACCCTGCCTCAAATGAAGAGACAAACCCCAATGTAGGATATAAACAGCAAGTGGGGATAAAAATTCCAGTGCAGTCAGCGAAGATTGAGCATGCTGTTTTCACATGCTATTATTTTCTTTTTGTATCCCATTTGTAGAATACTTTGTAAGGGGAATGGTTCCTTACCAAAGGGAAAAACAAAAGCTAGGATAACAGAAGCCTAGTTTTCCTCCTGATTTTTGAGATCCTCATTCATTATGGAATAGTTGGGAGACTGGAAGATGAGGTTTGATTTAGCAAGGAAGAGGAACAAAGGGTTGGGGGTGGGGCTCAGATCTGAGCGCAGAAATGCTCTTTCACCCACAACTAATTAAGGAAATGTAATTAAAAACCCTGCAATGTATCTTTGGTTACTTAGCAACGCCATTAGAATGCTGCTATCGCAGGTACAATGGACTTTCATTACATTGTGGGACAGGAATGAATAGCTTCATTAGTCACCAAAAATTGTGGTGTTGCTTTCATTGTTAACGATGAGACGCTGAGAAATGGCCATGCTTATAAATGCACACTCTTATATTGCCGATAACAGTCTTCGCTCTTGCGTCCCAGAAATTCTGCTTAATTCTAATTCTACCTCACAAATTTGAATTCCGAGATGTGCCACACTGACTACGCATCAGCCAGGAAGCTGCAATAGGGGCTTTGGCCTACCAGTGAGTTTCTTCAAACACAATTCAAAGTGTTGGTGCTGACATTTAAAGCCCTAAACGGCCTAGGCCCAGTATACCTGAAGGAGTGTCTCCACCCCCATTGTTCTGCCCGGACACTGAGGTCCAGCTCCGAGGAACTTCTGGCGGTTCCCTCACTGTGAGAAGTGAGATTACAGGGAACCAGGCAGAGGGCCTTCTCAGTATTGGCACCCGCCCTATGGAGTGCCCTCCCATCTGATGGCAAGGAAATAAACAGCTATCTGACTTTTAGAAGACATTTGAAGGCAGCCCTGTTTAGGGAAGTTTTTAATGACTGATGTTTTATTGTGTTTTTAATATTCTCTTGGAAGCTGCCCAGAGTGGCTGGGGAAACCCAGCCAGATGGGCGGGGTATAAATAATAAATTATTATAATGTTATTATTATCTTGTCCCTTTTTTCTAATTCAGGGGTAGCTAACCTGAGACCCTCCAGATGGTGTTGAAATCCATCTCCTATTAGCCGTAGGCAGCATGGCCAAAGGTCGGGAACGATGGGAGTTGGAGTCTAATAACATCTGGAGGGTCGAGGGTTGCTTCCTGGATCGTGTCCAAGCTTCCACACAATCACTTTTCCGCATTAAACATTACAGCGTTGGCCACTCAAAAATGCTTTTATATACTGGTGTAAGATATGAATTTGCACCTGCTGAATGGATGAACTTGGGCATCCGTCTTTAGTGGCTTCCCAGCTGCAAGGACACAAGAATTAGCCTTTTGTGTCCAGGAAATTCCTGTGGCAATTGTCACTAGTAGTGAATCTTTGCACACTTTCCTGCCAAGAGCAAAGGTTTGTACCCAGGATTCCCAGATGCACAAGGTTACAGTGCTTCATGCAACTTGGGAGAAAAGTAGGATATCAATACATAAATACGACAATGACAACAATGTATTTGGCCATGATGCCATCTTGGTCTTCCACATTTCAGCCTTAGAAATCCATCTAGAGCTTTGGTTCTGTTTTTCCTCTTTTATAGTTTAAGGTGGGGGGATAGAATTAATGGTTTGAAAGGTTTATTAGAAGGCTAGAATAGAAAGACATTTTTCCTTTGGTGTTCTGCTGGGTACCTACTGCTGTTTTGCAAAGTAAGGCAGGATGGAGAGAGGCTTGGCTGTTTGCTTGCTTCTGTCAAATTGGAAAATGGTGCGTTTTGTTGCTTCCCCCACCCCCACGGTGCTCCTCAATCCTATTTGGAGTTTCTGTGGGGAAGAGTCTTGCTGTGCTTCAGCTATTATGTTGCAATGCGCATCTCGAGTTATGATGAGTTTCTCCGACTGGCATTTCAAAACGCTTATTCTTTTATAAGCCCATGGGGACAACCCACCTGCTTAAATAAATGTCTTTGGTGTTCTTAGCACATGGAGTGGCAACATGTGCATTCTGCACATGTTATGAGTTGAAGTGTCCCAAACTATATGCTCAGAATAAATGCGTGCTCATATATATATATATATTTTTGTTTGTAAAATGCTCCTTGCTTCCAAGAAGTAAAGTGAAAGATCATGGGTATATGAAGAGAGAGGGAAAATAGTGTCTGCTCAAATATTTTGCTCTTGGAAAGGCGTCGTATGGAGAGAAGCCTCCTAGTGACTGTAGTAGCTGCTGGTTCTCAAAGCAGCTACAGACACAGTTGCACCTTCAGATTGCACTTCTACGCCGTCGCCTTGGATGACTCTTTGGTTAAAGAGAGGACCATTGCACAGTACCTCACTGTTTTGCTGGAGAGAACAAGAAAGTTAAATACTGGCTGGGGACTTCCTGTTCCCATCTGGCAATTAATAGCAAGACCTTGCAGTGCTGAGAGTGTGAATAGGCAGCCGAGGCGGCTTTCTCCTCTAGCGTAAACATGCAAACATTACCTGCTTGGCTTCAGGCTCTTTTATTCTAGAATATTGGGAAATGGGTGGCATAAAGTATTTTGCCACGGTTGTTCTTGGAAGCCACATGGCGCTCAGTGTGTTTAGACACAATCTGTGCAACGCTTACTTGCAGAACCAGGAAGTGGGTAGTAGAGAAAGTGAGACTTCCAGTTAAAGGATCTAAGAAGAAGAAGAAGAGTTTGAATTTGATATCCCACTTTATCACTACCCAAAGGAGTCTCAAAGTGGCTAACAATCTCCTTTCCCTTCCTCCCCCACAACAAACACTCTGTGAGGTGAGTGAGGCTGAGAGACTTCAGAGAAGTGTGACTGGCCCAGGGTCACCCAACAGCTGCATGTGGAGGAGTGGGGAAGCGAACCCGGTTCACCAGATTACGAGTCCACCGCTCTTAATCACTACGCCATGCTGGCTCTCCCAAGCCCTCACCTCACTTCATAAACTGAGAGCTCTTGGAGCTTGGAGCTATGTAACTCATTGTTGCTTCAAAAAAGAACCCGGGGACTTACCTCTTCAAAAGGAACTGAAGGGCCCTGCATGTTGCCATCTGCTAATCTTTGTGTACTGTGTGCACTCTCTGATTTTTACCCTTTTTGTTTTTCACATCTGCTCAGGTAGAAGAAATTGTGGACGTTGGTTCCTTTGCCCCAGAAGATATTCATGTCCCCAAGATATACGTCCATCGTCTCATCAAAGGGGGAAAGTATGAAAAAAGAATCGAGGTAAGTTTTAATGAGTTTGGGGCCATCCTGTGTGTTTGCCCATGCAGCCTGGGCACATTTGTGTCGCTGCTCTTATTTTGCATAATTATGGGTTTCGCTAGTTACAAGGAGTGATGCCTTCCTAGCACGGGTGAAACTTACCTCTCTGACTTCTAAAAAAATTCAACACACCCACCCAAGCATATCTTCATCCTGAGGGGTTGGAAACTTGTTTTTCCCCTCTCTTTTTTGAAAAAAACAAAAGCTGATAATCTCATCGGAGCTTGAATGTATAAGCAGTAAAACATTTTTGTGCCTCTGTGGACCTCAGCAGACACCATGCCGTTTCCATATCCAATTATAAATGAAGGTTGAATCCCAATGCGACCCACTTAACAGAACGCATCCTCAGCACTTCATTAATTACATCTGAATTTCACTAAATAGCCCCCAAAACTGCAGCTGTGTCCAACATCCTTTGGTGAGAAATAGTGGATGAATTCTGAGCTCACCTTTAGGATCCGGTTATTACCATATTTTTGCATTGGCAAGAAACCTGACCTGCCATCCTAGGATCTGGGTGTGCGAAGATGCCTGGCTGGTATGTTGTGTGTGGGCATGTGTGCCGAAGCATCCCTCAGTCTTTTAGCTTGGCTTACTGAAGTCAGCTGGGACGCGGGTAGCGCTGTGGGTTAAACCACAGAGCCTAGGGCTTGCCGATCAGAAGGTCGGCAGTTCGAATCCCCGCGACGGAGTGAGCTCCCGTTTCTCAGTCCCTGCTCCTGCCAACCTAGCAGTTCCAAAGCACGTCAAAGTGCAAGTAGATAAATAGGTACCGCTCCGGCAGGAAGGTAAACAGCGTTTCCGTGCGCTGCTCTGGTTCTCCAGAAACGGCTTAGTCATGCTGGCCACATGACCTGGAAGCTGTCTGCGGACAAACGCTGGCTCCCTTGGCCTATAGAGCGAGATGAGCGTCGCAACCCCAGAGTCGGTCATGACTGCACCTAATGGTCAGGGGTCCATTTACCTTTACCTTTACTTAAGCCAGCTAGAGCTCTTGTCTCTGCAAGTGCACGCCTCTTCTCTGGAGAATGGGTGTCGTTTGAGTGACCTTTGGGGGGGTAGCCAACTTCAGTTGCTCCCAGCCAGCATGACAAATGGTCAGGAATGACAGGATATTTTGGAAGCTACCATCCTGACTACCCAAGAGGGGATCCTTTGGAAGCCTGTTGAGCAGATAATTGTGTTTCATGTTGCTGGTGGTAGGGCCAGGTGGCTTTCATTTCTTACGATTCTGTTGACCTATTATTAGAAGTGGTTTCCATACTGTTTTGCCAGGAACGCTGAGATTAGGGAAGAGCTGCGATTCAGAACTGGCGCTCATGAGTTACATGCAAAAAGGTTCAGTCCATGGCAATCTCCAGCAACTGTAGAGAGAGAGACCCCTGGCTGAAACTCTGGAAAGCCCCTGCCAGTCAGTATTAACTGTGTTTTGGAGGTTTAAGTTATGTTTAAAATTTTGCACAGTGTCTATTTTTGTTGTTGGCAGCCGCTTTGAGACCTACCTGGTGGAAATAAAGAATGTAAAATAATTAAAAAATAAACGGACCCATGTTGTGACTCCCTGTATAAGGCAGCTCCATGGATAGTTTGAGGCAAAAAAAAAGCTTGAATTGGGAAGGAACACCAGGGCAGTGTCTCATATCAATTTGTACACCCTCTATATAACCTGCCTCAGAACTCTTTGCAGAGCACAAGGGGTCTGTGGCAGATACGGAACCGTTCCTCAGCAGGCATATCCATAGGGAAAGCTTTGCCTGAACATTTGTTGTTGTTGTTGTTTAGTCGTGTCTGACTCTTCGTGACCCCATGGACCAGAGCTCGCCAGGCACTCCTGTCTTCCGCCGCCTCCCGCAGTTTGGTCAAACTCATGCTGGTAGCTTCGAAAACACTGGCCAACCATCTCGTCCTCTGTCATCCCCTTCTCCTTGTGCCCTCAATCATTCTCAACATCAGGGTCCTTCCCAGGGAGTCTTCTCTTCTCATGAGGTGGCCAAAGTCTTGGAGCCTCAGCTTCAGGATCTGTCCTTCCAGTGAGCACTCAGGGCTGATTTCCTTAAGAATGGATACCTGAACATAGAAAACTTGAAAAACCGACCCTTGTGATAAAACTCTTGTTTTAGTGCTTTGGTTCCAAGGCAAGGTCCTAAGGGCATATGATGCAGCCACCTTGCTGAAGATAAGCAGATCAGGGTCTGACCGGTACCTGGACAGGAGACCATTTTGGAACCTCCATATATGTCACTTTGAGCTCCAGGAAGGAAGGAAGGGAGAGAGAGAGATTATAAATAATTAAATGCATCTTACGTGTGCTGAACGATAGCACTGCTTACCTTTTCCTTTTGAGGCTAAGCATCAAATATTATTCCTGATTCTTCTTCAGCCCGATAGGAGGCTGGGTATAGATCTTTGTTACTGCATAGCCAAGCCATGATTGTTTTCAGTTTTTCTCCTGTTCTCCAGACCGGCTTCTCCCCTCCCTCCCTACGACGCCACTCCCCCCCCCACCTCGTTTTTAAGTGTTTTATATCGTCTAGACCAAAGTTACAGCAGGGATTAATTTTGGTCTGCTGAGTTTTGTAATCCTTCTAGGGATCTGCCTTGTCAAAACAGGCGATGAAACGGCAAGCTCCTCTGTTTACTGTCTTAAGAGTGAGAGTGCCTATAAAAATTGCATCTACCTTGGAGGCTCTGGGCTCGCTTCTTCAAACGTAAATTGGTCTTGGACGGAATGTGGTTATCCACCCGAGTGCTGAGTGAGGGTTCCAGTATAAAGCAGATTTAGCTTAGAGTGCCTGGAAAAGGAAGATAGTTTATCATATTAGGAGAGGAATAATTATGGCTGTCATATCTAGCCTGGCTCTGGCTGGGAGAGCAAAACATCCCAAGGGAAGCCTAATTCCGATTTAAGCTGCTATTAAACATATCTTCGCGTTTTCTTTATGCCTCAGTTTCAAAAGTGAGAAGAAGCAGAGACTTGGGCCAAGATGCAAGTCAGAGTTTTAGATTCAGAAGCCTTGGTGCTTTGAATGCATGGATACAGTATACAGTCGTACCTTAGTTCTCGAACACCTTGTGACTCAAATGTTTTGTCTCCCGGACACCGCAAATCTGGAAGTAGGTGTTCCGGTTTTCTTTTCTTTCTTTCTTTTTTTTTGTATATAATTTTTATTAAAATTTTCCATTATATCAATTCCAATATCAAACAATTTTCACAAATTTCAATTTTTAGACTTCCATCAGCTTCTCTGTCAATCATCCATGTTTACCCATTTTTACCCATTTTCTAAATTTAGTATTGCATTTTAATATTACTTTTACAATCCTCTTTCTGTTTAACAATACTCCTCTGCCTTTCACAAAGCCTCTTTAAATCCCACTAGCGTTGTTTGTTCATCACATATACTTTTCAGATATTCTGTAAATTTTCCCCAGTCCTCGATGAACTTGTGGTCCCATTGGTATCTGATCTTCCCAGTTAGTTTGTCCAATTCAGCATAGTCTATAAGTTTCATTTGCCATTCTTCAAGAGTTGGTATTTCTTCCTGTTTCCATTTTTGGGCCATTAATATTCTTGCTGCTGTTACTGCTTATTGAAAGAGTTCATTGTCCTTTCTATTTATTTCACTTCCTATTATTCCTAACAGAAAGGCTTCTAGTTTCTTTACAAATGTATATTTCAACATCTTCTTCAATTCATTATATATCATTTCCCAGAAACCTCTCACTTTCTTACACTCCCACCACATATGAAAAAAAGTTCCTTCTTGGTGCTTCGAATGCATGGATACAGTATACAGTCGTACCTTGGTTCTCGAACACCTTGTGACTCAAATGTTTTGTCTCCTGGACACCGCAAATCCGGAAGTAGGTCTTCCGGTTTTCAAACTATTTTGGGACGCAGCTTCCATGGCTTCCAATTGAGTGCAGGAAGCTCCTGCAGTCAATCGGAAGCTGTGCCTTCGTTTTCGAACATTTTCGGAAGTCAAACGGTCTTCTGCAACGGATTCTGTTCGAGAACCAAGGTACAACTGTATAAGCATCCTGGTAGCAGTCTTGGTAGCATCCTGATAGGGACGCGGGTAGTGCTGTGGGTTAAACTACAGAGCCTAGGACTTGCTGATCAGAAGGTCGATGGTTCGAATCCTCGCGATGGGGTGAGCGCCCGTTGCTCAGTCCCTGCTCCTGCCAACCTAGCAGTTCGAAAGCACGTCAAGCGCAAGTAGATAAATAGCGGGAAGGTAAACGGCATTTCCGTGCGCTGCTCTGGTTTGCCAGAAGCGGCTTAGTCATGCTGGCCACATGACCCGGAAGCTGTACACCGGCTCCCTCGGCCAATAAAGCGAGATGAGCGCCACAACTCCAGAGTCAGCCATGACTGGACCTAATGATCAGGGGTCCCTTTACCTTTACCTAGCAGTCTTGCTGCTTCCAGGCTTCCACTTCCAGTTCTGAGATGCATGCAGGAGTGCCCCTGGCCTCTGTCTGCAGGATTCTTGTCTTCCTGGAGGGAGAATGTAAAGATGCGTAATTTCTCCCTCTCTCTATTTATCTACTTGCACTTTGACATGCTTTCAAACTGCTAGGTTGGCAGGAGCAGGGAGCGAGCAACGGGAGCTCACCCCGTCGCGGGGATTCGAACCACCGACCTTCTGATCGGCAAGTCCTAGGCTCTGTGGTTTAACCCACAGCGCCACCCACATTCCAAATCTTGGCATATCTGCTGCTAAAAGATTCAAATGGTCCCCCCTACTGAACGCAGCCCTGACTCACCTTCTTCAAACAGCTGAGCTAAAGGACATCCATACTGCGATTATATCAGCTAACTCTGCTGCTGAGGCCATGAAACTATTCAAGACACTCACAGAAAGGCTGAAACTACACTTAACAACTGTGATCCAAAATACTGCCACAAAAAGGTTAACGGAATTTGCCACCTGGTTTGACTCTTGAGTGCAAACAGGCAAAGGGACACCAGCAGAGAGCTTACTGTAAATATAGGACCTCCAGGTCACCTCTCTTATTTACTGCATACGTTTCTCTTCATTTACGTTATGTGCAGATCAGGCCAGTGTTTAGCATAAACCAAGCCAGGCCATCTTAAAAGTGTTTCTTACTGCTTCAGGGTGCCTGAGGCCTGCCTTTACCAACTGTGATATAATATATGCTGGTCCTTAATGTTCCACGAAAGAGTGCAGCTGTCACCACCCTTTTCACTCTGCTTGCTTTTCTAGAGGTTGTCGCTACGCAAAGCTGAAGATAGCAAAGGCAAGCAGAAGAAAGATGGCGATAACGTAAGAGAGAGGATCATCAGGCGAGCGGCCCTTGAATTCGAGGATGGCATGTACGGTATCCTTTGGCTGTGTGGAATGCAGTCGCTTTTTAAAAAATTATTTTCAAGGCGCATTTGAATTCAATAAATTTGTGTACAGAATAAAGAACTCGGATCCGTTTAACCTTGACCGAACCGTTTAAGCTAACCTGGGTATTGGAATCCCACTGCTTGCCAGCAACTTCATCAGTCCAGAAATAACTGTTCATCTACAGAGTGAAAATGGAGTCCTTGGCTTGGTAAGAATGGGACACAGGCAATGGGAATCAATAGACAACACAACACAACCATTTGACTGGAAAGTTAATGCAAGTGTTTGTTTTGTGTTTTAACTTAGGGACCTTACCCATCTGAAAGCGAAGTTGACCCTGACCTCATCAATGCAGGTTAAACCCGATTTTTGTCTTCCTTTCACTTATTTATACTGCCCTTCCTTCAAGAAGTTAATGGGGAGGTGGGAGAGAAACAGAACCGTGGGCAGCTTCAGGTAGAGCCAGGCGGAATTCAAGTTTGATACAGGCATTCAAGAGCAACAGTCTCCTTTCTCAACCTTGGGTTCCCCAGATGTCGTTGGACCACCACTCCCGTCATTCCTGACCGCTGCCCCTATTGACTATGGATGATGGGACTTGTAGTCCAACAATATCTGGGAACTCGAAGTTGAGAAAGGCTGGCCTGGGATATTGCTCCAGCAAAGGTCTGGAGCCAACTGAGGGTTTAAGCAAGTCTGCAGGTAGGTTAGAGTTTCTTGCTCAAGCCTTTCTGGGAAAGCTATCAGTCTCTCAAAGGGGCTGCACTCAGTTCTTCAGGTATGAACTAGCATGGTAGAACAACGGGTGGTGGTGATCTCCTTTAGAAGCAGAGCCATCAGAGGAGGAGGCCAGATGTTCTCAGACAGGAGAACTGGGGGCAGTGGTGTTTTCTGGAATTCCCCTACACCAAGGTCTCTGATTGAGTGGAGTCTCTGAGGGCGATCCCCATGCCCATCTTTCTTGGATTCTCTAAATCCTGGGTCATGTCATGTACAGTGTTCTCCTTTATCTTCTCAACAACCCCCAGAGGTAGGTAGAATGAGTGCCCAATGGTCATTCAGCAAGCTTGATTTCCTGATACAATTCAAATATAGTCGTAACTTGGAAGTCAAATGGAATCTTTTCTGGAAGTCCGTTCGACTCCCAAAATGTTTGGAAACCAAAGCGGAGCTTCTGATTGGCTGCAGGAAGTTCCTGCAGCCAATCGGAAGCCGTGCTGGTCGTTCGGCTTCCGAAAATCATTTGAAAACCGGAACACTCGCTTCCGGGTTTCAATCGTTTGGGAGCTGATTTGTTTGGGAGCCAAGGCATTTGAGATCCAAGGTACGACTGTGCAGCATTTGAATGTCTCTGGCATGCTGGCTCTTAAGTAAGCTTTAATTACTCTGCAACCTTTATATAAATATATTTAAAAGGTTGCAGAGAAATTAAAGCTTACTTAAGAGCCAGCATGCCAGAGACATTCATATATACATATTTAAAAATCTGTGTCTAAAGGAATGCCACAAAATTTTATCAGAGTCACTGGCAAGGATCTTTGTTCGCAAGCATTCTCCCTTGGAAGAGTCTACTTGAAGTTTGGAGGGACTCTTGTCATTTGTGTTTTATTGCTTTTGTCTTTCTGTTTTCCTCACCCCCCCCCCCCTGAATTAATAGTACAGTCGTACCTCATGTTACGTTTGCATTGGGTTGTGCGTTTTCAGGTTGCGTCCTGCGGCGACCCGGAAGTACCGGAAAGGGTTGCTTCGGGGTTTTGCTGCTTGTGCATGCGCAGGCGTGCAAAATGAGTCATGCGCATGTGCAGAAGCGGCGAATCGCAGCACGCGCAGACATGGGTTGCATTCTGCTCATGTTGCGAATGGGCCTCTGGAACGGATCCCGTTCGCAACCAGAGGTACCACTGTAGAAGCTTTGTGAAGCCCTGTTGTGTGACACAGACAGCATCGATTCCCAGCACCACCCTGGGATTTTGCCTGTTGGCCATAGCAAACTTAACACCAAGTTTCTTCTACAGGCAAAGAGACGGTCACCGTGCTTCCAGGGGCTTCCTACTTCTCTAGCGATGAATCTTTTGCAATGATCCGAGGGTATGTAATGAAAAAACCTAATTTTCTAAATGTCAAGAGCACAGGCCCAGCTGGTGCCTGAACTTATTAGTAACCCACACCAAAGTGACTATCCGTCAGTCTTCTGCGAAACAGCAAAATAATTAGTAGCTGGGTGTTGGAACTCAATAGATTTAGCAGCTGGGTATCGAACTCAAAATAGTCAACTCGGCTGGTGCTGTCAGTTGTCAGGCCAACACTTTTTTTGTACTAATCTTTTGTGTTGTATGAACAGAGTATTAAGGGTGATTTTGTGGTACAGGCTGTGCAGTGATGTTTTGTTTTTACCGTTACCGCCTTGATGTGTTGTTTAGCAAATGACGAATGGTACCAAGTTTGACATGTAGATAATTATCCCAGGCCACTGAGTTCAGTGGGACATAATCCCAGGTAATGACACTACCCTTATATCTGCCTTAGAATTCAATGGATCTTACTCCTCGGTAAGTGGGTATAAGATGGCAGCCTCAACGTGCATGGGATTTTAGTCTCGCAGCTATCCAGCGGCGCTTGATTTTTAAGCTATTTTTCTGCCCTTGCTTTTATAGAGAGGTACTGTTGGGATGCGGGTGGTGCTGTGGGTTAAACCACAGAGCCTAGGACTTGCTGATCAGAAGGTCGGCGGTTCGAATCCCTGCGACGGGGTGATCTCCCGTTGCTCGGTTCCTGCTCCTGCCAACCTAGCAGTTCGAAAGCACGTCCCAGTACAAGTAGATAAATAGGTACCGCTCCGGCGGGAAGGTAACCGGCGTTTCCGTGCGCTGCTCTGGTTCGCCAGAAGCGGCTTAGTCATGCTGGCCACATGACCCGGAAGCTGTACGCCGGCTCCCTTGGCCAGTAAAGCAAGATGAGTGCCGCAACCCCAGAGTCGGCCACGACTGGACCTAATGGTCAGGGGTCCCTTTACCTTTTTACTGTTCAGGAATGGTTAGAGGGCTTGTAGATGGAACGAACAAAAACTGTGCCAGAATTTCTGATGCCAAAAGCATGCTCGTTTCTTTCTTTGTTCCTTTTATCAGGGGACATGTTAATCTGACAATGCTTGGAGCGATGCAGGTGTCTAAATATGGTGATCTAGCCAACTGGATGATTCCTGTAAGTAGATGGAGAAGCGTCCTTATTATATATTTGCATCATGCATTTTATTCGAAGTGATTAGAAGCGTCTTTTCATTTCACTGAAATGATGTGTTCTCAACAATAGTAAAAATGACTCCTTTTGGATGCATGCAATGATCCCAATGCTTTGTTTTTGTTCTGTAATTGAAGAACAACTTCTTCCTTTTTTTACATATAAAAAAATCCAGCATCGGTTCATAAGTTCTCGGAAGAGCAGGGTGGGTGCTCACGACTCCTTCTAACAAAACATGTTATTGTGTAATCAAAGTAGAGAACGGGCTAGTAACCTTCACCTACCAATTGAGCATCGGAAGCTGTCTTATAACTGGCCCATTTAGCTCAGTATTGTCTAAAATGACTGGTAGTTCTTCCTGATTTCAGATGGCCTTACCTGGAGGAGCTGGGGATCAAACTTGAGACCCTTTGCATGCAAGGCAGATGCTTCACCATTGAGCCACAGCCCTTCCCTAAACATCTTTGGTTCTCCACTTTGTAATCTAGTCATTCCTAGGCATGTTGGCTTTTTCAACAAGGAATCCAGCTGTCCATAGAGAAATTGGCAAAAGCCTAAAATGTAGGTGACAGAATGAATTAAATCGATTTCCAGAAGTAAACACCATCATGTAGTCACCATCATCGTCATCACCATAATATGGGCTGTTTAAAAAACTGGTTTTTTTTCTTATTGCAAGGATTTCCTTTTCTTAGTGTGTATGACTGTAGTTCAGAGTCTATTCACCTCCCACTGAGAACTTGCATCTTGTGATATTTCACTCTCAGCAGTTCAGCCTTTTCATGCAGCCTCGCCTGACACCAATTTAGGGATCCTGGAAAAAATAGTCTGGTTCACTCTTGAGGCTTGACCAACGAAAGATGAATCTAACATAATATTTAGGCCCTCTTTGCTTCGCTTGGAATCTGAAAGAGCAATGGCTTCTTAAGAGTTAACCTGTCCTTTGAATGTACTCAGATATTTGTTGGGAGTCCAGCTCCTATCAGCCACAGCAAGCATGGCCAGTGGTCAGAGATGATTAGATTTGGAGTCCAGCAAGATCTGAATGGGCACAATTTCCTCCTGCTATAAACCTGCTGTTAGTGTTTTGAGATCCTCACTATAGTCTAGTTTCTTAAAAGAAAGTCTGCCTTGGGCTGGAGTCCTACACACAATTGCACAACGTCTGGGAGTATGTCCCATTGAACTTAATGATGCTTACTTCTGGCTAAGCATGTAGGTATGAATGAAATTATTCTTTTCATACTCTACTAAGTTCCATGTGAACAGTGGGGCTATTATTTTTGAAAGAAGGGGGGGGACCCCAGCCTACCCCTATACCCTCACCCCCCAGATTTGAAAGACCAAACCATTTTGCAACACAGCAGCACCAGGGGTTTCCATTTGAAAGAGAATAGTCAAAACTCTGCTTCCCTATAATTGAGCCCATTCGTGCATCTGAAAGAGCTCTCTTTTCAGACGGGATACACCTTCATTTGAAATAGAAGGAAAATAATACGTTCTGACATAAAACATGCAGAAGTCATCATTTTTACGATTTGCAGGAGGTGTTGCCAACCCTGTAGTATGTCCATTTTGAAAAGACTTGACGTTCACTAGCAATTTTTCCTTAATAGTATTTGAAGCACTAATTACTGTGGATTATTATTTTTTTCGTTTTAGCTGGTTCTATCTTGTAAAAAAACAAACACAAAGCACAATTTTAAACTGGTTCTTTTGTGATGAGTTATCTGGAACGGCTGCATCAAGAAGTACATTTTGCGATGAATTATGTTGCTCTTCTGGGTGGAACACCCCCCTCCCCCCCGACAGAAACGTTGAATATGAGGCTGTAGTTTCTTTGACTAATGATGCTTTTATATTGGTAAAATAGCCCTGAGCCATTGAAGATCACACTTTAAGAGCAATGGGGTAGGAGTTGGAGGAGAGATTAAAAGTGATGGATGAGGTCTCCTAGGGATTTATTAATATTAATACCATAAATACTGGTGGTGCTGCTCTGATGCAACAGCAAATAAACCACTGAACCAGTGACAGATGCCCTGAGGCTAACTGTTGATGAATCCTGAAGAATAAATTTGGGGAAAGTTCTGCAGTCGGCATGCAAACGCTTCGAAACTTTCTGCCAACTTTTACCAGCTCTCCTTGTATTCAGAAAGGGGTTCTTGAGAAAGGCCTGCTCCTGGCAGCTGCTTCTCCTGGGCAAAACCATATTACTGAAGATGCCTTATGACGAGGCTACCTACCATGGCGGCAGGCACCCCAAGGAACCAGGCAGAGCCCTTTCTAGCCTCCTTGAATGCTTCTTTGTAGTGCTTATTGGCAAAGGGCCTTAAAGTTGCTTTCCTGCTTATCTCCACAGCAACCCCATGGGGCAGTAAATATTGCAGGGTGGGGGGGAAGTCACCTCATCGTGACCCTTCCGCTTCAGAAATGGTAGACTAACTTAAAATGACAAAGCTAGACAGCATCTTAAAAAGCAGAGACATCACCTTGCCAACAAAGGTCCGTATAGTTAAAGCTATGGTTTTTCCAGTAGTGATGTATGGAAGTGAGAGCTGGACCATAAAGAAGGCTGATCGCCGAAGAATTGATGCTTTTGAATTATGGTGCTGGAGGAGACTCTTGAGAGTCCCATGGACTGCAAGAAGATCAAACCTCTCCATTCTTAAGGAAATCAGCCCTGAGTGCTCATTGGAAGGACAGATCCTGAAGCTGAGGCTCCAGTACTTTGGCCTCCTCATGAGAAGAGAAGACTCCCTGGAAAAGACCCTGATGTTGGGAAAGATGGAGGGCACAAGGAGAAGGGGATGACAGAGGACGAGATGGTTGGACAGTGTTCTCGAGGCTACCAGCATGAGTTTGACCAAACTGCGGGAGGCAGTGAAAGAAAGGAGTGCCTGGTGTGCTCTGGTCCATGGGGTCACGAAGAGTCGGACACAACTAAATGACTAAACAACAACAAAACTTACATCCCATGTACCTAGAAATAGGGTTACATTATACATGGTATTTTTCAGGCGTTGAGAGCCTCCCATTTGTGTGGGGTGGGTACAATGATGGAAGTCGTATTCCAATACCACCTAGAATCATAGAATAGAATCATAGAATCATAGAGTTGGAAGAGACCACAAGGGCCATCGAGTCCAACCCCCTGCCAAGCAGGAAACGCCATCAGAGCACTCCTGACATATGGTTGTCAAGCCTCTGCTTAAAGACCTCCAAAGAAGGAGACTCCACCACACTCCTTGGCAGCAAATTCCACTGTCAAACAGCTCTTACTGTCAGGAAGTTCTTCCTAATGTTTAGGTGGAATCTTCTTTCTTGTAGTTTGGATCCATTGCTCCGTGTCCGCTTCTCTGGAGCAGCAGAAAACAACCTTTCTCCCTCCTCTATGTGACATCCTTTTATATATTTGAACATGGCTATCATATCACCCCTTAACCTCCTCATCTCCAGGCTAAACATGCCCAGCTCCCTTAGCCGTTCCTCATAAGGCATCGTTTCCAGGCCTTTGACCATTTTGGTTGCCCTCCTCTGGACACGTTCCAGTTTGTCAGTGTCCTTCTTGAACTGTGGTGCCCAGAACTGGACACAGTACTCCAGGTGAGGTCTGACCAGAGCAGAATACAGTGGCACTATTACTTCCCTTGATCTAGATGCTATACTCCTATTGATGCAGCAATAGGACCTGAAAGACACCACATTGGCTACCGTAAACAGAGAGGAAGAGGGTATCAGGAACTCTTTTAAAGATTACTTATCTTAAGAGTTATCAGAGTCAGAAGAAAGAATGCATGGTGCTGCTTACCAGAAGACACAGATGTGGTCTAAAATGTCGCACCTTTACAGGGTGTGTATTTGCATTTGGTTTTCCATAGATGCCACAAGACAAGCAAAGTCAGATACATTAATGAATGCATCAATTTATTACAGTGGTACCTCAGGTTAAGAACTTAATTCGTTCGGGAGGTCCGTTCTTAACCCGAAGTACCACTTTAGCTAATGGGGCCTCCCGCCGCCGCCTCATGATTTCTGTTCTCATCCTGAAGCAAAGTTCTTAACCCGAGGTACTATTTCTGGGTTAGCGGAGTCTGTAACCTGAAGCGTCTGTAACCTGAAGCATGTGTAACCCGAGGTACCACTGTATCTTTAGAGGTCAGTGTAAGCCAAGACCCTAAATAGGGGGTAGGAGAGCTGAAAAGAATTTCACATTTGCCAACCAATGTGCCCCTTTGGTTTCAGATAGTGCATAGGAAGAAGAGTCTAAAAAGCCCAGGACACAAATTTCCACAGCCCTCTAGCAGCTATGGTGGCTCATTTACCGGAAGTGATGTATTTAGATTTAACTCTGGAAGTGTATACCCAATTCTGACCAAACCAGGCCTCCTATGTCTATTTTGCTCTAGGAGGCTTAGTTTGGTCAGAATCTAGTATACACTTCCAGATCTAACGCTAAATACATTGCTTCTGGTAAATGGGCCAGCAGAGGGCCGCGAAAATTTGTGTCCCAGGCTTGTTAGACTTGTCTCCCCATGTACTATCTGAAGCCCAAGGGGCGCACGGTTTGCCAGACGTGAAATATATTGGCATTATTTTCAGCTCTCCTACTGGACTATGAAGCTTTAAGGAGGAATTAATTTCCCAAATTGGCATGAAAGAAAGAGCAATTCCGCAGTGGAACCAATTACCTCAAAGGGATGCGCCCTCTCGCTCTCTCTGTGTGTGTTTTGGAGGGGGGGGGGAGGCATTACTGTTTTGTTTGCTATTACGTTATGCATTTGTGTAGTTCTATGCTGCAAACTGCCCTGTGATCCTTGGATGAAGAGCGGCGTATACATTTAATAACTAGAAAATAAATAAATGTTCTACACTCCGTAATGGGGAGGTCTTCAAGCAGAGCCTGGCTCTGTTGGGGATGTCCTAGGTCTCACGCTCCACCAACTGAGCTATCACGGAAGGATAAGCTGCATGCATCCAAAGGTGACCCCCCCTATGGATCATTTGAGGTTTTCCCACTAATCCAGCAGATAATTTCTTCTAAAGGAAGCCTTTTTAAGACCGGACTGTGGCTTGCCTCTTTGCCCATGGGAACGTGGGTGGCAGAAAGGTCCAAGCGAGCCTGCCATTTTCATAGGCACAATTTCGAGTCAGTTCTGGGGTCTGTGGTGTATGTCAAGAGTGGCAAATGGCATGAACCTTATATGTTTGTCTCTGTAAATAACTGTTGGTTCAAAAGCAGGATTGCTCAGATAGCACTGCGACAAAGGGAGGGAAGTGTCACATTGTGGATATAGGATACCGTATTTTTCGCTCCGTAAGACGCACTTTTTCCCTCCTAAAAAGTAAGGGGAAATGTGTGTGCGTCTTATGGAGCGAATGCAGGCGGGAGGCTCTGCTCAGCGCTCCCTTTAAAGAATTTTTTTCCCTTGCATTCCCCCTCTAAAAACTAGGTGCGTCTTATGGTCAGGTGCGTCTTATGGAGCGAAAAATATGGTATATGCCCATCTTTTGGAAGCTTTGAGCATGCAGGTGTTCAGATTGGCGTTTGTATATCTTTCTGCATTGCACTTGAAGGATTTTTGAACCAGCTTTATGCTTTTATTCCTTGTACTGCTGGGGGGATGTCAGCATAGTAATTTCCTTGCATTTCTTGCTAAAGTTCATTGGGCTCTTCTTTCCTCCTCTGCATTCCTCCAGATCTAATCTATCTGTCGGAGATAGCAATATGATGACAATAGTTCTGTAATTGTACCATTCTGAGGCTGGTAGTCACTTGGGGGAAAAATGACACAGCAAATATATATCAGGGCAATTCATCTTTGGTTCTTTCCAGTCATGTACTTTTTTATTGAGGAAATGGGAAAACGAAGTACTCAAGCACAAGGGGATAGCTTTTGTTTTTGTTTTTTTTAAAAATAACTCCAGCTGCGGTAGCAGGAAGTGGATATTAATATTGTTTACATTTTACACAAAGTACTTTACATACAATACAAAAAATATATATATTTGAAACATACTGACTTGGGGAAGAAGGAAATTTTGTTCAAGGCGTCCTTATGGTTTGTTTTTCATGACTTTGAACGATTTCTAAAACTGCAAAAATAACATATTGCCGAACACTTGTTTGTGTGCTGCTATTTTTAAATCTTTGCAATTTCTTCCACAGAAGGAGAGTATGAGTAGAAACTAGCTTTAACACCTTACCCCAGTGGTTTTCAACCAGTGTGCCGTGGCACCCTGGGGTGCCTTGAATGATGGTCAGGGGTGCCGCGGGCAACACTGGCCTCTGTCCCTCTTTCCTTCCTTCTCTCCTTCCTCTGATGCTCTCTTGCGTCTCTGCCTCCCAAAGGCTTGCACAGCTGTTTATTGCAGCAGCTCTGGCTACAAGCTCCTCAGGCGAATGGTGCCTCTGGGGCTGGCCAGGGGGTGCTTCCCAGGTCCCTGTGGGGCAGTGGGGCAGCTCAGAGACCAGGGGCTGCAGCTGCGGCTGCCCAGAGGACTTCCAAGGAGAGGGGAAAGGAGGCTGAAGGAACTCTCCACAAGGGAGGGTGTTTGAAGAAGGGTAAGAGGCTGGTAAGAGGGATGACAGAGGATGAGATGGTTGGACAGTGTTCTCGAAGCTACCAGCATGAGTCTGACCAAACTGCGGGAGGCAGTGGAAGACAGGAGTGCCTGGTGTGCTCTGGTCCATGGGATCACGAAGAGTCGGACACAACTAAACGACTAAACAACAGCAACAAACAAGAGGCTGCCAGCTCTGCAGGCAAGGGGTGACATAACTGGGCTCCCAAGTGCTGCAGAAAGAATGTAGTTGGTCAAGGGAGCCGTGGACTCAAAAAGGTTGAAAACCTCTGGCTTATACAGTGCAGAGCCAGCTCTGGTTAGCTGCTGCCTCAGTTCTAAACAGGTTTATTTGGGTGTGGACCTGTTGGTTGGGGAAGGGTCTTGGCTCAATGGTAGTGCATCTACTTGCATGAACAAGGTTCAATCCCTGGTATGTCCAGGTAGGGCTGGGAGAGATCCCTGCCGCAAACCTTGGAGAGCTGCTGCCAGGCAGGTTAGACAGTACTGAGCTTGATGGACCAATGCTGATCCTGTCTCTGCAGAACTTTCACACATTTTGGCCAATCCAAAGGATCAGCTGTTTAGATACGTCAAGGCAGTCACACGAGGCTTTCGGCAGCAGCGCTTGCTTGGCGGTCTTCTGCTTCACATAAAACAAATGGGAATTACCCTTCAAGTGAATGTGTGGGATTGTCACCTGCATTTGGGAAAGCACCCAGTTCTTCCTCCTGAAGGAACCTGGGAAATAAAGTGGATTAAATTAAATTCGAGTTTGCCATTTCGAAATGACTGCATTTCCCAAACAACAATGCACGTTAAGTGGTTGCTATCAGGTTTGCAACTAAATTGAGCCTTTCAGTGGCCTAGCAATATAATCCAAAACGTTTGGTCATACAACCCATGTGTGCTGAAGAATTATAGATATTTAGAGACAAGATGCAGTTCCTTGTTTTGCCCATCAATCTTCTTTCCCCATAAATAATATGGGAACCCTCTCAAAATGTAATGCTTGTGATATGCAGACTTGGAGAGGTTATGAAGAATCATTATTCAAAGAGAAACTAAAGGGACCATTGGCTTAATTTTGCATTTTGTCTGATGCTTGTTTTCCAGATTCTGTAGATTAAATGCATCAAAGCAAAGAGTGTTGGTATACTGAGCTGTGCTGTTGACACCTGTTCTTCTTTTTCTTTTTTGTGTGAAATCTTGTGTTTTTAGGGTAAGATGGTGAAAGGCATGGGAGGTGCCATGGACTTGGTGTCCAGCTCAAGAACTAAAGTGGTCGTCACTATGGAGCACTCTGCAAAGGTAATCTTTTTATAAATATTCTCTTCTTGTGGATTTCTCCTTAGACTGAAAACATACCCTGGGTTCTGTCCAATTCTGTGTGCACAGAGTTCCAGTCACACAATGGGTCTTCTTCTTCTCCTCTTGTGCTTTCCTCCAACTTTCTGGAGCAGGTTTTCAGGGTGCACGGGTTGTGGGGAGGAGGAGAAAGTTTTGCTGCATGAGTGGAAGAGCAGATTTAAAAGCACGTGGCTACTAGCCATGATGGCTGTGCTCTGCCTCTGCAGTCAAAAGGGACACGGGTGGTGCTGTGGTCTAAACCACTGAGCCTCTTGGGCTTGCTGATTGGAAGATTGGCGGTTCAAATCCCCATGACGGGTTGAACTCCCGTTGCTCTGTCCCAACTCTGGCCAACCAAACAGTTAGAAAGCACACCAGTGCAAGTAGATAGATAGGTACCGCTGTGGCGGGAAGGTAAATGGCATTTCCGTGCACTCTGGCACTCGTCACGGTCCTCTGTGCGCCAGTAGCGGTTTATTCATGCTGGCCACATGACCTGGAAAACTGTCTGTGGACAAACGCCGGCCGCCTTGGCCTGAAAGCAAGATGAGTGCCGCAACCCCATAGCCTTTGACTGGACTTAACCATCCAGGGGTCCTTTACCTTTACCTTTTACAGTCAAGAGGCAGCAATTGCTTCTGAATACCAATTGCTGGAAGCCACAGGAGGGGAGAGTGGCCTTGTGCTCTGGTCCTGCTTGCAGGCTCCCTATAGGCATCTGGCTGGCCATTATGAGAACAGGATGCTGGTCTAGATGGGCCAATGGCCCGATCCAACAGGCTCTTCTCGTGTTCTTCTGGCTCCCCGCAAAGAATCATGGGAACTGTAGTTTGTTAAGGGTGCTAGAAACCATAGCTCTTTAAGTGGGAAACTACAGGTCCCAGGATTCTCTTGGAGAGATCACGTGCTTTAAACATTTGTTGAACAAACTAAGACCACACTGAGAGCCAGTGTGGTGTAGTGGTTAAGAGTGGTGGACTCGTAATCTGGTGAACCGGGTTCACTTCCCTGCTCCTCCACATGCAGCTGCTGGGTGACTTTGGGCCAGTCACACTTCTCTGAAGTCTCTCAGCCTCACTCACCTCACAGAGTGTTTGTTGAGGGGGAGGAAGGGAAAGGAGATTGTTAGCCGCTTTGAGACTCCTTAGGGTAGTGATAAAGCGGGATATCAAATCCAAACACCAGTGTGTGGTGTGGATCTGCCAGATTTCTGCCGTCCTAGTGAACAGCGGCATTAAATGTGGTCCATTGTTTCTGCATGAGGTTGTCCATTACCTGCTTTCTTGCAGATTCCTGTCTCTGTGTTTAACACTTTGCCAGGTGTGGGGGCCCTATGACCCTCCAGATGTTGCTGAACTATAACTGACACCACCCCTGGCCATTGACCATGCTTGCTGGGATTAATGGGAGTTGTAGTTCAGCCACATCTGGACAGGTAAAGTTCCCCACACCTTTGCTGTGCTGTTTCTATCCTGGAATAGATGTCCTCTTTCTTCATCTCACTAATTCCCTTGTATCTTAAAACAACAACAACACCACACAAGCTTGCCTTCCTGACCACATTTCTGAAACCTTCTAAAGTCATAATAATAATAATAATAATATAATTATTTATACCCCGCCCATCTGGCTAGGTTTCCCAATTTTGCTGCTGTTTTCACTTGCCACCATAAGCAATCCAAATGCTTCTTTCCAGTCTCTGACCTCCTTAGCTACTGTTTGCAGCAGCCATTCCTCCCTTCCCCCTCAGTGAGTTCCCTTGCAATGGTGTTTACATGGTGGTGTAATGTCAATCCATGGGGGAAAAATGTCAGAAATAAAATGGGCACTGGTAGGCTATACGCTCTCTCGTCTACCCCACCCCCAAACCAATCCCTGGAAAATTACTAAATATTGTCCTGAAGGTGGGTGAGGAGAGAAGGGAGCCATATGTTGGGATGGGCTTGAGTTAAAACCACCCCACCCCCCAAAATAGATAGACGTGATTTAGAGTATAGTATGCTTCACAGTTGAGGGGTATGTTGGTGTTTGTGCAAATGGACCAATGGGAATACGCTGCAGAATGGGACCGTGTAATACACATTTTTAGAAATAATAATGCTTTGACCCTTGACCTTCAACCTTTGGGCTAAGCATGAGTCTTCCCTTATTAATTGCTTGTGGGGAGATTTGATAGGACGATGTTACAAAGGCTAGGCGTTGGCCAATATCTTTGTTCTTCTATTCCCATTCTAGCAGGTTTTTTTTCTGTAGATGCGGCTTCAGAAAGGTTTTAACCAGTGACAGTAAGATCATATTTAACTGCAGTTAAGCAAGATCATATTTAACTGCAGCATTCTGCAATGCTTGGGGTCACAGCGGCTGCCTGGAAAGCAGTCTTCTTTCCTCAAGCCTGAGCATTTCAATCTCCCCGGGATGCTTAGAAGGAGATATTGCATGACCTTAAAGGTATACCTGATGGGTTGATGAACACTTTTCTATAAAAATAGCACAGATGAATTGTTCCTTTCCCGGGAACAGAACTTGGAAGGTCCTTGAATTAAGCATTGTCATTTCCCCTTAAATACCTGTCAGTTTCACTCAGGGGGGGCTAGCTGCCTTGAATGCAGAAACAGATGTTAACTGGTAGGAATTGGAGTGAAGCAATTGTTCCCTGACATAAAGTGGGGAGGGGGGAGAATAAATTAAAAACCCATTTTGGTAGACAGAGTCGACACCACTGTAAAATTCGTAAAATCATCACAGTTTAAAGGGACAATGCTAGACTACCCAAAAGAGCAGTTTTATTTTATTTTTTTTCAATTGGGGCAACCTGCAAGGAGTTGGAGAGAGGGCTTGATTTTGCAAAAAAACATTAAAGGCCACAGTTTTTTTGTTTTTTTATGTGCCAATCATAAGAGAACAACAAGGCAAGAGTAGGAAAGATTTTAAGATAATCCCAGATGCCCCTGTCCTTTACAGCGTTGCCTGTCCCTGCATATAAAGGAGGACATACCATTGCAACAGTATATTGGGATAATTTTTAAGATTGTTGTCACAAAATATGAGCAGAGAATAGTTATGTCGTTCTAGGCAATGCTACAAAGAAACTTCAATATTCCTGGGGCACAATTTCCGGGCACAATTCAAAGTGTTGGTGCTGACCTTTAAAGCCCTAAATGGCCTCGGTCCAGTATATCTGAAGGAGCGTCTCCACCCCCATCATTCTACCCGGACACTGAGGTCCAGCACCGAGGGCCTTCTGGCGGTTTCCTCACTGCGAGAAGCCAAGTTACAGGGAACCAGGCAGAGGGCCTTCTTGGTAGTGGCACCCGCCCTGTGGAACGCCCTCCCACCAGATGTCAACGAGAACAACAACTACCAGACTTTTAGAAGACACCTGAAGGCAGCCCTGTTTAGGGAAGCTTTTAATGTTTGATGTTTACAGTATTTTAATATATTATTTTGGAAGCCCAGCCAGGGCGGGGTATAAATAATAAATTATTATTATTATTATTATTATTATTATTATTATTATTATTATTACTGGGGGAAATGCAATTTTTACTCCTAAAGTGAAGCGGCATTAACAGAGTTATTTTAGAAATATACTGATAGTATTAGAACCTGCTTCTGTGTGGTAAATCCCAGAATGCATCAAGAATTTCTGGCCAGGCAGCCAGCATGATTCCTTTTAACACCAATGTTGCTGTCTGCTCGCTCCCCTGAGAAGGGACATCACAAGCATGGAAAGGAACTACCGTATTTTTCGCCCTATAGGACGCACTTTTTCCCCTCCAAAAATGAAGGGGAAATCTGGGTGCGTCCTATGGGGCGAATGCAGGCTTTCGCTGAAGCTTGGAGAGTGAGAGGGGTCGGGGCGCACCGACCCCGCTCGCTCTCCAGGCTTCAGGAAGACATCCGCAGCCTAGGCAGCCCTGCGGGAGTTCCGGCAGGGCTGTCTAGGCTGCGGATAGCAGCTTGCTTCCCGGAGCGCCGGGTGCGCTGAAAGCGGAGCGCCCGGCGCTTCGGGAACACATCCGCAGCCTAGGCAGCCCTGCAGGAGTTCCTGCAGGACTGTCTAGGCTGTGGATAGCAGCCTGCTGCCTGGCGGGCGGGGCGCGCTGAAGCAGAGTGCCCCGTGCGCCAGGCAGACATCAGCCAGCCCCTCAAGCTCGGGGGACAGCAGGGAGGCACAGCGCCGCCATCCCGCTGTTCCTCGACCTGGTTCGGTTTCCCCGACCTGGTTTTGGGGGGGAAATAAAGGAAAAAAACTTTTTGCTTTATTTCCCCCCCCAAATACTCGGTGCGTCCTATGGGACGAAAAATACGGTATGTGGTCTAGCTGTGATTTTTGCATTGCTGGGGGTTGGACTAGATGACCCTCTGGGTCTCTTCCAACTCTGTAATTCTTTGATTCAGTGATCTGCCGAACCCATGTGGTTCCTATGTCTGTGTTTCATGGTGTCCTGGAAGTGAGCAGGAACAGGGAGTGCAGAAGTCATTATCGTATGGCTATTTTTATCTATAAAATTTGCACCCCGCCCTTCATCCCTAGATCTCAGGGCAGTTCACAGCATAAAAATACAAGACTAAAACACAAAATGCATACGGAAAATAAGAACAAAAGCAAAACAAACCAATAACTCCCACCCGCCACCCCCTTCCACAAACACATTTGAAAGGATATAGGATGTTAGTTTGCCAAAGGTCTGGTTGAAGAGGAACATTTTCCCCTGGCACTTAAAAAATGTATAATGAAGGCTCCAGGTGAACTTTTAGGCACATGATTCACTTGAGTGTATGCCAGTCCTGTTGTGTATGCCTTGTTGAGTAAGTCATCGTTACCCATGTCACTAAGGACCCCGGAATATTTCAGCAATGAATTCGTGAGTCTTCCACAACAGGTCCAAACACAGTGGAAGCTTCTGAGTTGGAGGTAGCATATATTTGTCTCAGTCTGAAATTACTGACTGCAAGTCCTTTTGAATTTCAAGCAACTGGTTTTCTCCGACAAGCTGATCATTCATTTGTATGTGTGTGTGTGTGTGTTCACTGTAGGGCAATGCCCACAAGATTTTGGAGAATTGCACTTTGCCAATTACGGGAAAACAGTGTGTGAACCGCATCATAACAGAAAAGGTAGGTTATCTTACGTTCGTTGCATTTCTGATCCATCTTTTTTGCTGAGCGGCTTGGGAGGGGCATTTTTATCTTCTCGATAATCTTGTAATGAGGGTTTGAGTTGCCCATGACTAACTCTTGAATTTTAATATCCCGGCTCCCTTGATGAGAAGGGATGTTGCAAACCTGTCCCAGGAAGAAGATGCAGATGTCTCTCACACACTATCAGCTCTTGTAACCGTGCAGCAGTCAAGCCATATTTTCCAAATACTGCAGTTTGCATAGCAATCTTAAGTCCTTACTTCATTTTATTTAAGGCATTTATAACCCCATCCAGCCAAAAGTGCTCCTGAAAATCAGTGCTAAAGTGGAGGGAATTGGTATTTATCAACTCGAAGCACTGGCTTCATTCAGCTAGTAAGGCTCCCTTCCTTTCCTTTTCTTAGACCGAAACAATTTGCATTTCTTTCCGAACCTGCAGGCTGTGTTTGATGTCGACAAGAAAAAGGGACTGACACTGATTGAAATCTGGGAAGGGCTGTCTGTGGATGACATCAAGAAAAGCACTGGTGCTGAGTTCACAGTAAGTCATTGTCTGGCTAACATTGCAGTTGTGTTTCTTGGCTCCGAGGGAGCTTGGTAAGGAAGCAAAGATCAGCCCAAATGAAAGTTTATTTACATGGCTTGTCCATGCTGCAGGTGCAAAAGACTGCTGAAGGCGTTTGTTCTGGAGAGGTTTCTGGTGTTTTTGGAGAGGGAAGTATGAAAAAAGATTCAAACACACACACCAGGTTCCATTTGTTTGGTAGGATTTTGTTTCTTAGATAACAACAACAACAACAACAATAATAATATTTTTTATTCATACCCCACCCTCCCCAGCCAAGGCTGGGCTCAGGGCGGCTAACAAGCAGTAATAAAAACAAGTTGAATGAATACAACTTAAAAACAAGATTAAAATATAACAATTAAAATATTGAAACATTAAAATATTAAAATGCAGCCTCATCACAGGAGGAGAAAGGAAAAAGAAAAAAGAAAGAGGGGGAGGGAATCAAATTGGCTCCAAGCCAAAGGCCAGGAGGAACAACTCTGTCTTACAGGCCCTGCGGAAAGAAATCAGACCCTGCGGGGCCCTGGTCTCATGAGGCAGAGCGTTCCTCCAGGCCGGAGCCAGTGTTGAAAAGGCCCTGGCTCTGGTTGAAGCTAATCTAACTTCCTTAGGGCCCGGGACTACTGGGGTGTTGCTATTTATGAACCTTGAGGCTCTCCGTGGGGCGTAACGGGAGAGGCGGTTCCATAGGTCCCGTAGATCTGAACAGAGAATTGAAAGTGGGTGGAGCAGTGAGTGTAATTTTTACCTTTCTTAGTTTTTTCACACACATATCCCAACTGATTCTTGCATGAGTGGATGGAATTTGAGGACACGTTCCATCCAGCCAAAAACACCCAGGATGCAAAATCAGTTCCAGTGAGGACTGTGGCCTGGGGAAAGTTCAGAGTGGATACCACATTTAGCTCCTGAACTACATTTACTTTCCTACTCCTGCTGTACATTGAATGGAGGAGACGCCATCTTCTGTTTTGCTTCAGGCCTGCTCTGTGTGTATCTGTATTCACGCATAGATTGAAAGTGGAATGAAGTGAATATCTTGCTTTAAGCTGGGAGCGTTCGGTTCCCAACCAGCAATTTGCTCACTTCAGGGACTGCTACAAAGAGAGAAGCCTCAGGGAAGTCCTGGAAACTTAGCTTACTGCTAGAACCCTGTGAAACTTAATTTATATGTCTTGTTTGAAGCAGGGCCTGTACATTTTGCACCAAAATGGCTCCCCTCAAAAGAAGAGAAACCACGCAGCAGCGTTGTGGCTTCTTTGGAAGGCTGTGACTGAACTTTCTGATTTTCACAGCTTTATTAGAAAGAGCATTCTCTAGGCAGCATGCACAGCAGCCTCATAACAAGGGAGGAGTGATTTACAGCCTCCTGTCTTTTTTATGAAGCTGATATTATAAGCAGTCCGCTCGGGATTTTGTTGGGCCCCAAAGACAAAACTTTGACTTTCCCTGTGCCCTTAAATCAGATCTGCTACAGCTTGGCTTCAAGACAGATTGTCCCACCAGGATGATTTTCATTTGTACGTGTCAAATTTATCATCTGAATTACAACGCCACCATGGGGGAAAAAATCAACCAGAATGGAAAGCTGTACCTGGATAAATCGGATATATTTTGTTTGTTTTTAAAGCAAGCAAGTCCACAGACAGCAAGATTCAACTGCTTTATCTTCCTGTGAAAGCTTGGTTCTCTGTCAGGGGACACAAAAAACCATTAAGGCTGCAGGCCTATACTCACTTCGTGGGAGCAGTCCCCATTAACCTCAGTGGGGCTTACTCCCGAGTAGGTGTATAGGACTGCACTGCAAGGCCAAATACACTGGCCTCCAGAACATAGATGGAAAAGTTTGGTGTGTGCAGTAGAATCCTTAGTTCCTCCAGCTGTTCTCTTTCTCATGTAATCATCACATTCTTCTTTGCAATTGCTAGCATCGATCATCTGTCATTAGCGCACCTGTGGCTCATAGATCAGCCATAGTAGGAGACAGAAAAGATGATTATTTCAGAGAGTTGGAAATGGCATTTGACATGGCCACATCGATGGGGCAAAATGGCAAATGGAAACTGAATCTGTAAAAAAAAGAAAAGTCTTTCTCACCCCTGGTACAAATCAAAACGGGCAGGATGGAACCTAGGAAGATTCCTTATACCGAGTCAGAAAAATGGTCTAACTAGCACATGGGTGGCACTGTGGTCTAGACCACTGAGCCTCTTGGACTTGCCGATCAGAAGGTCGGTGGTTCAAATCTTCGCGATGGAGTGAGTTCCTATTTCTCTGTCCCAGCTCCTGCCAACCTAGCAGTTTGAAAGCACGCCAGTGCAAGTAGATAAATAGGTACCGCTGCAGCGGGAAGATAAACGGTGTTTCCATGCGCTCTGGCTTTCCTCACGGTGTTCCTTTGTGCCAGAAGTGGTTTAGTCATGCTGGCCACGTGACTCGGAAAGCTGTCTGTGGACAAATGCTGGCTCCCTCGGCCTGAAAGCGAGATGAGTGCCGCACCTCATAGTCACCTTTGACTGGACTTAACCATCCAAGGGTCCTTTACCTTTTTTACACTGGCTGGCAACAGCTTTCCTGGATTTCAGGTGCAGAGTTCTCCCTCAGCTTGGAGACACCGGGGCTTGAACCTGTGATCTTCTGTGTGTATGTTTTCTGTTGACATAGGATGTCATGTTGTCCAATTCTGAGCTCACTGTGAGACCACAAAGTGCGCATGGATTTCTCCTGTAAATCATTACATGAGTATTCTGGTAGACATAAGTGATGTATGGTATTAATCAGGAGACAGGGAACCATCTCAGTCCAGATCTTGATAGCCTTCAGCTTCCATCAGCTTCACCCAGCATGGTCTCTCCTTGGTTTCTGCATAGTCATTGCTGAAGGACTTGGGAAGTTGTCCAGCAACATCTGGAAATAACATATTCACCATTCCTTCCCTTAATACTCTGAGATCTCATTGGGAACAGGGATCATGGCACTGTCAAATTCAGCATCTATATAAATGGATAATTGCCAAGAAAATCCAGCATGGTCACATTTTGATTTCGAAAGAAGAAACTTCCAAAAAGGAGGGGAATGATTAAAAAGGAAGCTGAAAAGCAAAATGGAGAGGGTCATGTCTCTCCAAAATACATTCTAGATGCTCAGCTAGAAGGTATACAGGATATGGTACCAAGGCTGCATTATTTGTCTCTTGATTTTTCTTTTCTTTCATCACTAGGTTTCGCCAAAGCTCTCGCCAATGAAGCAGATTTCGACTTGAAAAGTAGACTGGGCTTAACATCCACGCTTCCAGCGAAGGGGAATCAAATGTCTGTTTTCCAATTATGCATTTTAAAGAGGTCTTTGTAAAGTAGTTTCTTTGGTAGTTAGCGTTCAGGCTGACTATGTAACTAGAACTATGTAAATGTTTATTCGCAAGCAACAGTGCAGTTTCCAAAAATAAATCCTAGCTGGTACCTAGATATTTATAATTGCCACACTGCAGGTTTGACTGCAAATAAACGCTGGCAAGAGACAATAGCCTGTTTTGGATGATCCTATCTTGGTTTATGAAGCGGAGAAACACATGAGCCTTTTCTTGGAGCATGCGCAAGCCACAAATCACCCAGAAAGTCTTTAGTTAGCCAAAGTTTCCTTTGTGTGGATGTGAGGAAGCCAGGATCTTCAGCCACAGCATGGCTTGAGACCTTGAGTTGTTCCAAAGCTGGTAGCCATAGTTTCCTGGTTTGGATAAAACAGGTGACTGTGGTTCAATAGAAGCTCCATTCTTTGCTGCGCAAATGGGCTGCAGGTGTGGGCAACAGGCTCATGCATATCTCTGCTTAAGCTGAGATAGGATCAAACACATCCAATCCCTTGTAGATGTGAACGTTAATACTGTAACTCTGTATGGAGGCAGAGGTCACTTCCACGCACAGAACATGCTAATTTGCAAGTGCCTGTACGGTAGGCTGCAACTGCGCACACACAAAGAAAGAGGTACAGGACAAGTTGTTGGTTTTCAAACATGTAAATAATCAGATGTTTGGATATTCAGGAGTTCTACTTACAGAAGTTTGCATAGCTAAAAACCTGGGCAGGGGGAGCTGTTTATATTCTGTAATTGAAAGTCCGTGTTTTGTTAAACCACCATGTTTCTGGTCTTCAGGGCTGCAAAGACAGGCTTGAAAGTCTGTGGGCTCTTCCTGCTGAAACCTCAGAAACCAAGGAGAGACATTTGCTTTTGAGATTTCCAGCAGTAAGGGAATTGGGCTTTGTGTTCTGCGTTAACTAACTCCTTCCCCTTCTTCATAAATAGCACTTAGGACACTTTTGTGTTGAATTTTCAGAGTAGCAGTAAATGAAATGCTAGCAGAATGAGGTATGCAAAATAAACAGAGGGGTGCAAATTTAATTTGCATAAATTATGCAGGCCACAGAATGCAGCTGTACTTTATACAAAATTTGGGTTACCTCGGCATAGGATTTTCATTATTTAAGTTCTATAGACAGCCCTAGGTTGCATAGGAAACATACAGTGAGTTGATAAGCTTTCAGATAATGGAAGTTTGTTGAAATGGAAGCCATTGTCCTGCTCTCATGGTTAATTTTTTAAAAAAACTGACTTCTTAATAAATGCATACAGAGTTGCATGTTTACAGTTAGTGTCTGGATTCTGCCTTCCCCTTGATATCAACAAATCATTCGCACAAATATCTAGCGACACAGTGGGAGCAAGGTAGGGCCTTTTTACGGCAGTTGCTGTGCCATTTATCTGTTTGTATAGTAACTATGCCACCCGAAAGTGGACCTTTCCCTCCATACTTTAAAATGGTAGCAGGTCACATTTCTCTCTTTTTGCCCTTAGCAGTTCCAAAGATGGTGGAAATGTACGAATTGGATTGTAAAGATTTTATCTAATACTTGATTAATAAAGATTCCTAAATGAAAAAGAAATTACTGGATGAAAGCTACATATTAGAACTGGGGCAGCTGAGAACCAATGTCGTATAGCAGGCATAGGCAAACTGGGCCACCCAGATGTTTGGGACTACAACTCCCATGATCCCTAGCTAACAGGACCAGTGGCCAGGGATGATGGGAGTTGGAGTCCCAAAACGTCTGGAGGGCCGAGTTTGCCTATGCCTGTGGTTTTCAACGTGGAAGACTTAGTTTCAAGTCCCTGTTTAGCGATTAAGCTCTGGGTGGCCTTGGACAAGACATTCTCAGCTTAACCTACCTTAAGGGTGGCTGTGGGCTAAGGTGCCATTCCTGGAGGAACATTGATGGGGCTCTGATGTGCTGGTGTTTGGCTCCTTCTCTGAAGACGTTGGTTGTGTTATCTCTCTCTCTCTCTCTCTCTCTCTCTCTCTCTCTCTCTCTCTCACACACACACACACACACACGTTTCCTCAGTAAGGCTCAATCACCACCCCATCTCATCTTGCTCAAACTTTGGCAGTGGTGGGGAATCACAAAAGTGCCATGGGTGGTGTCCTTTATTAATGGTCCCCTCCTTTTTTCTCATAAAGGTTACATCAAGCACAATGGTGTCCTAACTCCCTAAGTTTCCTGCGTGAGTTCAGACTTCCATGCCTTGATCCATGTCGACCTCCTTCCTTCCCAAATATCCTGTGCTTTTTTTTTTCTTTAAAAAAAATATGTTTGGGGGTACTCTCATTTTGATTCAAGAAAATCACCGGGAAAGGAAATGAAGCTGCCATTGGAGGTGGTAACAACGAAAATGACAAATCACTGTGCTAGATTCCGACTCCTACTTCACACATTAAACACTCGCTTCCGTCTGAGACTTGGGAAACACAGCGACAGGAAATGAGGCCGCCATCGGGGGTAGCAAAGGAACGGATGATTCACCCTGCTAGAGAAGAAACGGAAATTTTAATTTTTTTTTAGTTTCTTCTCCCGTTAGATTAACAAAATGTTTAGGGGTATGCATACCCCCAGAAAAAATCTCTAATCCGGCAATCTCTAATCACCATTGCCAGAAGCCACCACTTCTTCCAGAATCAACATCCTAGGGCCCTGCAATCCTACAGAGGTTAGGTATTTGCCCCCAAAGAATAATATTGAAAGCCTAACTACAGTCATACCTTGGGTTACAGACGCTTCAGGTTGTGCGTTTTCGGGTTGCGCACCGTGCCAAACCCGGAAGTACCGGAACGCGTTACTTCTGGGTTTTGGTGCTCACACATGCGCAGAAGCACTAAATCACGCTTTGCACATGTGCAGAAGCGCTGAATCGCGACCCGCGCATGCGCAGGCGCGGCGCTGCGGGTTGTGAACGCGCCTCCCACACGGATCACGTTCGCAACCCGAGCGTCCACTGTACTGTACTATTCCTCAGGAGCCTAAGGATGCATATTGTTTTATTCATTCATTCAATTTTTATACTGCCCTTTATAATAATAAAAAAAAAATCCCAGGGTGATGTACAATGTTAAAAACACATAACAGAGCACCAATAATAATACTGACATGCTTTCACCAATGCTGGATGACCCAAGATCATATTAGCACATGCCCCTGCAGTGCCATCAGGACGACTATCAGGGAAAATGAATCAACTTTACTTCTTGACAGCTGATACCTCCTTTTATGGATGATGGCATGCGTGTATGGCAGTGCTTCCCCCGTGCCCCCAAAAGCTCTTGCAAATTTCTTCTTAAAGTATACAGTGATGGTAGTGGTCATGACAGGCTTTGGGAGGGTTGTAGCTCAGTGATAGGGCATCTCTTTTTCACGCAAGAGGCCCTGGGTTCATTCCCCAGCATCTCCAGTTGGAGCTGGGAAATCTGAAATCCTGGAGTGCTGTGGGCAGGACTGGACTAAGTGGACTTTTGAGGCAACTGCCTATGTTCCTGTGGAACCCCCCCCCCCCAGTAGAATTTTTCATTTGTCCGTCACAGCATGGGAATTGCTAAATACTTAAAGGAGATGAAGGCCCATCATGACACACATTAGCAGGTCCTAGTACAGTGGTACCTCAGGTTAAGTACTTAATTGGTTCTCGAGGTCCGTACTTAACCTGAAACTGTTCTTATCCTGAAGCACCACTTTAGCTAATGGGGCCTCCGGCTGCCGCCGCACCGCCGGAGCACTATTTCTGTTCTCATCCTGAAGCAAAGTTCTTAACCTGAAGCACTATTTCTGGGTTAGCGGAGTCTGTAACCTGAAGCGTATGTAACCTGAGGCACCACTGTATACAGATGTCCCTGGGCAGCCTAAGTTGGTAGGTGCCAGGCTTTGGGGACTCTGCTTCCTCCCTCACTTTGGCTGTAGATAAGCAGGACAAAGTGAACAGAGTTCCTTACAATTTAAAGGGTTTTTAATTATCACAACAAAAGAACAAAACATCCATACTTGGAATGAAGGAAATTAAGGATTCCACCCACTTCCCCCCTGGTCACTTCCATCTTGCAACCTGATCTTGCAACCACCCTGCTTTATGTGTCGCCACCTTATCTGCTCTATGTGACCTTGGACTGATAGGCTGAATACTTTCCAGCGAGAGAGAGAGAGAGTCTGTTATATATCATTTATACCCTGCCCATCCAGCTGGGTTTCCCCAGCCACTCTGGGCGGCTTCTAACAAAAGATTAAAAATACATTAATACATCAGTCATTAAAAACTTCCTTAAAAAGGGCTGTCTTCAGATGTCTTTTAAGCGTCGGATAGTTGTTTATTTCTTTGACATCTGATGGGAGGGCTCTCTTCCTGTTCTTCACTTTGCTGGTCACCCCTCAGTTCTTCCTAACTTTGATCTTCTGAACTATGTCCCTCTGCAAACCGCTGTTCCAAATCTATACTGCTCTACTGCTCCTGGGCAGCTTCAGGATCAGGGGGAGGCTCCCACCATTTTCAATCACCTCAGACAGTAGGTGACTGAACTCCCACCAACCCTGCGCTTTCCAATGTACCCAACTGCCCTAGAAGCTAATAGTTTATTTAGAATCACATTTAAATGGAAGGAAAGAGGCAGGAGAACCAGGGGCCAGTGGGCGCATCTGGGATGTTGAAAAAGTATTGTGGGTGCCAGTCACAAAATGGCTGCTGTGGGAGTGTGGCGTGGCACAAAATGGCTGCTGGTTGTGTGTGCAGGAGAAGCAAACAGGAACCGAGTCTTTCCTGCATTGTGGATCATTGAGAAAATATTTACTGAGACCTTTCTCTGTGGCCAAAGGTATCGTCAGGCTACAGGCACATACTGTGGGTGCCATGTTGGTGACCCTAAAGTCAATTACTTTCTGAAAGAAAAAGGTTACATTCAAAGAACTGAAGGCATCCTGCTTGGTCCATGGTGCTTTCCTGCCACTGTCCCACTGCAGAACCTCACACAAGACACTCGACCAATTCTTGAGGATTTGTGGATACTCTCCTGTAATAGAATATGATACAGGATGAGGTGGTTATGTGTGCAGAAATGCCTTCTGATTGCCTTGCACAAAGGGCTCACTTGGACCCAAGTTGCTGAGTGTAAAAAGAACTGGTGACACACCACAAAGATCTTTGGGAACAAGAAATTTCACGAGGCATAAAAATTTAGCATTTTCAGTTCCACAGCTCCCTGGTAGAGGTTTTTTTGTGCAGGGTTACCAACACTACAAAGCCATTCCAGCTACAAGCCGACGCCTAATAGAAAATCGCTGAGAGAAATATGGCTGTTCTCTAAATACATAGAGAAAAGCTATACACCAGATATACCTCTTTCCAGAGGAAAGAGGTACCAAGTAGACTCTTGGCAACAATAAAGACAAATGCCTTGTTGCTATCAGTATTAATAGATCTGTACTGGGTGTGTGTGGATAGGGAGAACTCTCCTATCCAGTTGAAATGACTGAGAGCAATTTTATGCCTGGGTATCTGTGTGAAGATAACTCTGCTGCCCCGTTATTCAATTTGTTGGTTAAGAACAGTGAGAACTGTGAAGAACTCATTTTATGGGCACCATTTCTCCTGTTCTAGCAAACAATTGATGACTGCCATTATCACCTAAAAAAGCACATTTTGCATTATTCTCCTGTGATTATGCGACTTGGACTGAGTGATTTAGAAAGCCTTTTAAAAAAACAAAAGGGCACAAAATGCTCGAGGTGAGATGGGCAGAAAGTGCATTTCATTGCTTTGAACTTAATGTCACTTATCTAAGAGCAGTCCAAGGTTGATGCTATTGTCTCCAAAGATACTATTTAACCTCTTCATAAGCCCAGGATACCCAGCGTCAGTGCTTCTTTAATTTTAACTGTCTTGTATTCCGCTGTTGTATGTATGCTCCTTCTTACTCCAGCCCGACAATTGGGCAACTGTCAAAATTCTTCCTGATCAACGCAGTTATCAAAGGACAGCAGCCTGTGAGGATCCAGTGAGTTGCAATGCAATCCTATGCAATGCAATCCTATGCATTTCCATGCAGTAAGTTCAATGGCACTCACTTTCAGTTGAGGGTGCATTATCAGTCACTGGACATCTGTGCTTGGCAATGCTACATCAGTTGAATTTCTACTGCTGGAAATGCAAGTACAAGGTGGCTGTTTCCATCTCTAAACAGCCCTAACCTATCCATCAGCTCATATTTTCCATGTTTTGGTTAAGGATTGTAGGGTCACAGCCACACTATGCATTTAAAGTAATACTACAACACTTTAAACAGTCATGACTTTCCCCCAAATAATCCTGGGAACTGTAGTTCGTGAAGAGTGCTGAGAGTTGTAAGGAGACTCCTATCCCCTTCAAAGAGCTACAGTTCCCATAGTGGTTTAATAACACCTCTTCCCAGGAAAGTGGGAATTGTAGCTTCAAGTGGCACAGGGGGTCTCCTAACAACTCTAAGCACCCTTCACAAACTACAGTCCCCAGGATTCTTTGGGGGGAAACCATGACTGTTAAAATGGTATCATAATGCTTAGAGGGCGGTATTCAACCAACTCATCACAATAGCACATTGATTACCACTAGGACAGTGTTTCCCAGACTCGGGTCTCCAGATGTTGTTGGACTACAACTCCCATCATCCCTGACCACTGGTCCTGCTGGCTTGGGACGATGGGATTTGTAGTCCCAACAACAGCTGGAGTCCCAAGTTTGGAAAGCACAGCACTAGGGCAACAGGGCCTCCCCAAATCTGGTATGGAAGGTTGGGGGAACCCGTAGAACATATTTAGGGGGAGAAGTCCAATTGCAGAATGGAACCCTTAGTGCTACTTTGAATACAACCCACAGTGTGAATGTGGTCTAGGAAAAATGCAGGATTGCCTCCAGGGATTCGCTGCCATGGTTCCTCCCTGTACTCTTCCAGGCGCCCCATGATGTTGCTGAATAACCCCTCCCTTTTCCTGTGTTATATATTATTCTAGTAGGTTCTGCGGCTAGTCCTCTTCTCCCTTTGCCCTCTGTTTACTCAAGCAGGTGAAATTTGTGGTGGAATGCGTTCAAGGCTTGTAATCCGTGGAGATGAATTCAGACCGCAATAAAAATGAAAGGGCTACCATGAGGGAGAATCTTTGTCAAGCAATAATGCTAAAGGAACCTTTGTTTTGCTGCGCTATTGATCATCATGTCAACGTGTAATCCATGCTTTGTGAGAACCGGGGCAATCATGAAACACTTTGTATTTTGTTATCGTCCTGCTTCACATTTCACAACGCAGATGATTTCACAACGCAGCTTCATTTTTCTCTAAATCTCCATAAGGATGTGGAGTGACATTTGTTGTTGGGGTTTTTTTTGGGGGGGGGGGGTTTATAGAGAAAAACAAGTGAGATGAGTTCTTTCTTTAAAAAAACAAACAAAAATGCAGTTCTACTGCCAGCAGAGTTTGACATTTCAAATAAGGGGGGAAATGAAGATTTCTAACACCTTCTGCTTGGAAAACAGAGCAGTAAAAAATATAGAAACAGAACTGCAGTGAGGTGAGGGTTAATATTAGGAGGCGGAGCCACCTGCTTCCTAGTGGAATGTAGGCGGAATCCCCTTTGTGCTTGAAAGTGGCTATTTGAGTTAGTAGGAGGTATCTAATGGACTTGTTCCATTAGTGCAAGGATTTACACTTGAGCAATGGTACTTTCCCTGTGCGCCTCCATGCGCTCCCCAAATTGGCTCTGGAGAGTTGTGTGAACCCCCCTAACAAATGTCAGGGGAAGGTGTACATGCTTGCACTAATGGAACAAGTTACTAAGCACTGTATTGTCTACCACCCCCTGAAAATGAAAGGCTTGGTAGTGTTAATATCAAAAATAAGCAGTCGGCTGTCTTCATAGTTAAGCTGGTGTCTTTGGTGGAAGCTATGTAGAGAACGGCTCTAAAATGTTACAAGGAGAAATTGTGGTGGTTGTTATAGAAATTGCAGCCTCTCCCTCTGGAGCAGGGCTGTGAAACCTGTGCTTCTTGCTAGACTCACAACAGCCTCTACCCAACAGTGATCAGAGGTGACGCACCACCTTCCCACCCCAGTGTAGAAATAAGGAGCCAGGAGAACCCACATTTAATCCGACTTGTGCAATGAAGCAGGATCTCAGGAAAAAAACTTAATCAGACCATTGTCCACCTAGGCCAGTGTTGTCCACACCAGGAAAAGGCCAACATGGTGCCCTCTGCCTGTTAGATCACAGCTCTCGTCTTCCCTGAGCGTTGGCCGTATTTGGTAGGCACTGATGGGGATCCCGTACCTTGTGCATACATACATATTCTAATTGCAGCTGAAGAGAGTCTGAGCAAACTGTAAGTTAGTCCTAATCCAAGTCAGTGGGTGGAGGTTGCTTGCCTGCCATTGCAAGCATAGG